TTGAGTGATATATGGAAGAAGTTAAAGTAGGCCTGCTGGCTGCACTTTACTTGACGTCCTACACTCATTCGATTGTTTTTTTTTTTCGATTCGATATTTTAATTCGATTGTTTCATTCGATATATCGTTTGGTAAGTTAGGTTAAGTTAAACTTACCTAACTAACCAAACGATATATCGAATGAAGCAATCGATTAATCGATATATCGATCGATATTTTCATTCGAATGAGTGTAGGACGTCAAGTAAAGTGCAGCCGGCCTACTCAAAAGCTAGCTAGGATCTAAGTTATAGCCTAATTGAACAAAAATGAATTTTATTGCAACAAAACCTACCTTATCTGTTGTATGCTATAGAATGTAACTTAATTAATTATTATCATAACGTCTGGTGATAATTTAGCAAACTATAAAACAGTCTATAAGTTTAGGATGCCTAGCCTAGTAAAAGCTTTGTCTTAAAATCGTGTACAGAGACTTTCCTTTATCACAAACCCACGGAGCCTAGGCCTGGTTAAATTTTTACGCGCTACCGGTGATAGTAAGCTTAATTCAATTAATCATAAAGTTTACATAGATGTACACAGTCGTTATGTTTAAACACTAATATAAGAATTAATTTTCAAACTTTATCAATAAGTATAATGCTAAATATTTATATTTATAACCTGTTAAACTGTCAATGTCTATATTTTGTAAATAAAATAATTAACTACTAACTATGACAGTGTCTGTACTGTAACCAAACCGCATTGGCTGGTGATTTGTAGGTGGCTAAATTTAGTCGCCATGAAGCTGCACTAACTAAATTCAGTTTAGTTTTCTAACTTGTTTGTGGTTTATGGCAATGGACGGTAATCTGTAATTTATTAAGGATAAATTAAAAATATCCTGCATATTGATCCAAAAAAAGTTTTTTATAAATTTTAGCTATGCCACCAAATTAATACTTAAATACTTTTCAATGAAATTGCGACCATACAAAGTAGCTGTATTTTATGCCAAGTGAGGCGGTCCATTCCAAAACTCACTTTATCCATTTTTTTCGAAATTGAGTTGTTGGTATCACTGCAATCAGAAGAAAAAGGCGCATTTATTCGTTATAAGATACCGTGTCAAAGCTTGTGTAATCCTACTAATATTTAATGTTAAAAAGTGCGTGTGTCATTTCCAAAACTCACTTTATTTCGGTTGTATCATTCGAAAACTCACATAATCAATCACATAGCAAATAGGAGGCTGTATTTTGTGTTTTTCCAAAACCATCTTTATCCTCTTACCCATCGGTGGGCGGAAATCGGCCATGTGACTTTGTTGTCATCATTTTGACTCTGTCGTCTGACTAGTGGCTGAGATCTTCATTCTTTCAGTGCAATAATGCTCAGATGACAGTTTTGTAGTTTAGAAGGGTGCTCATGCTCTTAAAGTACCAATCAATTAATTTGATAGATGTTAACATAAGTAATTTTCTCACTTTTCATTTTAACATTAGTCCAGAGAACGTCTAATGACCTGTACTTCTGTATGGTAATTCTTTTACTGTAAAATATAGAAAAATCATGAAACTGTATGTTTATAATCTTATAACTTTTCCAGTAAGTACCACCTCAATTAGAAAAATATACGAGGACATAAGGTTAATACAAGCCATAGCATTAGGTCTATTATCTTAATATTTTGTTTTATTGTTTGAAACCAATAACCAAACTGATTAGTGCTATGCAATCCTAGTGTGAATACTGTCTTTCCAAAACCAACTTTATCCATAGGCGTCAGAGCAAAACTAACTTTATCCATTTGTGTCAGGGCAAAACTTACTTTATCCAAACTTAAAACTTATTTTTCTCAAAAACTACACATATTAGGACGTAAAGACATGCAATAATACACAAAGACACATATCTTTCACTTAGGATGAAACAAAACATAATAATTCACTGTCAGGATAATTAATGACACGTTTTTTTTATTTATCCTGTAAATTTTAAAAATAAGGACAATGTGAGTTTTTATTTATTTATACATGCCAACGGCTAAGCCAATACATAGAAGAAAAACAAGCTGAACAATAGTCAATAATTCAATACTCAATGGAATACAAAATATAAAAAAAACAAGCTGAACAATACAATACTCAAAATAGAATACAATAAATAATCTGACAATGAATAAGTTAACAATAATAGATATAACAATAATAAATATAACAAAGAGCAAATACAACAATATAAATTGTTTAACAAAGAATATATATAACAATAGAGGCGTTGAGGCTAGTCCAACATCTCCACCAGGGTTGCTTCGGTTGTCCTCCTTATGGAGGTGTAGCTGTCGGCGAAGAAGTTGACATCACGAGCAACTCTGTTGCCCAGCCTGAGGATTCTTGCCAGAGGACTGTGAAATTCGTAAGTGGTGCCTCTGGAGCGACGGCCGAATAGGTCCCTGGATCTTGTTATGGTAGGGATTCTGATGTATATTTCTAATAGCAGCTCTGGACAGCATATATGGCCCCTTAGCAGCTTGTACAAGAGACCAACATCAGCAACGCTGCACCTCATGTGTAATGGCCGGTTTTTTAGCTCCTCAGCCAGAACATCCGTTGGCACCTCCCGATAGGGGTATCCCTGACGCACTCCCACCAGCCTCAATAATCTTTCCTGGATTGCTTCTAGACGAATGCGTCCACCAACTGTATACGGAGTCCAGATCGGGTAAGCATACTCCAGACACTGTCTCACCATTGCACAATACAGAGTTTTTAATGCAGATGGGTTAGTCATACCTTTGGTAGAACGGGAGATGAAACCAACCAGCCTGTTAGCCTTGCTGACTATAGAGTTTATATACTCATCGAAACTCAGATCGCTGCTGAATATCACCCCCAAATCTTTTGTGGACGTGACTCTAGGAATACTGTCCTCTCCGAGCATGTACATATGAAGATGTCTGGATTCTTGGAACGATGGAAGGTTAATATTTAGCATTTTCCAGGATTGATTTCCATCTTGTTGACTTTGCATCAGACAAAGACACTGTTAAGGCATATTTGAAGGCGTATTGAGTCCTCTTCCGTCTTAACCTCCGCAAACACCTTGAGATCATCAGCAAACGCGAGACATCCAACCTCGATAGAAGCCACCAGATCGTTGATGAACAAATTAATTAGGTAGGGTCCCAAATGAGCCTTGTGGTACACCCGAGGTCTGGTGAAATGGTTGCGATTGCGAAGGCCCAAGCCTGACAGTCAACTTGCGCCCAGTTAAGTAGTCCTCCAGCCAGCCAAGTAGTGGTTGTAGAATGCCATAGTTCTTTAAACTTTGTCGCGAGGATCTTGTAGTCTACTTTTTTGTCGAACGCTTTGGCGAAGTCGATAGGCGACGTCTAGCTGGCGACCTGCTCTAAAGGTGGACAGAGCTCTCTCTTGAAGCAATAATAAATTCGATATTGTAGATTTTTTGGCGACAAAACCATGTTGATTTGAGGAGATAATACCTTCGATGAAGATCTTCAGTCTGTGCAGAACCAAGCTCTCGAATACTTTACCAAGTGCAGAAAGGATAGTGATAGCTTCATGCTGTATGTTGTTTCTGAATCACTGAGATATAATATATATGAGGTTTTGTAAAATATACGAATAATTCCTTAAAATATCCATAAGCCAACAATAGAATCAACTTTAAGGGGAAAACTAGTGATAGTGGTAGGGCGGTAATATCACTGTGATCACCAGATTTAGGAAGGGGAACGACATACCCATGCTTAAAGGCTGCAGGAAATATGCCTTCGGCCAAGGACTGGTTGAATAATAATTGCAATGGTTCAGCTAGCAGATCGCAGCCAAAGCGCAACAATGAAGGTGGTATGTTGCCGGGGGCCCCTTTGAACCACAGACCAATACCATTGTCTGTGCTTTGAACCATCCAGTTGAGATAACTTGAGCCTGACCTCAGCGAGTAAGAGACTAACACTGCAGATGGTATTCACTGAGTAAAAGTCAAAAGAGGGGGTTGTGTCTGATGCATAGTAGAGTAAACCGATCCCAGATGCTTCGCAAATAGTTCGCATTTTTCCTGTTCATCCTCGGTGAAATCAGCTGATTAATTCGCACATATTTGATTCAAATTTAATGTATGAATATACATTTACTAGCTGCACCCACGGGCTTTGCCCCGTTTGACTTCATAAGTATTCGCATGGCTCAATCACGCCCCGGTTGAAGTTCGTTTGCTACGCTCACTCACCTTTAGGTTGGAGCTCGTTCGCTGCGCTCATTTCTTTTCAGGTTATCTTGTTTTTCGCTACGCTTTTTTTTTACTACGCTTGGAGTTAAAGGTGGCCGTGTATGATATGGTCTCAGGGAGAGAAAGTGGAAGTATTAAAAAAAGTATGTCTCTATAGGGATGTATGCTGCGCACCTCTTATATGGTCCGGAGGCTTCGGCTATCAATTTCCTGTCTGGCCAAATAGTGCGCATACTAAAACTTTAAATAAGAGGTAAATTAACCTTTTATTTATATTTTTAAGTGATCCGATACTACACAAAAACGAATTGATAAAACTGTTTACATACACAAGTTTCATACTTTTTGGCAATGTTAAGTATAAAAATATCGCCTATTATAAAACACGCAACCTCATAAAATATTAAGCTGATTCCATAATTATTCATTACATGTTTTGTATACTTGTATATCAGTACTGTTCCGCCGAATCCTTCTTTATCGTCTTCTCCACGCAATACAACAGTGACAACGAAAACTGAAAATTAAAATTGTCGTGTTCTATTACCTCACAGCTGATTTAACAAAAAAGTAGTTCTTAAAAGAATGTAAAATACTCTATGTTTTACATGTTTCGTTCATCAAGATTGTAATTTTTCATTACAAAATATACTTCAAATTTTCAAATCTCCTTAAAATGTCATGTGAAGTACTTGATCTTAAATTTGGTGAAAAACGATATTGTATTGTGATTCCTACGCCCTTGTCCGCCGGCTCCAGTGGCTCCACCACACCAGTTAGTTAAGTCAAAAGAAAAGTTCCTTTTGATCAAGTGTTTACAGTGTGTTAGTAACGTCAAATATACTTTTATTTAATGCTGCTGATGTGTTAAGGTAAATTTTAACGCATTTGTAACTTATATTATAACATTTTATTGCTTTGTGCTCAGAGATATTTTCATTTTACGCACCATGATCTATCCAACAAAGTTTCAATTTTTGTATTAATCATCTTAAGTAGCGGCCATTTTGTGTGGGCTCATCAATATTATTGCAGAAAAGATTTTCTTTAATTCAATAAAAGGCGAAATATACACCTGGATTGGATTTAATAAACACGAATTTACTTCTAAATCAGTGTTTCCACAAGAAGTGGCGTGAAAATCTTAATTATATCAGGTAACTTAGCACATTAGTCATATTCCGACGGTGCTGAAAAAGGTATTTTAAGCCATGAACATTAAGTTAAATAGGTATTCTTCCTGGATTGTTTCTATCACCGGTGTTTGCATTCTTTGAAAAAATTCTTCTCTTCATGCTTAGACAGCTTGAAGATCCATGTATTTACAGAATTATAACGTGGATAGCCTTAACTTATTGAACCATTTTTAAGCTCAGGCCTACCTAGGCCTTGGCCTATTGGATCATGGTGTAATTGGATTATTCATGTTAGCCCTATGAATTCTAAATATCGATGTCTTAATTTATCTCGATCTGTCTAGCCTAAATCAGCTGTAACTTAGGCCTCTTCTTAGCTCTAGGCTCAATTTCCGAATCTTAGGTTAATAAGTTAAATAGCCTAGGCATAGGCCTAGGCCTACTTAAACAGTTTAAACTTATCTGGCAAAAGGCCCTACTAGGCCTAATACTTTTTTAGGCAAATATTTACTGTATTTACATTGGGATATGATGTAATTTGGTACGGTATTTATTGCGACGAACGTGACCATGGGAACCTTTAGGCCTATAGATTAATCACTAAAAACTAGATTTTTAGCTGAAAGTAATGGTGCAAAAATTTTTCCGCGCTCTCAAATATTAACATAGTTTCGGCTGTTATAAGTTTTATTTACCGGTACTTTGTTTTTTTTGACCTAACCTATTTATAAGCCTATGAAATGTTCTCTCCAGATACTTGATATATTACGTTAATTGTAAGTAATTAAAGTAGAAGACTCACTTTTTACCAGGAAATAACATAGCAAAAATGTCTCCGAGGCCACGAATATTAACTAAGGTAGGCCTAACTTAAGATAATTTTTTTTTTATTTCCTTTATCTACCATCTATTCTAGTCTGCTACTGCTTGCCGCATTACGTAATTACGTAACGGACTAGGCTAACTGTTACTTGTAAAACTATAGGTCTACTGAACCTGAAATGAAAATGAATATACGAAATTGAAGAGAAGAGAATAAAAATAAGTCAATCAAGTCATTTAAATTACATACCTGCTACAAACATCTAAGAAACAACACGGCACTGAATAGGCCTAACTTATTTCAGAATGATTTTATTTAGGCATGTGTGGTAGGTAAGTCGGGCTTATGCGGATTCGTGACTGTATTTAAGTGTTTTGAAGTTAGGTTAGATTAGGAAGGTAAAGTGTAGGTTATAGTGAACTGAGTTGATAATTTATATTACACACAGGCAGTTGTTGTGCAATTAAAATAGTGTGTTAAACACAATGAAATAACGATTTAAAAAATGCGATTTCAAGGTCCTTGGGGGCTACAATGGGAATTTCTTCATCCTGGGAGTCACTGTCACTGTCATCTTCTGGTGCTGTTGTCGGTCGTTTGTTGATTCTTCCTTCTTGTTTTATCTTTTTCTTAACTTCGCGTAGGCCTATCATTCGCCGCCCTTCCTTTTCTTCTTCCATTTCCCTCTTCTTAGCTTCTTTTTTCTCCATGTAACCACAGCTGGGTCTCTTTTCTTAATTTTTTTCTTGATTGATGTTGGGGAGGGATATTGCAGGCACCTTTTAAAAGGTGATGGCATACTATTGGAAGGACAGCATTTTGATGAAGTGGTGTACGTACATGTTGCTGGCAGAGACATTCCTGAAATCAAAAGAAAAAACATTACACTTTAATAATCATTGTAATGTAAAATAAACGGTATCAGCATTCTGACACGTATACCTACTTTCTATGGTCTATTTTTGAAGCGACTAGTCACTGGTAGCCGAGAAACTCATTGGATTTGGGTACTATTTTAATATTGTAGTACAATTACTCGCTAGTTCTTTCATAAGTGTCTCCTTCCTTACTAGGCCTATCAAATACCATACCCACTTCATTCTTCTTATTCCTTGTGTTACGAAGCAACTCCTCGGTCCTCACAAATTTTTCTTACACCTAAAAACAAAGAGAAGTCGTAAGGCCTGTCGGCTTATCCCTTTTGATGACATGGCAATGCTTTAAAACACTAGAAGCTCAATAGAAGCATTTCACTGTAACTCGCTACTACTAGTCGCCTAGTGTGACTGCAACCATGAAATTACTGGCGAGTGCGTACGTGTGACTTGGCCTTTAGCAACTAAGTGTTGCCCCGACAACACCCACATGGGATACATGTGTGGTGCTAGGCTGTCGTGATGGCATGTTGTCGGGGTGGCACCTTAATGCGCTCCCCGTAATGGTAAAAACTCATTTAAAAGTGGTTCTGAATTCAAATTCTTATTTCACCTATCACTACGGTAAATATGAACTTACTGGATTATCTTTTATAGCCTTTCCCATAAACAATTACTTATTATTTTTAAGCCTCCCCGTGGATGGCTAATTTACACTCTACAGTAACCATGTCATCTCTATATTCATAGTTTCTCCCCCCTTAGTGGACTAAAAAATCCATAAGATATTTGGAAAGGCCCTACATCCTTATGAAACATTTTGAGTGGACACTTAACTAAGCCTACAGATATTTATTCAAATCAGTCTTAATTGTCACACAAATACAAAACATTGATAATGCCACATTTTGAGACATTGCAATATGTGGTGCAAATTGTTAGCAGTAGATTAAGTGCAAGTTACACTTAAGCTATTTTATACATTATAAGTAAATGACTGATCAGAAGTTGTGCAATTAAAAAAGTCCAACCACCCTATTAACATTCACCTATCATGTATTGACTGGGACGGGTGGCGTCGTCCTGTAATCCAGCTACTAGGAGGTCACGAATTGTGGATATTTATAGGGATGCACTGTGGATGCGATGCTCACTGGTGTGGATTAACGTCCGCACTAGAGAGTACTACGACTATCCGCAGTACTATCCTGATAATTAGACCAATTCGTAAATTACAAGGAAAAATGTGGTTCGGATTCCACTATAAACTGTAGGTCCCTTAGTTGCCATTAGCTGTATGGGCTATTAATTAACAGCTGTGTCTAAGGAACATGTCGGCCTTAGTCACTAACAAGACTACAAGATCGCGCCACTCATCCTACACTCATCCTTCACTCATATTTGGGTTAAAATACGCACATAGTGGCGTCCCCATCTTAAATAATTGATATAATTGATATAATTGATATTGGTGGGCATTTTTTTCACCAAGTTTTTTTAAGTAATGAGTTGTACACCATATCTGACTGAGATGAGATTTACCTTAGATCTTTGGTGCTCTCGATCTTTGGTCAAAGGAGTTAAATCATTAGACTGCTTAGTCATTGATTAGACCAAAACAGTAGCTAACTGTCCAGTTGACAGTAGACTGGCTAAAACCCAGTGTCCTACAATACCTTTTAGTTAGGTACTCACTTGTCTGGCAAGCTACAAAATGTTAGGTACGGGTACCTGTAGTTTTGTAAAGCTATCCATTCCCATTAAGTTTGGAAGGTTTAGTCGTATTATGCCTACTCATATTTGTGGTTTATTTTAAAATAGAGTACAATAGATTCAATACTAATTTTGTATGTCCAAACTAATTTTGGGAACAATGTAGGCTAATTGGGCTGTTCCCATAGTTTTAGGACGGTACTAATATACAGTAGAGCTCGTGCGTGGTGGAGCCTGGAGGTAGGTGGTTAGAGTTGCTCTGAACCGGTTTTTCAGGGGTGGGGGTACGCCAAAAATCAGTCTGCGCTCTCACCCTGTCCAAGCAACATCACTGATACACTCTTTTTAAAAAACATTCGGGATGCCAGTTTGATTATCTTAAAACTTTTTTAATTAGTTTATTTTAAGTTTACAGGGTTGTAAAAATACAATTTCTTAGGTAACCTATGTTTAAGCCTTAGTTTTGTATAATAACTTAGTAATGCATAGGTAATTTGTACTGGTTTTTGCCCAAGAACAATCTCTGGCTCTTTAAAGAGTAATTTTGGAGTAGGCTACCTATTAAAAATAGCCTAGGCTAGGCCTACTCTAAATTTTAATATAGAGAATTTAATAAAATAAATGCTATCTGCCGTTCATAAACATTTTCATATTCCCCTTAATGAGGTAAAAAATTAAATATTTATTGAAAATACTAATTTTTGTTATGGAACCCTTAATTAGCCTACATTAATATGATCACACAACTCGTGCAAGAAACCTGATCCACCTCTGCATCGCGATCCCAACTCTGAAAAATGCTGAGAAATGTCTTTAATCAGACTAGTAGCAGAATAGGACGACAACGTCAACTTCCCCTCTCGCGCTCGGCTCCCCACTTGCCACTACAGCGCTTCACACCCAGGCTTCACGAAGAAACACACAAACTCTAGTTTCTAAACCCACCATAGCCTAGAATAACAAGTGTCCTAAGTCATATTCTTAAAGTATATCACATTTAAATCTAAAACTATATTGTCATTGAGAGTTTTCTTAACATTGTAAGTTATGTTGTAATTTAACACTAGAAAACTGTGTCACCTAGCATGCTGAAAAATGTCTAGGTAGTCATAGTGTACGTTATCTAATTTATCTTATCTTCATGTTGCACTATCAATCTGAATATTTGGTTGGTACAGAGTTAAAAGCAATTGCTGAGCTTGGAATAAATAAAGGTATTGATCCATCTCAATGGCTTGTTTGTCAAATATGGTTGCATCTGTTACCTCTCTTTCCTTTGAATGTTCCGTTTGTTTTGAAACATTTGTGATTTTATTTAGATTAATTAATTTAATATATTTTTTTGGGTACTGTATTTATTTGATGGAAGTTGTGTCGTTTGTTTCTTTTAAGGAGGACTATATTTTCCTTGTTACTGTAGATGCCATATAATAAATTAATACATATAGGCCTAGTAGACCGATTTTTAAAACTAGGTACTGGTTAGGCCTACTTGATTTTCCTAAGTTTTTAAATTGAAATCTATTATAAATAGCACGATTAATGTTTTCTGCCAATTGCAAGATTTTATATTTAGTGGAGATTTGCATGCTTAAATTAACTGGTCTCATAGAGAACTTTTTTTTCTGTTGATAACATATCCCAAACTGGTAAAAACTGTATGTGGGTTCAATAGTAAAACCATTGTAAAAAACACTGTGCTTTAATTTTCATATGTTATTTTTTTGGTTAAAATCAAGACTTCATTATTTGACAAAGTTAAATGAAAAAAATGTTAATAAAAAATAAAAATAAAGTCTTTTTAAGTGTCCAGAATTAGCATTTGCCCATTTTATCTACATATTTTGTCTTTAAAATGATTAATTGTATATTTAATTCAAAAGCAAAGTTAAGGGGATGGGCAGTAAAATAGGCCTAATGAATTTTTTTTTTCAAAAAAATAATTTTTTAAATTTGTCTTATTATTTATTATTTATAATGCTAAAAATAAGAAAAATTGGTCAAAAATTAAAAAAATACTATTTTTAGTGCTTATGCTTTATTAAGAAAAATACGGAAAATATTTTTAAAAAATCCAGTCATTGACTTATTTTAGTAGGCTAATACAGTAGAGTCCCGCAAACTCGGCACTTGATAACCCGGCAGTCTGGATAACTCAGCCATCACCTGGCTCAGATAATTTTGTGATTTTTTGTGTCTAAGTTAAACATGGACTCAAGCCAGTTCAAATAAATCATTCGCAACTCGTACCAAGGATTTGTTGTACTATATCTGATGACTTAATTATACTGACTTGTATATAAATAAAAAAAGACGGTTAAAAAGCTTAAAATTGTATTGTTCTTATTTTCAACCCTAGTTCCCGATAACCCGGCATTTCACAAACTCGGCACCCTTCCAGTCCACATTACGCCGAGTTTGCGGGACTCTACTGTAATAATAAAACCAAGAATCTTAAAACGCCAAGTAAAAAATTATCAACACAAATCCTTTTTCTCCTATGTCTAGATTGCGCACGATTCCTTGCGCCAGGATCACTAGTTGGTTATCAAAGTGCTAGAATTATAGTAAAAGTTGTTTTAAAACCTTTGATTAAGAAAAAAAATTGAAATTGTTCCACATGATAAAAGTGTAGTTTTTAAGTTTCACATAAATAAAATTTAGAGTTAGTGAAATGAGTTATGAAATCAAGTTAATCTTTGTTCTTCAGGAAAATAATATCTGTCTTCAACAAAGACTTTATTTCAGTACTCTTTTTAATTGCAAAGGTTTTAGGCTTCTTAACCAGTCTTTATCTCTTGGGATAAAGATTTGTTGCGATTATGGATATATTTAATTAGGAAAATACAGCCAATTTTATTATTTTGACCTGTTTAGCTTACGTCAATATAAAGGGTTTACAATACTTTGATTAACTAAGTTTACGTCAGGGAACCACTACAGTAGACTCCCTCTCATCCGGACACCTTTTAACTGGACATCGGTTTAACCGGACTACACTCGACGGAAATGAAATCTCTTTAACGGGACAATTATTATCAGCACATTGGTTTAACCGAACTAGATCGGCAGGAAGTGGGCGGTACTGGAACGACTGTTCTCGTGGGAAAGATTTGAGACCAGTGATTACATGTCTAAATACAATGCTCTCCTAAATTTAAGTTGAATATCACCGTAAACGGTCCATTTGATTGAGTTTTTGGGGACGTCGGCTTAACCGGAAAAACCGTTATCCGGGCTGGCCTCGGTCCCGAGGAGTCCGGATAAGAGGGAGTCTACTGTAGGTACATTCGTGTTTTAAAATTTTCATGTTAGTAGCCTAAACATTTTCTTCTTAGCTAGGCCTATATTTATTTTTTTTAATCTATTGTTTTTTCCATACAACAAACAAACACAAAATTACATTTACACAAGATAAAAATAAAAATACCCCCGCCGCAGCAAACCTGCAGACTAAGCGAATTTCCATTTGCCTGATTGGATTTACACTAAAATGTCTCCTTAAAAAAATCACATTTATTCCCTATTTAAATAGAATTAGATTAACGAGTACTTAGGTTTGCTGCAACAGGGAGGGTAAAAAGGCGTTTTTTGTTGTAAAATGTTAATAGTTTAGTAAGAAATGAATGTATTTTACATTTTCTATCAAAATATGTTCATAAACAAGCAAACAAGCAAAGTTGACTTGTTCTCCATAAGAATAACATGGGAATTTTAAATTAAAAATTTTTTGGAATTTTCTCCGTAACCATTAGGCGCATAATAACGCTTCAGTAAGCCCTGTGGAATGCCATGTAATACAGTTCCTTGGTCACTTATCACGCCGTTCGCCCGTGTACGTTGAGTACGTCCAGTGAGACTTATTCAAATTGTAGGAGAATTTTAAACATTGAAGGCATAGGCTAGTAAGAACAAAGGCGGTATCATTGGATAAAGGGGATTCATTACTGAAAATTGTGAATAAGATACTGTATACCAGCGTTTCCCAAACTATGGGTCGCAATTCAACGGTGGGTCGCGGGAGGAGACAAAGCATTAAAAATGTTTTTATTACTGGGACACGTAATTTTCCATATCTAGCCTACTGGGAGCGGTCTAGTGAGCACCAGAATAGGACTGAATGCGTATTGGGGTTTTGAGCAAGAATAACGCTGCTCTAGAATTGTGATCAAGGTAAATTTCTTCAAAGTTTTAGTTTGACTTTTAATTTAGTACTAGTGGCTTGTAGGGACATAAGTCCCTAAAAATCTCGAATGAACAAAAAATTATTGTAATATTTAAACAAACTCAGAATCAAATTATCTATATGCCAGGATAGGTATCCCTGTACAACATATCTTTTGTGTAAAAAACAGTTTGTTGATTTTCTTTGTTTGCTTTTGTTGATGTTATTTTCAATAAATAATTTGAATGCCTCCAGAGGTTTAACTTAACTGCAATAAGCATTTTTTACTAATATTCTAACCCCGTACGAAGGACGGGTACTCTGCTAGTTTACAATAAGTTCTTGTAAATAGTAGGCTTAAAATTTGGTGTAAATCATTAAAAATTTCTAAAGCAATACCTAGTGTTTTGGACTAGATTTTTTGCTACCATTTTTTTAATAGCATCATCATCCTTACAGTTTTTATTTAGTTGTATGTTTCTCAGTGTCATGATAATAATTAGGCCTATAATAATAAATAATTATGGCCTAATATTATAATTTAATAGGTGGGTCGCAATAAAATCTTAGGTATTGGTGGGTCGCAAAACCAAAAAGTTTGGGAACTGCTGTTGTATACAAATACAAATTTTAAAAGTTAGATTGGATTCCCATTGTATTTTTTGTAGGTTTATGTTTTTGTGATAAAAAATTGTTTAAATTATTAAAAGTAGTAGGCCTATAGAAAAACAAGACTACTAGCCTAGTATTCGTAGTATGGATTTCACCTTCTTTATCCTTATTAAACAACCAACAATACATTTACTTTGAAATGCAGTTATATCCATTTATCTTTGCTCAAAAAATAGTCATGAGCAATCAACATAGGCCTACTTCACTTTAAGGTCTAGATACTTTTACACATTTTATAACCTCATTTTCAACAGTAATATAATGGACATAGGGTAATGCAACCTAAATTCCAAGAAAACACAGGGAACATTTTGAACCCAATTTTGTTTAGAAAAATAGGCTTATCGATTGTTTTGTTGAAAAACACAAATATTACAAATTTTTTTTTAGAATCGTGCGTTAAACTTATCACAATCATCACTTTCAGTGTATGCAACACTACACTGAGGATTCATTGTTTGCATATCACAGTTAAAAATCATAAATTTGAATATATTTTCTTAAATTATTCGTAGAAACAAAAGCTCATTAATTTAATGAAAAGTTGTCTGAAATATTTTTATTTAAACAGTAGGACAGCATAATTAAATTTACTTTTTTAGCTCTTGTCCTCTTCATATCAGTACGAAAATATTTTTCTCCGCTCAATTAAATGGCTATGAGATACCTAGCCTACAATTAATAATTACTCTAACACAAAACAATGAAAATCTTAACATAGGCCTGCCGGCCTACTTTGAAAAATGCACTCAAGATGTAAATATGCACTTCCTCTTTGAATAAGTAGCCTTACATGTTTAATTTAACTGTCTCTTCACTACAGGGTTTCTCCAAAATTTTAAGAACTTAGTACTGCTACTGCTTCAAAAGAGGCCTGGTTCTGTTCACATATTAAAAAAATGTGTTTCTTAACAAAAAATTGACTCTTGTAGTAGTGTTATCATTTGTATTTTGTTTCAGGTGTGATGATGTAGAGTAATATTAAATACAAGACTTGATTTGCACACTAGAAAACGTAAGAGACTCACGTGTTAAGCGGATGGTATTTAGAACTGGGGAGTAGACACCATGACTATTGCTACGAGAGGACAGGGGATCGCTGTGGACCCGCCTCCTGATGGCCAGAATAATGTACAGGTAACTCTTGAATAGTACTCACATGCTTAAGGCCTTTTCACACCGGCGTACTGGGCGTCGTACAGTACGTACAGAACGTACTGTACGCGGTCCTTTCACACCGCACAGAAACTTCCAAAACGTACACTTGTTCGTTCGCAGTCAGACAAGTACACTGGCTGAGCACGTGGTTTTGAAGTGTTCACTGCGCATGCGCGAGCCCATGTACGCCACGTACGTTTTAGAAAAATCGCTCTCCGAGCGATTAACACAAAACCATCGCGTACGTACAGTACGTTCTGAACGCGCGGTGTGAACGAGCTCATATGATAACATGGGCAGGGATTTGTTGAAAAAAAAACGTACCAAACGTACAGTACGTCCAGTACGCCGGTGTGAAAAGGCCTTTACTGTCAAAAACTCTTAACATAGCTCTAAATAGTTTTTAAACATCTCACAAAATGCCTTGATGATTAAACATAATCTGCATGTATAAGTTGCTGTTTTGATCATTGTTATTATTATATTAATAACATTTATACTTACTAGATCAATAAATGGGAACCACCTGCAGTAGTTGCAGGTAGTTTTATCGCCTTTATATTTAACCGACCTCAATTTTTTTAAGCTGTATCAATTAGGGTACATAAAGGAGATGGCTGAGATATATTTGTTATAATGACTAAAGCAATAAGTTAGATGTAGGCCTAGTCCCAAATTAAACAATTCTATATATAGTGACATCGCTCTTTGTAGTGCCTCCTACACCTTCGGAAAATATTGACTCCACTTTAAATGTATAGAAATGGATTTTATATTAATAGTGTTTTTGTTTTCAATTCTAGGTGTTTTATTTTCAATCCTTTTTGTTTATGTTCATAAATCTAAATTTGAATTAATAATACATGTTATCTTATACATATCTTATACATGTCTGACATGTTATCTTATGGGTCGTCTGGCACTAAACAACCCTACTTGAGACGTTGCAAACTCTACGCGGCCTGGAGTTAAAGGTGGCTGTGGCTATACAGTATCATAAAATGATTTTATACTGAAATATTCAGTCACAGGTACTGCAATACCAGCTGCGAGGCATTTTTTTGCTACTTGGCACTACCAAAAGCAAAGTCACTAATAGAGTCTACAATGTACCATAGACAACCAAATTTTGAATGATAAGGATATGTTTAACTTTTGTTAAAACAAACCCTTAAAGGTATTCAATACTTTTATGTAGACAGCAAAAAATTAAATTAGAACTTCAATTTCGACTCAAAGGACGTCAACCAATTCCCTGAACACAATCCTCTCACAGATTTGTACCTGTGGCAGACAACAAAGAGTGTTTTAAAACATCCAAATGCTTAAAATATATGATTAAAATATAACATTGTTAAAAAATACATTGATAGTGAGTTATAATAAGTTATAACATTATGCTTCCTACGCTATTACGGCTATAATGCTTATTTAGTACTTTTCAATGTTTCATAACTTTAAAACCAGTTGAGTCCACAAAATAAAATTATTACAGCATAATACTCTTTACTTAGTACTATATCTGAGCCAAATTTGAAATTTTTATTTTCATGCCCAACAAAGATATTAAGCATCAAACTTTTGAAATTTTGAAAATTTTAAGATTTTGACAATTTTTATTTAAAACCCTATGCAAGTCCACAACTTGAAACTTTGAGAATTTGGAGTACAGACCTATAACTATCAGATAAAAAAATGACAAACACATAGTCAATTGCCTTTATATAAAAATAAATTGTTTAAAATCAGTATTTGTAACATCGTAACGTTGAACTTTAAACAGGTAATTAGACCTATATATTTAGTTTTAAGTGCATCAATATATTACCATATTAAAGTTCAGATCTTTCTGAAGAGATTGGTTTTTATTTTAATGTTCTAGGATTAGTAGAACCAGAGATACTTAATTTTACGTAGAGCTCTGAAATCGCTGAAAACGGCCGTTTGGGTAACAAAAAAATGGCCGCCATACAGTAGAAAAATAAAATAAAAATACAATAATTGTATTTTTGTACTTATAATAATATATACTTTCAAGGATAAAAATATGGAAAAAATTAAAAATCTTGAAGCAACCAATTAATTTATTTCTGGACCACTTGATATGGATTGACCCGAAAATATTGAGTTTGGGATATTTTTGTTAAACTTTGTACAACTAAATCTAGACTTCTACTTGACCGATTTTGTTAATTAATGGGTCATTAGAAAGCCTAGCTCGTGTAGATTTGCAAATAATTATAAAATTATGATTTTATTAAATATTTGTGGTGAAAAAGTAAAAATAACAAAAATATATTAAAAACTGCTTTTTTCAAGTTTTTGTTTTCAAGATTCTATTTGTAGCCAGCTTTTGGCTGCCTTTATTAAGTATTTTCAAGAAATGCATAGTAGTTATTTGTAGTAAATTTTATTCTCTTTCAGAATATCACATTCAGTTTGGTTGATTTCCTCTCCATTTAAAAGATATTGGCAATAAACTAAGTGATCTCCAAATTTATAGTGGTGAGAAGATACTGAATTTGATATATTTTTGTTAAACTTTGTACAACTAAATCTAGACTTGTACCGGACCGATTTTGTTACTTGAAATGGGTTGTAATGGAAAGCCTAATTTGTGTACCTACATTTGCAAATAATTATGAAAGTTTGATTTTATTATATATTTGAGGTGAAAAAAATAAAAATAAAAAATAATACATTTAAAACTTCTTTTTTTTCAAGTTTTTATTTCAAATTTTATAATTGTAGCCAACTTTAGGCTGCCTTTATTGAGTATTTTCAAGAAGTAAAACTGTATGTACTTAAACTGTACCATTAATATTTAGTGAGTAAAGTGGTGTATGAATTTCATAACCATTATTTTACTAGAGACTGTTTTATTTAAACACAACGGGCACTGATGCTAGTAAGTTACATAATTTGAGTTACATGTTAAACTACAACTGTTCCAAAAGAAACAAAAAATCTTCACCTCGTTTGTAAACTTATTTAGATCAATTTAGTTACCCACTTACAGATTGGTCTGTTTGTCTGTGTTACAGCCGGGTACATTGGGAGTGGGAGTGGGAGTGGGGGTGGGGGTGGGGGTTGGTGTTGAAGGAGAAGGAGTAGAAGGAGAGGCACCACCTTCTGAAGATAAGAAGGAGCCATGCACAGAGCCGTACTGCTCGTGTCAAGAGCCAGACTTCCCTCATGCAAAGTTGGCGATGCTAGATGAGAAGATCAGCAGTCCTCGGTGGGTGGTGCCTGTACTGCCTGAGCAAGAACTGGAGGTCCTCATGCAAGCCGCTATCAATCTGTGCAGAACTGGTAAGAATGATAAAATACTGTACCTTATGTTGAGTAACTTTTAAAATGTCCTTCTTTCACATCACAGGACACTAGGTACTAGCTAGAGCCTCTTGGAATTTTCTTTTAGCTAAAGCCTTTAAAGCTATTTGATCTCAGGACCAAAGCCCCTATAACCAAACGAGCTCGCTGAAGTGGATTGGAAATTAACGACATAGGCCTATTTGATTTCTAACATGACCCAAGTGCAGAAATGTTATCTTTAGTTAGTCATTAATGATTTGGAAGTTCTTTAGTATAACATATAAATATGAGAACTTCACTAACATTCTATTTAAACTACAGTCTTAGCACACATCCAATGTTTAAAGACACCTATTTTATTATACTAGCCTACCACAGCTTGGTATTCCTGCTATAATTTGAAAAAGATATATTACAATTTTGTTTTAGTTTGAATTGTAATTGGTAATTTCTAAGTTTGACAGTAGGTAAGGAAACCCCTCCAGTTTTTAACTGGCCCTACATTTAACCTACAATCAACCTACCCAGCTTCCTGATACGTTGTGTGTGACGTTAAAAACACTTAGCAATAAAAGAAGTTAAAGTAATTTACCTTAAATAAAAAATAAATAGGGCCTATCCTTAAAAACATCGAACTTTAAAACGTATTATCTTATAAATAGTAGTGGATATTGCAGTAGGCCTATTTTAATAACAAATATCAAATCCTTGTTGCAGGACAAGATGTCCGTAGTGAAGCGTGTCAAAGGTTTTTCCGTGAAGGGCTGACCGTTTCATTCACCAAGATCCTGACAGACGACGCAGTCAACAGCTGGAAGCATAACATCCAGCTGTGTATACTGCAGAACTGTGAGAGGCTTGTGGAACTGTGTGTCATTAAACTTAGCCAAGACTGGTTCCCACTGCTGGAACTACTAGCCATGGTCTTTAACCCAAATAACAAGTAAGTTGTGTGCAATTTGTCGCTACTGTAGTTAATTACCTCCATCATCTTAGTTGGAACAGTAGATCAATCTATCTATATAATTAATACGTGAACACGATGTTTCTCGGTTGAACTCCTCCACCATTTCTTAACCGATGTTATCGAATGACGTCTCATTGGAAAGAGCGAGTCGCGTATATTTGCAAACTGGCCTTACATTTTTGAAAAAGTCCCTTGGGCTCTGCCTCAGTGGCTTTGAAAGTTCCCATGTTATCCTTATGAAGAACATAATTGTTAACATTTTGATCAGCTGTATAATTTAATTACTGTTATTTATTTTTCAATTCAATGAAATGCATTGAGTACATTTATTTATTAGGTTTGTGTAAACATAACCCCCAAGACGGATCCTGTTAGCATGGTTGTATCTTAAATTTGTGTATTTATCGTTGTTTTGTGTCGCTATCACGGATTGTATTAGCATGATTGTAACTTAAATTTGTGCATTTATCGTTGTTTTGTGTAGCTATAATTTGTTTATTTGTTGTTTTTTCTTTTAAATGCCTCCGATGCGACGACAACGAAACATAGACAGGAGGCGTAATCGTGATAACGACCGCAGCTACAGAACAGTGGCGCTTAATAGGCTTAACTTATCACAGTCAGCATCTGACCTTGGACAATCTCAACTATTAGGTTACAAACACGCCCTAACAGCCCTCTGTTAATGACCTGTGTTGCCTAACAGCGAGGCGTTTTGAGAAAGAGAAAACCGGCCGGAATGCTTTAGGTTTATTAATAACGAAGATCAACATGGACAACCTTTTAGAAGTGAGGAAATGTTTGTAGAAAACATTAAAAAGCAATATCAGGTTATGAAATATGATACAATATTTACAGGTAATTTTGATTACTGTTATATACAACGTGAGTATCTGCTTGAGTTGCAGACCGGTAATCTTTGAGTTGACTCTTCAAACTCATTGTAAATATGATTGATATTCGTTTTTAAATAACTCCTGCAATACTTTGCAATTACAATTAGATTAAATTAAATTAAATTAAAATTAAATTCGAGCAAGTACACTTAGTAGAAGATAAAAGTAATAGGCCTACTTAAATTCATAAACAAGAAATGTATATTAGGTTTGTTCCATACAGTTATTTAAACTTCAATTGTTGTCCGTATCGCCAACTATCCAGATCACCGCTTAGGAGGAAAAAAATCTGACTGAGGAAATAAGTTAATTGTCGTGTTTTTCTGGTTTGAGGTAATCTGTAACGTGTTTGAAACGTGTGCCAAATTTTGTGTCATCTGTGCAGACGCACCTATTGTAGCATTGAATGGAACGGCCCGAAATGAGTCATCTGCCTAGATCTACTGTCTTATAATAGACAGGATGTCTCGTAGCTGGGAAAAACGGGAAAGTCGGAAATTAGTATTGAATTTAAAAATGGTTTTGAAAAGTCGGGATTTAGTCTTTATTTAACTGTCGCAGTCGGGATTATTATGGATCATGTAAAATTTAAACAAAATTTCAATGTTTTGCCACAATTGCGCAAGACGACAATGCCATTTTCGTGACCACGAGAATCGATGATGATGTCTACACAGCTAGGAGAGATAGGCCTAATTAGAATTTTTTTCGACTACCGGTACAGGACATTTTCATGATTTTGCCGCAACCTTGGGACGGTGATGATTTTTACACGGCTGCCAGAGATATTCAGATTATTGCCGCAATCACTGGAGACGATGGTGATGTCTATACGGCTAAAGAATTGTAATAAATTTGCCGCGATCTCAATGAAAAATTGTGCAAGACGAAGATGACGCTGGCTTCCAATATCCCGGGAGATGATGATTATGTCCACATATTCATAAGAGATGTTCATGGTTTTGTTGCGATTGCGGGAGATAATGTCCATATGTCCGTAGGAAATATTCGTAATTATGCCACGATCGCATGAGTGGTTGTTAAAGTTTTCGTGACCACAGGAGACGATAATGGTGATTCTGTTCATTTAGGATTTTGCAGTGATTTCAGAAATTGACGATTATGTCTCTATGACCGCCAGAGATGACCACGATATGGGGATAGCACACCGCTAGTTATAATAAAAATTTTTTTTGACGTTAGATCTTTACTTACTTTTCATATGGTAGTTATTTAATGTGTTAAGAAGAGTTTAAACCCAAATTGGTTTGTTAGAAATTTTCTTCTGTATTGTATTGTTGCAATAGTTTTTTCTTTACTTGAAAAACACCCCATTATCTCAAAAATACTTCATGATATAGAGACAGGGGTCGGTGTAGTATAACCAATTCATTTAGAAAATTTGGTAAAACTAAAAAAATTGTATCGGTATCAAGAATTGAGAAGATTTTTCAGGTATCGGTAGCGATCAATTTTGGTATCGACACTTAACTAATTGTTAGAAGAACTAGTCTTGAATAGTCTGGAATCAGTCTTGAATTTTAAAATGGAAATAAACTAGACACCCTGGCTAGAAAGTTTTTCTTGAAAATCCGACTGTCCAGTTTTTTATTAGGCTATGGAGGTATGACAGTCCCAATTAATTAGGATAGTAGGAGTTCTAATGTATTTTACCTAACCCGCCATGTTTAACTTCCCTATCCCAAGCGTGATTTATACAACTTCTTTACTTCACGAGTGATGGAAAGTTGAAAAAACTCACTTGGTGAGGTAGTGAAACCCATTTAAATAACATCGAGTGGTTAGCTTTAAAAATATACCTCTATGGAGCCAACGACGTTCAACCCTAGAAATCATCTGTGCGCTTGAATTTTATTGTTATGCTTTGAAGAATTTTCCTAACCTAGTTTTTGTTTGTAAATGAACGTTACTGTTAGAAGATGAGTGAAATGCATAATGACAAATTTTGTTCGTAACCTCCTGTATATTGTCGGGTCAGGTAAAATCTTGTACGTTACACGTTACGCAAGAGCTTGTTTACATCACTTAGGATAATTATGCAACTCGCTTCCGCTTGTTGCACAACATTCACCTGCGTGATGTTAAAACGCTCTTACTACACTTGTAATGTAAATAGCTATTAATCAGGTTCTGCTTTACTAAGCTTCTACTTGTATCGTCTATGATAACAAATAGTTTAAATGATTCTGTTAATAAAACTATTTAAGATTAACTATTTAATAATTGGTATTTGGATACACCTTATTTTACAACTGATATAGGTTGAAGCACTTTTATGTGAAAACTATCTAGGCTATTGTAAATGATTACACTTAATCTTTAAAATATAAGATAAAATTACTAACTTATGTTTACCGTTAGTGTTAGGTAAATACAAACTTAATCTTATAAACTAATCAAATTAGCACTATGATGATAACATATATTATTTATATATACAGTAGTTTTTCCGGTTAAGCCGACGTCCCCATTAACTTGTTAAAACAGACCGTTTATGGTGATATTCAACTTAAATTTAGGAGAGCATTGTATTTGGACATGTGGTCACTGGTCTCAAATCTTTCCCACGAGAACAGTCGTTTCAGTACTGCCCACTTCCTGCCAATCTAGTCTGGTTAAAGAGATGTCATTTCCGTCGAGTGTAGTCCGGTTAAACCGATGTCCGGTTGGTCCCGGATAAGAGGGAGTCTACTGTATATGTTAAATTATTTTATGTCATGACCTAAACTTAACCAAAAGGATAATAATAAAATTGATTAAACATTGTACATCTGCTTGGTAGGTTCCACTCGTTCAATGCTTCTCGAACGTCAGAGTCAGTTCCGCCCAACTCCACTGTGCCAGATGAGGACATCTACGCTAGACCTCCACCCGACTCCCGCACTCCCCGCGGGTGGCTGGTCGACCTCATAAATAAGTAAGTAAACAAATGACAACGCACTTTTAGTGTTTTTTGTCTTCACAATATTTTATTATTATTGCATCGAACCCGTTCTAATTATTTGAAGTGTATGTGTTCTATTAATGCTATACTAGAGATCCAGTGGTCAAAACTCTACCAACAATTTTTAATGTACAGACTTCTCTATTTTCACCCCACGCTGTAAATAAAACATGTGATTGGAATTTCCTCCATTTGTTTTGATTTCCTGTTAATATTTCGTTGTTACTTTGTCACCAACCATAAGACCAATTTTAATTTAATTTTAAATTCATTTTTTGTGTTTATTTTTGAGCTTATCTGAATTTATAAAGGGGTTCTGCACATCTACAGGAAAATATATTTCTAACATTATGCGTACATTTTCCCTGCGATGTACGTGAGCTGAGAAAGAAGGTTTCAAAGAAATATGCGCTTGCCTATTAATATATAGATATCTTATTTTCTTTTTATATAGGCAACATTATTATAATAATCTACCAAATTCGTCAAAAGTGTAAAATTACAAAAATGACCTTAAATAACAGGTATGATTGAACGACTTTAAACACCTATAATAAATTTTACCACATTTCCAATTACTATTTTATTGTACGCTTGTAGCATTTAACACCAAATAGAGCTTGTTCAACGTGAGCTATTGTTACCTGTAGATTCGGCAACCTGGGAGGTTTCCAAATTCTGCTGGAAAGGTTCCAGTCCGGCAAGAATCTGACAGTTCCTGTGATCTACGCGTTGATACGTCCCTTCGGCCTGTGTCATGAACTGCTCACCGTGCACACAATCATCAAGTACCTCATGCCGATAGTGGTGAGTAGGCTACAACCACCTATTAGCGTTGACTTGGTTGTATTAATATTGAACAGCTAGTCAAATTTTAACTGAAAAGAACATATTTGTTGGTGGAGCTCAATTCAACTAGGAATACGTTCATTTGTTTACTTACCAAAGTTAGTTACCAAAGTTTTCCTAATTAAATTTGTCTAGCATACCCCCAAATGTTGTCTTTACTGTATGTCTTATCCGTTGTATGATTAATTTCTTGTTTTATATTGCAGGAAATGGTGCCGGATATTTTGGATAATTTAACAGATGATGAAATTAAAAAGGAGGCAAAAAATGAATCGAAAAATGATGCAATATCAGCTATTATAAAAGCAGCAAAAGCATTAGCGTCACGAGTTCCAGATCAAGAGGAAACAATAAAAAATTTGGAGATTTTTAGATTAAAAATGATTTTAAGGTAGGTAATAAAATCTTAGTTGATCTCTGTGTATTAAATAACAATAAATATATTTTTATAATAGGTAAGTATTTAAGTAAACAAGATTTATCCTTCCTAGCATTATCACATTTATCAGTTCTGGTGTTTATTGTTTACTCATATATTTTAATATCAAATCAAATAATTTTTATTGTTGCATCAAATGTATCTAGCATTATTACAATAAATGTTTAAAAATATCAACCTAAATACAAAGACCATTTACATTCATTCATGTATTAAAGTTTTGTTTATTATTTGCTCCAAATTATTGTAACTTAAAAATATAGGCCTACTCTTTTGGTTGTGTAAGAATACAATTCTGTAATTTCTTAGTTTATAACTTACTAAGTTTGTTTTACTGCCAGTTTATTTAAAAAAAGGTTTATGCGATTTGTGAATAATCCGGTGTTTTCATAGTCTTGATAAATTTTAAAGCTGTATACAAATTAATCTTTTTGTTCAATCTTTTTTTCTTTGATAATTTTTTATCTACACTGGACATTTATTCTTGATTGGTGTTTTATTTATTTTTTCAGATTATTACAAATATCATCATTTAATGGTAAAATGAATGCTTTAAATGAGGTAAACAAAGTAATAGCCAGTGTTACGTATTATCCTCATAGACATTCTGGCATAGAACAAGAGGAAGAGTGGCTAACACCAGAAAGAATGGCAGTAAGTATCGTAAATAGATGGGCGTAAGTAATCGTTACTGAAATAAGTGATTAAATATGCTTGTAAGGTGAATCACTTCAATGGTTGGAAACTTGAATTAATAAATAGACCTACTTTCCTAAAGTTGATTGGTATGGCTTAATAAGTATTGGAAAAACTCTTAAGCATAAATGAACACTGACAACAGCTTAAGATTTTGCAATTTAGCTTAATAAAGAGGCTATACTTCCGGCAAAGATTCGTGGCGGCTGTGGGATTAAGGTGATCGAGAGGTGCCCCTAACCCTAATATATAACAGTGTAGGCTATACTTAATATCATCGCAATTATTTCGAGTTTAGTCTCAATGTTCTTGTTATTTGATGCAGGTTGAAGAATTACGTTATTGAATACAATTTATGGTGAAATGCAAAAATTTTACCAACAATGCATTGAGCCCAGTATTACGTGATACTGGCTACTCATGGCCAAAACCCAGAGCGGAGGCTGACCAATGCCTAGGACACTTCTCGACCGTCCAAATCCCTCAGCAGAAATGAATCTTTGTGCGGAGTATAGCTATAAAAACATATTGTAATTTTAGGCCTATAAAAACAGTCTCATAAGTTCTAAACTTGTTTTTAAAATGTTTTTGTTGGTCTAATATGTTTTAAAAATTCAGTGATTAGATGTTATGCTATGTAATTTGTACCATAAATATTCTCTTTCTATTATGCTTGCAACACAGTTTCCTTGATTCTCAATCTCTTATGATATTTTTTCAGAAATGGATCAAAGATAATAATGTGTTAGAAATAGTGCTTCGAGATTCCCTACATCAGCCGCAGTATGTAGAAAAATTAGAAAAAATATTGAGGTTTATAATAAAAGAGCGGACTTTATCGTTAGAAGACTTGGATGCAGTTTGGGCAGCTCAGTGCGGAAAACATGAAGCAATCGTCAAGAATGTTCATGACCTGTTGGCCAAACTTGCCTGGGACTTTTCACCTGAACAACTGGACCATCTCTTTGAGTGTTTTCAGGTAAGAAATGTTAATTGAAAAATATAGTGTGGATTATTTAGCCTTAGCATGTCCTACCAGTTGGAATAGGTCTACTGGATATTATATTTGTGAATTTGTAAAGTATTTCGTTCAGAGTTAAAACCATGTGGACCGATGGCATCTGCTTAAAACTTACTAAACGCTAGGAAGTACTAAACGTGTTACATGCATTGTCTTCACAAGAAAAGCTTCACCATATCAGAATCAGAATCAGAATCAATAATCTTTATTCGGTCTGTACATACATGAATAGAGTCAATACATTCAATACATAGGCTACAAATAGTTTTAAAGAAATCTTAACATATAAAATCAACAATTAATATCGGTTTTATAAAAAAAAAAAAAAAAAATAAAAACCTTCATTCTCAATAGAAACAAATCTATACATTAAGAACAGCAAGTATATGCAAAAATTCAAATATGAAGAGATATACATTACAAACTGATAGATTTAAAACTAATATTCTTGTCAAATTTAAAAGGTGAATAAAAATCAAATAAAAAACTCTTCTATAGAGTAGCAATTCTTTGTTAAAAGATAAGCTTTAACTTTATCCCTGAAACATTTTTTATCCATATGAGTTTTTAAATTCAATGGCAATTTATTTAAAAATTTTGTCCCCATGTAAGTCGCTTTTTTTTCAAAAAAGCTAAGTTTATGTTGGGGGATGTCAGTTGTATTTCTATTTCTAGTATAGTAGGAATGTATATCTCTACGGAAGATGTGATTGTGGAGCTGACTTTTTGTGCAAATTATGCACTCCAAAATATATTGGTCATACACTGTTAGTATGTTTAAATTGCAAAACTTATTTTTTACCGAAGCGTCACGCTCTAGATTTAGCATTATTCGCAAAGCTCTAGAGCCCTTATTCGCAAACCATTAATCCCTCTAAATATTATACTTAAAGGCTAAATAGGATGTCTTGGTAGCTTGATTGAAATGGTTGATTACGTTTACAGGCAAGTTGGACTAATGCAAATAAAAAACAGCGGGAGAAGCTTTTGGAGCTGATCCGTAGGCTGGCTGAAGATGACAAAGATGGTGTCATGGCACATAAGGTGAGCTATTTCCACCATTTTTATTTAGTCTGACAAATCATTAGAGATGATGTATCTTAGTGGTTGTGTGAAAGTTGGTTGCAAAAATGTGCAAAATCTGTCTTTAACTCTCAACAATATTTATTTAAGGTTTGCATTTTCCACTTAAATTATCTGTGTTCACATAGGTAACAGTTTTACATATTTTCTTTCTTCATTAGTAACTAGTTTATTAGACATTTGTTATTCTAATAACCTCAGTAAACCGTGATATCTACAATACGACTTAAATTTTGGTCTCTACATCAGATTATGGAAAAGATATTGTAGTTTTATACTAATGTGTTATTTTATTCATTGTAACATGCTTAGTTTAAAAATTCTTGAGTATGATTTTTCTCTTTGTGATAGATTTAAAAATAAATACGGACAGTTCTACACCGTGTGGATACACTAATACAATCCGAGTGATTTATAAGGATGCTCTAAATTTAATGCGTTCTTTTATTTTCAATCAAGTTGTAGATAAAATGAGTGGCTCTATTCTACGATCTATACTACCTATGTCAAACTAAGGGTCTTGGAGCCCCCATATTTTTGGATCGCAAACCTTACAGTTTTCCCAAGAGCTCAGTTTTTAAGACAGAAATAACTTTCAGACCAAGTTTGGGTCAGGTCGTAATGCTTGAGATGTGTAAGCTGCTTGATTTTACGAGCCAAGCTTTTAATCTTCTGACTGAAAGGATATATGATAGAAATCGGGATGTGTTAGAGGTTATGGCAGGATCGTATGAGACCATGATGTCCCTGCGACCACAGGATATGTGTATTAGCCATCTGATATTTCAGGACATTTCTTCCGTATATTGATTAATATGTATTCAATGTGCGTCAATGATGTCGACAGGTGTTAACGCTGTTTTGGAACTTGGCACACTCTGAAGATGTGATGACGGACCACATGGACCAGGCACTGGCAGCTCATATTAAGATCCTTGACTACAGCTGTTCCCAGGTAAGTCCGAGTACTTGATTGAGCGGAGCGAGCGAAGCGAGCGAAGCTCTTTGGGATCAACTTCAATACAAACAATATAACACCATCACTCAATAACGGCTGAACACATTTCAGCCAATCTTAACAAGACTACTTAGACTAATAATGAGATGGTTTGTAAACAAACAAATTTCAATTAGATAATGCTAATGCAATTTAAAACGAACTTAAAATTTCAAATTTTTAACATTAGGCTTATGGGACTAAAGTAGCTATGACAGTTTTTTTGTTTACAAGAAAAATGTAAACAAGAGAATCATAAGGTATTTCTGAACTTTCTATACTTTTCTTTTAAACGTTTTTAAACCATTCCTGTGATTTTAATAAACAAGAAAATGACGTTAAAACATTTTTTTAAGGCGCGGAATTCACTGAAAATCGAGAAAATATACGGAACTACTTTCTCAATGCGCGGAGCATAAACAAGGAGCGGAGGGATACGGTACGGTGACTACTTTCTTGGGAACCTATTTGTGTTGCCAGCTGATTAGAAACAGCCAATGTTAGAAATCAGGATTTAATAAGCGATATATCGAACCGCATCGAAATCGGTATTTAATCCGATAATACCTCATAGGTTATATTATGTTGAATTACATCGACGGTACAGTAAGTTATTATACTTATTGATAAAACGCAGATTGAACACTGATCTAATTTAGGCATGTGGGGAGGTAGGTCGGGGTTTATGGGTATTCATGACTACATTAAGTGTTTTGAAGTAATGTTAGATTAGGAAGGTAAAGTGTAGGTTATAGGTAGGTGATTGGGTTGTTTATTTGTGTTGCACCATATATTTTTTATCTTTTGGAATGGAATAGTTGGTTAAGGTTAAACGGGGAAACGATTTCAAACATGCTTGCATATTGTCTTAACTTAACAAACCATCTACAGTATTCTAGCTTTGACTTTATATAAAGTCAATGATTCTAGCAAATTATTACATACTGACAAAAATAAATGAGAACACTTGGATTTGGACCTTTGACCATGGCAAAACTAACATATAATTTATGGAATGTGAAAAGTTGTATTTCATTATATACTATTCTGTAATATTAATAATTATTCGGTAAATCCTCATTTTAATGGCTCGGCTGAAAATGGAATCTGCATTTTGTGAAACAGTAATTTGGTAATAATTCAGTCATTTCAAATGTTGATAACAGTAGCCTATCCTATATAAATACTGTTATTTGATTGCCAAGCCACGGACTATACATACGTCCAGTTACAACCGTAATAAGTAAACCTGGGCTTATAGACGTACACTTTTAACCACGGTATGGATAATTGTCTAGGCCTGTCCAGAAGTAGGCTACTGATTTCTAATTATATTATCTACATTGTATATTTAAGGCATGTCTTCCCTACTTATTATATTATTCTGTTTTCACTTAAATCGGCTGAATGCGATGTTTACTTATTACTTATGTTTATGCCTACATTTCAGCCATCTTATTTTATTGTTCAATAAGTAAATATTTTTGCAGTTTTTACGTTTTTACACATTGAAATACATGACTGATAGTTCAGTTTATTTTAGTCTTTTAAAGGCGTTTTACATTTGAGTCTTACATTAAAATAGCCCTACATTTTTAGTAGGCCTATGTTTTATCTTTGACTATCAAAACAACTAGACATTCCATCCCCATGTTGAATTTGTAGCCAGCATTGTCATCAAAATCTACTGTATTCAATGGTCAATAGTATTATTAAGGCCAGTATTAAAATGCCGTCGCTAATCGTCCTAATAATGGCAGAAGACCTACATTCCAGTTACATTACAATCATATCCTCCATCAAGAATACTTGGTATGTGAAAAGTTGTATATCATTATATACTATTCTGTAATATTAATAATTGTTCCGTAAATCCTCATTTTAATGGCTCACGATAATCATAAATAATCAATAATAAATAATAATGAATAAATAATTCGTATAATCATAAATTATTTCCAGCAAAGAAAGCTGAGTTTAACCGATGTTTATGCTGCACAGTTGAATTTAAATGTCACATTTCCTCTCCTGTTGTTATACAATACTCGTTTTTTAATAGGTACCTACTGTTTTTTTATACTTAAATACTTTAACCAATTGTAAGGGTGAAAAATGAGGTCCAATGTTTTTGTTGTAGGCTACAGTTGAATTTGAATGTTAAATTTCCTTTCTCTTTTTTATACTTTAATGCCCTTTTTGGATGTTAATATCAGATTCGAACTACTGTAATATTTTCCTGGTCAAAACTACCATAATGCACTTCTCGAAGAGGTAAATTTGAATTATTATAATTTTAATCTTTAAAACCAGCATTTAGTAAATAAATCTATTGACCTTTTTACATTTAGTTACTTATACAAATATCAAATCACGTTTGTTCCCCTCAACTGGCTTTCAACTCTCTGAAAGCAACCCTAGTTTTAATTTTTGAACTTCAGTTTCTCTAATTTCTGGTTCTCAGAAAAAAATAGTCTGATAACAAACCTAAAAACATTTGATTTAACAAGACAGTGTAAGGCTGTCAATTTTTCCATCCGTTATCACTGAAATATTACATTTGTTTGGCAGGAACGAGATGCCCAGAAGACAGAATGGTTGAACAGATGTGTAGAAGAGTTGAAGACATCAGAGACGTGGGTGCTGCCTGCGCTGAAGCAAATACGGGAGATATTCTGTCTGTATGAGCCAAACCCCACAGTGAACCATGGCCAGAGGACACACCAAGTCTTCTACAGGTAAGCTATGTTGAATATAATATAAGAGTTGAACTGGTTAAAAAACCTTTGAATGTCAAATATGAAATATGGTTTTAATTTTGAATAATCAAGTTTTGAATTAGAGTTGTAAATTTAGCTATGAATAGAACGATAAAACTAGAGATTCTGATTCTGCTCTCATGTCAAAATTGTAGCCAGTTTTAGGAAAAAATTAACACACCTATTAGGATATTAAATAAATCTCCCAAAAGTTTATTTTCTTTCCACATAATCAAATGGTATAGTTAGAAATTTATAAATCTGCAGAATAAGTTGTGTTGTAGCTGAAATGAATTGAAACGAGGAGTTACAAGTTCAGTGTTTACAAAAATAGGGATAAACCAGAAAATCAAGAAGTGGGTTGTGGAAGGAAGTGTAAAGAATAGACCAAAACTATTCAAATCTATATTCCATCCTATTTAACTGATTCTTACGATTAAGGTGTCATTTCAAAGCTTATCAGTGCCGGGTTTATCTCTAGGCTGATTGGCCGCAAGCAAAAGGGGGCCGCATTGAGAAAAGCATTTTTTTAGATAAAAAATAATTTATTTTAAACCACCAGTTTGCCGCTATCACAGGTGACCATAATGATGTCTCCGGGAACCGAGGGAGATGTTCACGATTTTGCCGCGGCGGCGGGTGCCGGTGATGATGTCCCCGTGATGCATAGGAGATATTCATGATTACTTCCACTTACTTACTTACTCCTGTGGCCACACAAATCCCAAGTGATTTTTGGCCTCGCCAACAATGCTCCTCCACTGCTGCCTATCTTCTGCTGCCTCCAAACTTGCTCCTAACCTCCTGAGGTCCTGCCTCACTTGGTCATTCCATCTTAATCTGGGCCGTCCCAGCGGCCGTCGTCCTTCTGGTTGCCCCATCCATACCTTCTTAATCATACTGTTATCATCTCTTCTATATACATGTCCCAGCCATCGTAATCTTCTGCTCTTTACCATTGCTATGATATCTGGGTCATTATAAAGTTCTCTTAATTCTTGGTTCTTCCTTATCCGCCATTCACCATTGTCATTAATAGGACCAAACACTCTACGTAAGATTTTATTTTCAAAAACTATCAATTTCTTTTCATTTTGCTTTGTAAGTGTCCAGACTTCTGCTCCATATAGTAGAACTGGTTGTATTATTACTTTATACATCTTTATTTTAGTTCTTCTTGTCAGGAGTCTACTTCTAAATAGTTTTGTTAGACTCCAATAGCACCGTTGAGCTGCTGTTAATCTACATTGGATTTCGTCGTCTTGTCTGCTTTCACTTGTTATTGTCACTCCCAGATATTTAAAATTGTCAGTTTTTGTGAATTTAAAATTTAAGACTTCCAAGTATGGTTGGTTATCAGGTAGTCTACTTATCTTCATTATCTTAGTTTTCTCTTAATTTATTTTTAATCCCACTTTTTGTGTTTCAGTGATAAGCTTTTCTGCTAGCTCCTTAATATCTTTTTTATTTTCTGCTATTAGTGCCACATCGTCTGCAAATGCTAGAACGTTTGTCTTTCCGCTAATCTTTGCACCTCCCTGAAGACTGCTCACCTCTCTCAGCGCTTCTTCAATGACTATATTAAATAATAATGGGGATAGTGCATCGCCTTGTCTTAGTTCGGTGTTAATTCTAAAGGTGTCTGAGTATTCATTTTCTACTTTGACTTTTGATATGGTCTTAAATGTGCACATTTTCGTAAGATTGACAAGTTTCTTTGGAATCCTGTGTTTTTCCATCAACTTCCACATTTTTTGTCTTGATTACTTCCACTATCGTAAGGAATTTCCACCACAGGAGAGCCGCTCAAGTAATTTGGCCTAGGGCCGCAAGTACCCTAAATCCGGCACTGAAGCTTATAATCTAAGAGATAGGAGCAATGTTAACTAAAAATAGCCCCGCCGCAGCAAACCTGCAGACTAAGTGAATTTCCATTTACCCGGTTTGATTTCTACTAAAATATTCCCTAACAATTTTCAGATTTGTTTCCTATTTAAATAACATTAATTTTAGTGAGTACTTAGGTTTGCTGCTACGGGGAAGATTTTGAGGTGTGTTCTTTTTATTGAAATGTTGATAGCTTAGTACAAAATAAACAAAATTGCCAAATTTGACTAAATTTTTTAGTTACCCATGTTACCAACAGGGTGCAGTGTTCTATTATTTTTATTTTTTGCATTTATGACAACACCTAATTCCAACTAGCAACAAAAAGCTGAGATAAAATAAAACATTTATATTTTTATTGTTTAGGTGCAATGGTAGAACATTATGGCTATGGTAGATGTGCTATATTATAGCATACCGTAAATCAAAAGAACCAAATTTGCTTAAACCATGTCCTCTCCCATTGCAAACGTAAAGCCAAGTGTAACTGCAATAACTATTTTATTACTTATACGCCAACCCCGTACGAACCCCGGACGCTGGACCAGGCGACTGATACAGCAAGTCCAACCTCGGGTTAATCAGCGGTGCGAAGAGGTGGACTTCTACCTCACCCAATTTCTGACGGGTCACGGCTTTTTCCGGTCGTACCTGTTCAGGATGGGCAAAGCCGTGTCACCCGATTGCATATACTGCCCAGGCATCCCCGATGACGTGGAACATACCTTTTTCCACTGCCAACGTTGGGAAAGGCTAGAGGCTCAACAGTTAGTAGGACTGCTGTCAGTGGACACGGTCATACCGATGATGACGGAGGGTGAGGACAATTGGACCTGTGTGTCACATTACATCCAGGGTATTCTCCGCGCCAAGAAGCTCGACCTTGACCGGGATGCGGTGTAGGTCATAAAGTATTTAAATGCCAAAAACGGCGAGAGCCCTGAGGGCTTAGGTCACATGTTGGCCTGACTTGAAGTAATGTGACAAACAATTCCAGGTCTGTGTCCAACAGAGTAGAGGGGGTTTTTTAGTGAGTAGTCTGTGATAGATTCAGGAGTCTCACACTACAGGCTGGCTACCTGTGTGCGTAAAAGCATTTTCCCTCCTCTCCCTTATTTTTTATTTATTAAAAAAAAACCCCGTACGAAAAACACTGCTAGCTCTCCATAAGAATAACATAGGAATTTTCAATTTACAGTTTTTGTTAATTATCCCTGTAACCGTTGGGCATACGACAAAGCTTCAATATACAATATTATTAATTTTTTAAGAACTTACAAAATAGTTTATAGAGAAATTATGAAATTTTGTGTTTTTAGGGTCAAAAATGGGAAAATCAATTTTACCCTATGAAACCCCCCATAAACCCCCGTTCCCATTGTCCGATTATGCTGGTCCGCAAACTCATTCGTATAAACGTCTAGGTTTACAAGTTTGTACCAAATTTAATGAAAATCGGACCATTTTTGCTTGAGTTATCGCGCTAACGGACACATATATATGTCTAGACAAGTGGAAATTTCAGTAGCCATGGAGCGTTGGAGTAGTGTACAGCAGTTTTTTTTTTTTTTAGGACGCTAGGCACGAACCTGGGATTGTTTTTCACATTACTTCAGGCTAGACCTAGGGGCATTATCACCTAGATAAAATCCATTGGTGACTTGGCGGGGATCGAACCCAGGACCACAGGGACTGAAGTCCCGCGCTCTAACCACTACGCCAGCTCGCTCCCCTCAAATAGAGGACAACAGGAGTTTGCTGTAAAGGCATATTAAAAAAACTTGGATATTATGGTTTGTGCTCAGCACACTTTCTGTTATGAGTTGAGTCTATTGCTGCAGGCTCCCGTGCCATCAAGGAAAGTTATCCACCTTTAGGTGAATAACTTTGAAGAAACTGCTAGCACGACAAAGCACTATAAAACGATTGCAGATGTTATGCAAACGCTAAAAATCGTCATGGGCTGATTTAAATTCATAATTCAACAATGTGTAAAAAACCAAGTACGCCATTTTACTGACACTTAATTATTATTTTTAAGGTGAAACATTAGTTTCTACTCATGTACTTTTAGGATTTATGTTAACAACCATACATTTTTTCTAAATGAATTATTTGTAATTTTACTGCCTCCCCCTGTATTTTTTATTTAATCTTATTGTTTGTTTCAGACAAGAAGTGATAGATCGCTTGCAAAACCAACATGGCCTTGTAGTTTTAGTGACCACTAGTCTTACATGTTACATGGACAAAGTCAGACAATTAGTTAAGGGTAAGTAAACTGAACTTTGCTCGGAAGATAATTGCAGTGTATTTTCACCACTTATAGTTACATTAATAAGTTCAATTCATATGATTTCAGAAGTTTTATTCCGTTGGTTAACAGAAGAAATCACATCCTATGTATTTAAATTAAAATAAAGCCTTAAGCAACAAAATATAATATCGTTCATATATAGGTGATAATATTTGTAAATTCTTGTATTTAATATACACTTATATTTTTTATACAGGGTGTCCCGTAAGTAAACAGCCAAACTCCGGAAAATTGTTCTATGGGTCAAAATAAAGAGAAAATCAAGAATAACATTTTTTTGAAAATGGCTTTGTTAACCAGATATTCTCCATTTTGTTTTTTCACATTACATTTATCTTTAAAGTTTTTCAACCGATCATTATGAAACTTGGTATGTATGTTAAGGTAATAGAGACCCATGTTAGAAAAAAAATCATCTTGATTCATCATAAAATTTCAATATGGCGGCAATTTTAATTCTTTTAACCTAAATTACAAAAAATGGCTGATTTGATAAAAAAACTACAAGAACACTTTTATTTGGTATTTTTAATTCCCTATCAAACGATACCAAGTGCAAAAAGATCGAATAAGAAATAGCTAAAATATTAAGAAAAAGTCTAAGCTACAGACACAACTAGGTTTGCCCCATTTTACAACTAAAAATGTTAATATTTCAGCTATTTCTTATTCAATCTTTTTGAGCTTGGTATCGTTAGATAGGGAATTAAAAATGCCCAATAAAAGTGATCCTGTCATTTTTTCACAAAATTTGCCATTTTAATTTTGTAAATTTTTTGAATTTTTTCTAACATGGGTGTCTATTACCTTAACATACCAAGTTTCATAATGATCGGTGAAAAACTTAAACGATAAAAACATTAATGTGAAAAAAACAAAATGGTGAATATCTGGATTTTGGAAAAACTGTTATTCTCAATTTTCTCTTTATTTTGACCCATACAACCATTTCCCGGAGTTTGGCTTTTTACTTACGGGACATCCTGTATAGTACTTTCAACTACAGTTTGTTTATGTTGTTATGTTTTTGCAGTTTCCAAACTTTAACTTTACCTTTAAACATTTTATTGAATAAGTGTAGGTCTACATTAAATTTAAAAAATTTGATTTTTGTCTTTTTTGTTGAATGAGTAGGCATAAATAAGTTTACACATGTTTTGTTTTAATTTTTCAGATAAGCCTGATTTGGATCCTAATGCTTACTTCCCAGATAAAAGATACAACCATGTTGCACAGGTCCAAGAAAGGCTGAATTTCTTAAGGTTTTTGCTCAAAGTAAGTAAAGATTGTAAACAATGCCTTGTAGTGATAGTTACAATAACAATTTTACCTACAACCATTTTTTAAAGAAGCCTTTAGATGAGTTTTTAAGAAGCCTGATCAGCTCTTTGAATTGAAAAGTTTCACATAACAGCATTGTTGTACTCATAACAACACGGGTAACGGACCAATGAGGTTTAAGGATTGAGAGAGAAGAAGTAAAATTGTAATGATTCGAACTTCAACTAATCAGCTTTTCAGGCCAATTTAATTGTTGAGTGGTGCAGTTAATGTTTGGTTTGGTGCAATGTTTTGTTGCATCACTGTCAGTGGCAATGAGGGGTTATAAACTAAAACATATCCTCTCTTAAAAGTTATGAGTAGTGATTTTTAGTAATTACAACACTGTCCAAGGTAAAGTAGTGTACGCAACTCCCGTAAATAGTGTTAACGACACTCATACAAGTTTTTAAGGCACTCGCCAAGGCTTGTACCTTATATTTTCTACTCGTGTCGTTAACACTATCTGTACGCAATCGTTGTGTAAACTACTATAAGGAGTTCACACGGCTGTATGATTGTAGAAATGCTGAGTAATAGTTCCTTTAACAGTTGGGAGATTCCATGCTCATTTTACTAAGTAACTGTTTCTGTTACTTTGGAACAATATCACGCTTCCAAAGTGTCCCACTGGATTGATTATTTGGTTTTTGTTAAGTTAGGAAGTCAAGTAATTAATTGGGTCAGGTTAGGTTAAGTTAGGTTTTCATTTTTTAAATTTCCAAAATGTGCCTTAGTTTGCATGCCCAGCATTTCTGCACGCAGTCAGTCATATATTTTTGGAAAATGGTGTTAATTTTTCAATTTATTACTGTTCACTATTATAACCTTCTGTTTGCTTTTTTAACCTTATATTTTGTTTTTGTTTATTTTTAACATTACATTTAGTTTTATTTAACATTTCATTTGCTTTCGTTTAACATTTCATTTGCTTTTGTTTAACATTGAATTTGCTTTTGTTTAACACTGTGTTTGCTTTTATTTAACCATGCAAGTCTTTTATATTATAGGAAGGTATAAAACAACATGACATGTTGTGTCAGGAGGGGCAACTGTGGCTGTGCAAGGACCAGGCTCGTCAGATCTGGCAGTGTCTCGCCGAGGACGCAGTCTTCATGTCCGACCGTGAAGCCTGCTTCAAGTGGTTCTCTAAACTAATGGGAGAGGAACCCGACCTGGACCCGGCAATCAACAAGGAGTTTTTTGAGAACAACGTCCTACAACTGGACCCCACGCTGTTGACTGAAAGTGGAATGAAGTAGGTTATGTTATCTTTAAACAGCAGTGACACATTAATGCTTATTTGATGATTAGTGAAGGATGAGAGTGGAATGAAAATAATAACCTTGTGTTGCTTTGTTACTCACAGCTCGTTTAGTCAGAAGCATTTATTAAAAGCCCAATGATCAAGGACGATTGGGTACAGTCTCAAACCATCATAAAGATAACTTAGACCAGGATTGAACTAGTAACGTGTACTGATTACTAGGCGAGCAGTATATCCACTCAGCTAACCATCAATCTTGATGGTTTTATTTTACGATCATGTTCAAAACATTGTCACAATCATAATTTTAAAAGCTTTTGACCACATTTTTCATTCTATTGAACACTTAATGTACCAAAAAATACAAGATAAGTTACTTATTAGTTTAAATATTTTGTTTAGGTGATTAATACTGTTCAATGAAATGGCGACCATACATAGTAGGTATTCTAAGCCAAGTATGAATGGAGATGAGTGTAGGATGAGTGGCGCGATCTTGTAGTCTTGTTAGTGACTAAGGCCGACATTCCTTAGACACAGCTGTTAATTAATAGCCCATACAGCTAATGGCAACTAAGGGATTATGAGATACAAAACAATGTCGTAATGATTGATTCATTTACAGGTGCTTTGAAAGGTTTTTCAAGGCTGTGAATTCAAAAGAAGGTAAACTGAAAATGAAAAGAAGAGCTTTTATGATGGATGATGTTGATCTTGTTGGCATGGAGTATATTTGGAGGGTAAGTTTGTTTGGTATGTCATAGCTGTGTTTGACAGTGATAATATGCCGTAATAACATGTCAATCGGGGATTTTATTACCACCTTCTCTTGTTATTGAAAGGCCGAAAAATAGATGGCTAAAAAATACTATCATGGTTTATTGAAAGGCCTTTAAATAGATGGCTAAAATATAATATCATAGTTTATTGAAAGGCCTTAAAATAGATTGCTAAAAGATACAATCATAGTTTATTTAAAATTACTTGTGATATTTGTAGGAGTTTGCACAAACAATCTAACTATGTTTGGTTCACAACCCCCAGTTTTCAATGCACTTTTTTGAGTAATCATGGGACAGTTGGATTTTGGTTGCATTTATAAAACTCAAAACCAAGTCACGGTTTTCATTTACACTTAGTGTCGTTGTGCCTTCTATTGTTATTTTATACTGGCAGAAATTCATGAAAACCTTTTTAGGACATTTATCTTCACTGCTTTTAAGCTGTTTTTTCTCATGGTTTCTTCCAAATATAATAAAAATATGTGTTGTTATACGAAACTTACCTACCCTATTAAAAATTAACAATCAGGTTTTAAGTGTCAGCTGAAGTGTAGTTGAGTTAAAGTAAAGTTTTAATAGAAAATTACAAACTTATGTTTTCACATTCCACAATCACAAGTGTGTGTACCGTGTACAGGTAGTGACCAACACAAGTGATGAGATAGCCAGCCGAGCCATAGAGCTGCTGAAGGAGGTGAGCACCAATCTGGGGCCGAAGCTACAACAGAACTGTGTACTGTTCCATGAGAACTACATCTCCGAGTGTCTGGACCGTCTCAACGCTCACTACAGCACGGTGCGCATGTTGCACTCACAGGCCAACAATGTCCAGCATTCTCCTCACAGGTAAACACTCAAGCCTCTGTGTGTGGACATCTGTAATCACTTTCTACATTTGAACTATAGAAATAGACATTCCTTTTCTACGATTAAGTCTAAGGGTAAAAAAAGAAACCTTTGTTCATTTGAACCATTGACTGGTTTTAAAGTAAATGACTGATTCCTGTAGAATATATAAACGTTTTAACCAAGCTTATGTACTTGACTGCTACCCTCGTAGTTTGATATGCCTTAGATTGGGTTTTTGTGTACCTATTGTTATTTTTTAGTTCTAATGTGTGTGTTAGTTAAGTTTTTCCACCTGAGGACAGGATCAGATTTCAGATCTCGAATCGTTGTGTATTGTATTTTACCATTGTGATTTAAAATGCCCGCATTAAATCTTTAAATAACATGAACTGAAAGCACAAAATATTTTCAAGTATAGCATCTTTCATGTCACAAGTATTGGAACAAAAATCAATGAAAACAAACCCTTTTAGAAGCGCAATGCCTTTGTAAAAAATTCAGTCTGGAATTATTTGAATGTTCTATAGTTCCCGCGGTGGCCGCTAGGTAGACTATCGCGAGCGCGCTGCCAAGTCAGCTGACTGAGTGAGTAGCGCGGCGGCTGCGCCAGCGATCGTAGCGGCGGCCGCGCAATGCTCATTTTGGCAGTAAAATTCCAGTCCGACTATTCAATTCAAAGATACTTTATTCTCCATAAGCATTTTGCTTCTTAAAGGGTTTGTATTCATTGCAAAAACTAAGGGAGAAAATATAATTTTGGACTGGAGGTGTGTTGATATCCTAAAATTATCAATTCTCGACACCAGTAATTTTTTTAATAAATCTGACAAAATTTTCTAAAAGTATTGGTTATATTACACAAACCCTTGTCTTAATGCCCTTATAAAAAGTCATTTTGGGGTAATGGGACGCAAACAATTAAACAGGCCAATTTAAATTTAATGGTCACTGGAATCATCAGCTTTTTTTCCAAAAGCTCAGCTCGATCGAAAATCTCAAGCTCTACTATCAAATACAATCCAACAAAAAGTGCCTGTTTGACCATACAACAGCAATAAAAATAAAATGTTCAGTGAAAATGAGTGAATTTCTCCATCACCCGCATTTATGTATGTTTCAGTTGTTGCCGGCAATACCAACAAAAGTCCATCACCATGTGTCGGGTCATGAAGGTCCTCCAGGAGTACATCAGTGAGTGTGACGGCGAGTTCTCAGGAGAGAGAAAATTGCTACCTTTACATAGGTAATGAAGCAAAACTTAAACTTAAACTCTTACTTTATCTGATTTAGAGGTTTCATTTGATGTAGGCCTAGAACAAAATACTGTGCGTTAAGAGTACAGCAAATTGTTCATGTTGTAAGAAACTTAAGTTATAATAAATTGTGGAATTATTTTCAAATTAAAACATATTTGAGGAATCAATTAGTTAAATAATGAGGCTGTAAAATATAAGTATTTGATACACCTCCGGTTCTAAACCGCGGAAAATGTAGCGGATTTAAAAACTTTGTGTTAAATATTATTGCTCATTTCATACATCCAATAATAATTATACACCTTGTATTAAAAAAACTTTTATATTTGGTAGGGATGGTCAAGTCTCGAAATTTCGGGAAATTTTAAATCTCGTTACACGAGACGAGATTTCTTTTTGGCCGAGATTTTTACAGAGACGGGAATAAAAAAAAAAAAAAAAAATTAAAACGCCTGCAGAAAGTCAATGCAATACCCGCAATACAAGAGCGTGTTGTAGTTGCGTTTCCTTTGTGAAGGCGTTCCTATTTAATTAATTCTTTTAATGTAAATATTACTTTTATTATTTTAATGATATTCCTTTAATAACATTTGAGAAATTTTTAAAGTGTAAGCAGTGTGAGGAATGTTTTATTACTATAAAAAGTCAAAACAAGTATCTATTTTATAAAAATTAATATTGCTTTTATTTTATGATTTAGTTTATTTTAGGATAAGTTGAACTCTATCCTAACTGATATCACTATGTTTCCTAATCGTAGGCATTTTTAATAAGTTAGGCGTGATTAATAAAAAAATGTTATGCTGATGTTTTTTAATAAAAGATTGTAAATATTCTTGCCTATTATCATTATTTTTGTATTTAAACAGTCATCTAACAATGTTACAAAATCAGGTAAAAATTTCGAACGTGCATTTCCCGTTGTGTATGAGAAGAGAAATCTCGTCTCGATCTCGTCTCGAAATTTTATGAGAAATAAAAAATCTCGTCTCGTCTCGTCTCGAACTAAAAATCCAATCTCGTCCATCCCTAATATTTGGCCAAGAATCAAACTTTAAGTTGATTTTCCATCCTTATCTGAATTTTATGTTCTTGTTAACCAAAAGTGTACCACATCAGATCCTAATATAAGATTATCTGTAGGGCCTGCCGAGGTAAGCATCTGGGTCTGGTGGTGAGGTTCACCACGCCAGGCCGCCAGGGAGGGGATGATGTGGATGTTCACACTCACAGCAACGACACTGTGGGCTCAGTCAGACGACAGGTGCTCAGGCGCATCAAGGTAAACCTGCGAACTAAATATGGTGGAATCGCATAAAATGATTATTCCAGTTACACCTTCAAACTGAAATTTGTTAACAGTACTAATCTTTTTTTAAATCAACTTTGCCAGGCGGCACTTTAAGTGAAAATATCACAAACACTTTTAATAGAAAGCAGTCCAAACCCCCCCCCCCCCCCCCCCCCAAGAGTTTCAGTATATTGTGGAAACTAAACGGTCTCCATTGCACCCAAGTCTGGACGATAACTATTAGGCTAGCAGAAAAACGTACCCACTTTGACATCACTTTTTGACCAGATGATAAACAAGAATGTGAATTAATAAAAAGGAAAAAAAATGAGTGTCAACATCAAAATTACTCTGATAATTTTAATTAAATTATGTTTGGATTTAAAAAAAGCTTTTAAAAACATTTACCTAATTATAATTATTTATTTTTATTTTGATCTGCTCTGAAAAATATAAAAACTATTATAGCTGATCAACTTTTTTAATAATAATATCTTACTTTATCTACAGCTCAGGGTTATGGTAAACTATGTTATGAAACAAAAAAATATGACAACATTTATTGAACTCTCTTGCCAATCTACAAATACATTTTATACTAAATTTAAGATTGGAATGCATTTATAACTGTGTTATTCCATATGAATTGATCAATATTGTTGTGGTGAGTGAGTTAAGTTAAATATTGTGGATGGTTGCAGGCAGCAGGGTCGAATGTGAAGCTGGACCTGTACAACAATGGAGACCTACTGGATCCAGGGGACGACCGCCGTCTGCTCTCACAACTGCCAATCAGAGACAAGACGGTAAATATTCAATAGATGCGTTAGTCCCAATGATTTGTCATTGTCTGGCCAATCCTTTTTGTTTATCATTATATCGGTTAATTGAAAATAACCCAAATAATATAAAGCAAAAAATAAAAAAAATGTTCACATCAATTAAAAGTAGGTAGTGTTTATTTTGGATTCTTTGATGACTAGTGACTTGGTACATAATGTCACATATTTTCAAGTAATTCATCTAATTTCTAAAATATTTTAATAATGCATCAATGGATCTTTCGAAACACCAAACTCGCTCCAAAGAGTCATGATAAAACTTTTTTTTATTTCAAATAAACCCACTTGATTTATTTTCATGTTATTGTATGCAGAAAAATACTAAAGTGATTTTCCCATAAACGATTTTTAAGAATTTGCCTCGTTCATTCAACTATTAAGGTAGATTTAAAAAAATATTATTTTATTTTTAAAATTATACAAATAGGTACATAAACAAGTTACAATGACAACTTGCAAAGCATTTTCCTTAATTCTGAGATGTTTGTGTTGTGATGGCAGGTGTTGTCAGCCAAGCTGAGTCAAGCCAATGCCAACATGGCCAGTTCTCCTGACAGCAGTTCTGACAGTTCCACCAGTTCTCCTCAACACCCGTATGACGGTCCCAACTTGGAGGCCGAGAACACACTGCCTGGAGTGGTACTGTACAGCTTAGTCACTATCACTAAAGACGTTCTTTGTAGAATCATTTGTTCCCATTTGTATGTAATTGGTACAGAATGCCTTACACGGGACTTTAAATTACAAAAAATTTCTATATATTCCTGCTTGTTAAGATTTTTTTTACTGAAAACTAGTGATGGGTCGGTACCACTTTTTCAATGTCGGTACCGGACCCCGTTCCTAACAAAAATCGATTCTCGGTTCCGATACCTTCGGTACCTCATTTTAAATTAGGCTACTTAATTGTTTTATGTTTGGAACAAAATACATAATCCCTATTTCAATTTTAAAACTGATTATTTTTTATTTGTGTAGGTTTGTTATATTAAGGGATTAAGAAAATAAAACTTAAGCCTATTTGTACGAAAAACACCACAATCGCGGACGACGACGATAGCATTTGCGTGACTGCGGGAGAACAATGACATCTACACGGCCACGGAATATTTTTGTGATTTTGCCGGCAATGATAATGTTTTCATGAACAAGGGAGATACTATTGAGGATTTTGCTGCTATCGAGATAAACAATGTTTTTATAGCCTTAAGGAATGATGATAATGAAAATAATTACTTTAATAAAGATTATTATTTTTTCAACACTAGCTCACTGAACTTAGGAACTATAAGAAATATACAAATGCGATGAACAGTATATTGATGTATACCTTAGCTGCTGTAAGTCTTAAATTGGTCATATTTTTAAAGGAAATAAAAACTAAACGTGTACACGAGAATTAATATAATGTTCACGTGGGAAACATTCACACGGAAATTTGAAAAACTTTAAAAACCCAGGAAAAAACCTGGAATTTCACCTAAAAAAATATTATTCACCCTGGTAAGGTACCAAAAGTCTTTAAACCTATCCATTACAATATCCTGAATTTACTGGATCAGTTACGTTATGTATTGAAGTTTGTCTTGGGCCTTTCTTGCATGTCAAATTTTATCAAGGTCTTAAAATGTTTAACAGTGGTTTGTCTAAGATTGTGATTCTGTATTGTCCAGTTGATGTCGCAGAGAGGACATGCTCAGTTCTTCTTCGCGGTGGCAGACCTGGGCTGTGAGCTGCATGACGAGAGTTTGCGTGACGCCGCTCGTGCAATCCTCAAGCTGATCCCTCCGGACAGTGACACTGTGGCCAGACTACAGCTGTTGTTTGGTGACTCCACTGTCACTGTGGAGGATCCCCAGCCTACAGTGGATAACATGTTCTTCTGTGACAGTCCATCCCGGGTGCTGTACAACCTCGAGGTCAGTTATTGACTTGTACCCAAGCTGGTACTTGGCCTCGCCAACTTGTTGTCGCCAGTTCTCTCGGTCCTCCGAATCTTCCTCTACTAGTCTCACCTTTTCCATATGTATTGACATTATGTACAAATTCAAATTAAATGGAAGTCCAAGATGTAAAAAAATGGATTTCTGGGGGTTCCATGATAGAAATTAAGCATAACATGAAAATTTTAATTTATCAGTTAAAACTTGTTAAAAAAAAAAAAAAAACATAACATACTTAAATACAATTGTTTAGTACGTAAAAGGTTAAGTATTTAATTTCCATTTTTATCATACCGTTATAATCTCATTATTTAGCATGGACGGCTTTATGTCTGCTTTAAAAGTTGGCGTATAGGTTTAACAGCAGGTATATGAAAAATATAATTTTGGAACAACTAGCTCCTTTTTCAGTTGCAAAGTCTTTCTTCTTGTTGTGGACTGTTCTGGTTGTGTTGTAGGCTGTTCTGGTTGGTGCGCATGATGACAACCAAAATATTCCTCCGCTCATGAGATTAAACAAGAATGCAATCCTTGATGCCACTTAAATTTTACAGGATATTATAGACTTGAATCCCTGATTTGAATGGCGATTTCTTAGATACTGTTACTTCCTCATGTTTTCTATTTAAAAGCAATCTTATTGCATTCACCAGCTGCAAAGTACTGTTCTGTGGAAAGTAAAATTAATGTACATTTTAGATCTAGTATAAGAATTTTTATAACACATCTAGTTCTGTGTTGTAATAGGCGAGTGTACTATACATAAGTGTACGTTAGGTTAGGGTTAGGTTAACTTGTGCACCTCATTAGAGCTTGGTGAGTATTTGTAGCTCATCAGGTGTCGAAAGAGTGCTAAATAAAAGTGTGTAAAGTGTTTTATTTCCTTTTAATATTGGATAATATAACTTTAACCACAACAATGCATAAACATAGAAGTAGGTTTATCATAAATGTACAAAAGCTGTAATCGCAGTTAAGTTTTCTAAACCAAGTACTTGTTGCAGGTTATGTATGCCCTGTTGATGCCAGCTGCTGACCCTTTATCAGAGAAGGCGTTCGAGTTTCAAATGAACTTCCTCCGCAGTCCAGATGCTCATGTTATATTAGAAATGCTAACAAAGAATAATTTCCTGCCTAATGCCGACGTTGCTACTAAAAGGTTTGTAAATATTATTGTTTAAAAATAGCAATAGTACTGTGTCATTTTGTGTATGGGAAGTAGGCTTTATTTGTTACTCTCTGTCACAATCTTTGTCACCCAAAATGCAAACACAACTTTGTAATTCTATGTTGTAAAAACACAGAACAAAGCCTTATAAGGTTTTATAAAGCTTTATAAGGCTTAGGAGGTTTTTATTTCCTTTGTTGACAGGCCTGGTAGATAACAATCTGGCTCTTATAGAAATAATGTTTGTGTTATGTTCCTATCTAGGAATATTTGCATTTTCAAAAACTTATCACAAATTTCTGAAGGGATTTTATTTTTATTTTGAGTAGTGATGGGTCGGTATCACTTTAAAAGTCAGTACCGGTGCCGGTTCCTAGCCAAAATCGATTCAAAGTCAAAATAATATCGTGATAATTGTCATATTCTGAGATCATTTCAAAATCCGAAATATATTTTTCAATTACTGAAACATAGCACTGTTTTTCACGGTCGCAGCAGGATCATAAACACATCTTCCGAGGCCGTATAGACATCATCATCATCTTCCGCGATATCAGCAAGATCATGAACATTACTCCGGTCCTGTGGATGTCATCATCGTCTTCCGCGATCGCGGCAAAATCATGAACATCTCCTGCCGCCGTGTAGAAATCATCATGAACTCTCGTGGTCACGGAAACGTCTTTGTCGTCGTCCGTGATCACGGCAAAATCATGAACATCTCTTGTGTCGTTGTCCGTGATCACGGCAAAATCATGAACATCTCTTGCGACCAAGTAGACGTCATCATCGTCTCCCGGAATCGCAGTAACGTCATTGTCGTCGTCTGCAATTGTGATGTTTCTGTTACTGATTGAGATATTCAGGATTTTTCAGTTATCGCAGAAAGCGATGATGCACTCTACGACAGTGTTATATGATCACGATATAACCTCGAGTTTGGCTTGACCAAAAATTTCAAAATGGCACAATTCTTGAAAATTTTATTTTTATATTTCTTGTAGGGTAATATCTTCTTTTATCTTCAATGTGGTATTTATTTAATGTGTTGAGAGGGATTTAAAACTTAAATTGGCTACGTGAAATTTTAGTAATTTCTGCATTTATTATTTCTGTAGGCCACTTGAAAAACAACCCATAACTCCAAAATTACATACTATATGAAAATACATAAAGACAGGGCTTGGTGTAGTAATGCTTACGGAAAATTTGCAAAATTGAAATTATCAGTATTAAGAATTTATTCTTCAGGTGTCCGTATGGAGATTCGATAAATTTTGGTATCGACATCAAAATCACTATTAACTTTTTTTAAGAAGTTATTTTTAAATTGCAGGTTAGTTTATAAAAATTGAATAGAATTGTGTCAGGCAATATTACAGTAAACTTAATATTTAACTGAGAATGCTTTTTTCCGATAACCATAATAGCAAGCTGTGTTAGCACTAAAACAGGAAAGTTTAATATAAAAAGTACGACCTGAACTACCTGGAATTTTAATATTTTTTTGTACTCATGAATTTTTTTCTGGTTGGCCCGGTGGACACCCTGTTACACCAACACAGTAAAAAATATGACATCCAATACACCTCCCTATTCTAATTTGAGGACGTAAGCTGTGGACAGCAATCTTGTGTTAAGTCATCTCCAAGGTTTCAACGACAATAATTTTCTGTCCAGGTCGGCGTACCTAACAGTGATGAGGATCTGCAAGCTGCTCTTGGCGACACTCGGTCATGTGACGTTCCGTTGTCTAGAGGACCAGTGCAGCAGCAGTGACAGGCTCAAACACGCGCTGGCCTCTGTGCCGAACAACAACACGGAGTACATGCTGCGCAATGTAGCATGCCAGCTGGCCGACAACTACGCTGCACAGGTACGGCTTTTATACAATCTACAACTCTGAACTGTCCATGTAGTGGTTCAATCCACTACACATTCTGGATTGAATTGAACGTTGGTTTTAGCTTCTATGAATACATAATTACATTGACCTTCAGGGCCTTATACACATATTGAGCCAGTAATTATAAAAGATTTTGTATTATTAAATTATCATATTAACAACGTGAATATACTCTTCATCAAAAGGAGGTAACAGACATAATTTTATAAATCTGTCACAAAAATCCTACAACACACTCTTTGTTAAAAAATAATCACATTTTTTCAAGAAAGGTATCTATGTGGGGTGGGTGCAGTGATATCAAAATTCTTTCCTTCTACTGCTCATTCTATGCTGCTGCCATAGTATTGGGGCTAAAGAATTATTGAATGTTAAGTTTCTACTGTTTTAATTTGTTCTCAAATTTGATTTGCAATTGGTCAAGCACTGCAGATTTGGAATAACACCCTCTAAAGATAGCATATTTACTAAACCTCATATCTTTAAATCATATCTTTAAATTATCATGCTAAAAAATGTAGGCCTAGAGTTTTGTTGTCAATGGAACCAATACTGCATGGTTGGTGTTTGTGTGGCAGGTGACGTCAGGTCAGCTAGGAGACTGTCCACTGGTAGCGGCCGCAGTGGCAGGGGAGATACCTGGGCCAGACACGATCCGTGCAGTGATACGACTGGCGTGGGCGTCCTGCGCTGGTAACCTTCATCTCATGGACCACGTGCTCATGAACCTCAGGATCGGCGACACGCAACTGTGTCAGGACGACGTCCTATGTGAGTCTAAATGTGAAAAACAGCAAATTTGTTATATTCGATATTTGAGTGGTACCAAATAATCAATTACATTTTAATGTTTATAAAGTACAAGAAAATTTGAAACTGTTAGACATGTAAAGTAATATTGTATGTTTTGAGGTTCATTACCAAGATTTGATTGTAATCAGTTTACGTGAGAACTACTGGACATTGTTGGTCATGTGTGGTTTTTCATAAACCTCAAAAGGTTTGGTACAATAGAAAATGTGTTTTTTATGTGTCTTCCTTGTTTATGATTTAATGCTTTGATAGAATTTGTATTACTACTTTATGTTTTATCAGCCTATGAAGGAGGCTGACAAATGCAATAGAAACTGGATAGAATTATTATAAACTAGCTGTTGTACCCGTGCTTTGCAACGGGAAAAGGAAACAAAATAGAAACATTTTAATCTTTATGTCTTGCATATAATAGTTACACATCCGCCAACGCTTTTAGACAAAATTTAACTTTTATGGCCTTAATAGAAACGTTTAAGTTATGACTTTTAAATCTGGTAAGTGGTGGATACCACCATTTTGGTTTTGATTAATCTTGTGTGGGCTGATATGAGAAAAACTTACCAAATCTTCGAGTAAAACTTGACATACATGATTTACCAGATTTACCTTCGTCTCCCTTAGTTACACATCTTTTAATTTATTATTAACATTTTAAATTTCAATTATGAAGTTGCAAAAATACTAATTATTAAATTTAGGCTAAATATCTTTATATTAAACTCTTCCTTATATTAAATTACAAATCCTTTCATCTTCAGTTATTTCACTCCCAATAAATCATTAGCAAAACTAAGTGAGCTGTCATAAACTTTAGAAATATTGCTGTGCCTTATCAATACAGTCTTTTGAAATATTAAAGAAACTATATCTATAGGTACTATAAAAAATTCCAAACAAATAATTTAGCATTAAAGACAGCAGACAAAACTAATATGATTATCAAAGCATCAAGGACTAAAAAATGTAATAGCAAATACAGTATATTATGTTTCATTGCATCTCTGATTCTACTATACAAAAATATCAACAAACAACTTAATATACAAACCAGTTCTTTTAATCAGTTCCATCGTCCATTGCCTTTACATTTTCACACTTACCATTAAGAAAACATAGAAACAGACATTTCATTGATTTTAGAAACAAAATAACACTGTGTACTGCTTAGTTTTATGATATTTTCCTTGGTTTAATTTAATCAGTGGTGTGGCAAAACACAAATAATAAATGTATCAAATAAAGTAAATGTGAACTGAAAGCTATGTTAAGATAAAATAAGAGTATTTTGTGATAATTAAATATAGTTACACATATACAACAGATTTTAGAAAACAAAAAAATCAACGAAAATTTAGTTATTGATGATATTCTTTAGTTTAATTTAAGCATAGGTTTAGCAAAACACATTAACTTAATTTACCGTACCTAAATCTAATATATAAAATTCTCGTGTCACAGTGTTTGTCTGCAAACTACTCCGGAACGACTTCACCGATCGTAATGAAATTTGGTGTGTAAATTCTGTAGGTATGCGAATCGGACGTAAACTATTTCCCGTTTCGAAATTCTTAAAAGGGCTCCGCCCCAGTGGCTCTGGAGTTTCCCATGTTAACCTTATGAGAAATGGAATTAATGAATCTTAACAGCTGCTTCAATTAAACAAGTTGGTTCTGTTCTATGATGTTCAATAGCATTAAAGTTACAAGGATTACCAACAGGGTGCAGCACTATTATTTCTTTTACATTTATGAAAACAGCTAATTTGCAACCAAAAGGTGAGTGAGCGTAGCGAACGAACTTCAACCCGGAGGCGAGTGAGCGTAGCGAACGAGCTAACCTGAAGCAAGTGAGCGCAGCGAACGAGCTCCAACCTAAAGGTGAGTGAGCGTAGCGAACGAACTTCAACCAGGACGTGATTGAGCGATGCGAACGAGATCATCTTGAAAATTAAACGTAACGGTACTTTCTTTCCATCGGTCTGTCTTAGGGGAAACCTATAACTTAGGCGATACGAAGTTCGCCGGGTCAGCTAGTATACATATAAAAAACAATTTGATGTGCAAGTTATGTTAAGTTAATCTAACACATGTTAAGCAGTTAGAATTTATTTAAAGTAGCCTCCAAATTCATACAAAACACACAAAATACATACAGAACATACATTGTCATTTTCATACTATTTCCATAAAAACATATCAATAACATTATTTTCATAACTTAGACGCTTTAAAAAATCCAAAGCAGAGTCGGAGTTGATACAGCAACGGTTATAGAATCTTTTTTTTCTATAATCATTGACATAGTTTTAGAATAAATAATCCATGGTAAAAGGTTAGATTGAAATAAACCTAGGCCTACCTCATAGTTATGGAAATTATTATATTTAATATCTTTGTATCAGCTGTCTGAAATTGTGAAATATGCAGTTTAGCAGTTCTTCTTGTTTACATTTAAATGTCAAAGCAAATAAATGTAAACAAACATTGTTAGTGTTCTCATAGCAGCCATGGAGACCAATCAATATTTACTTTTAAAATGTTCACCTCAGAACTTTTAAAGCCAAAGGGGCAAAGCCTACGGTCAGTATCGAAATGTGAATAGTCCTATAATGGTCCTTGGTATGGTAGCTATATTTTTGAAAAATTTAAGCCCAGTTGGTTCCGTAGTTTTTGCACCTATTAGTAACACACATACAGACAGACACCATTAGATTTTTATATAATAGTATAGATGTATGTACTAACTTCTAAAGTTTAATCATTTCACAGAGCTTGTATTTTCCTGGGCATAAAAGGCCTGGAATATTGGGTCTTTCTTCTCGTCTCAATCTAATCATGGTTATTATTTTTTCAGTATGTAAAGAAGCGTTAGAAGTATTAACAGTGGCTCTAGTCCTTAGTCCTAATACCCTCGATGCCTTGAGCAAGGAGAAGATGTGTGAGAAGTTTATCATAGATCTAGTCCTGCGTTGTAGTAATAGGTGAGTAGCCTAACCCTAGTTAAATGTGCACCTTATTAGAGCTTGGTGAGTATTTGTTGCTCATCAGGTGTCAAAAGAGTGCTAAATCAAAGTGTTGAAAGATATTTTTCCTGTTAAATGCAGTAAATATTACTTTGACCAACAGTGGATTACGACGTTCTACCATTGAGTATACACCTAATAGATGGGTTAGATAATGCTAATAGTTGTTACCGATTTTGGCAACGTAGTTCGGGCTGCAAGTATTTGACTGTGTTTAGGGTGTTAGTGTGACTTTTCTATCGTCAATACTTAAGAAAAAAAGGAGATAGTGTACTTAATTTGTAAATAATGCACTTCATTTTTGAAGATTTTAGGGATTGCCCGTTTTAACCGACCTGTTGAGTTATCCGACTTACATCTGGTCTCGTTAGAGTCGGTTAAGTCAACAACATTGTCTACTGTAAGTAAGTGTAAGTTTAGTTAGGTAAACTTGTGCACCTCATTAGAGCTTGGTGAGAATTTGTGGCTCATCAGGTGTCGAAAGAGTGCTAAATAAAAGTGTTGAAAGTGTTAATTTCTTGATCATTCTTGAAATATCACATCAACCGACAAGAGTGCAAATACACTAAAGTTAAAGTTAGATGATTGAAAATGTACAGTCAATTCAGTAGGCCTATGCTATAATTCAATTGAAAATATGTACACAGTAAGAACTAACATTGTTGTGGTTTGCTTAGGTCCATTAGAGTAGCGGCTGCGGAGCAGTTTCTCATAATGTCCAGTCTAGGCTCTGCGCAGCAGTTCCTGCAGCTGTGTATTGCTTTGTTGTTCAACGTGCTGCACACACAGGTCATCGAGTATGCTCACAACTCACACGAGTATTTTCAGGTATGTGTCTCATCTTAAAATTGTGTCATTTTTTTATTATCGCATTAGGGCGTTGTCTAATATACTGTATCTAAATGCTTGAAAAGAAGAAATAGGGGAGTTAACAAAGATGTATTGGTAAAAGCAAGCAGTAAAGACAAGTAATTAAATAACTTACGTCATCAATCCATAAATTGCTGTGGAGTACGCGTTTCAACCATCAGGTCATCCTCAGCTCCACTGTCACTAGGTTGAATTTGCTTCTATGTTGCATTATAGCAACAGCGTCGATATATTAAATAAATAGTCCAAACATATTTTACATTTATCACACATACACGACACGTACGAAACATTTAGATAACAAATACTGTGATAACACCGTGCGCACGGCTGGACGGGCTCAGGTTTGCGGCTACACTGACTTACAAGGGATACAAGGGAGGGGCACTGATATACAAGGGTTTTAAGCAAAATCAAAACATATTAAATGAAAAAATACATTCTGATTTGAATCCAGTGTATGACACCATTATTAGGCTGATGGACAATAAAAGAATGATAACCAGCTGAAGATGTCGTCATGGTCCAAAGTTCAGTGTAGGATACCGACCACCAAGTCAGTGTAGCCGCAAACCTGAGCCCATCCAGCCGTGCGCACGGTGTTACACAGTATTTGTTATCTAAATGTTTCGTACGTGTCGTGTATGTGTGATAAATGTAAAATATGTTTGGACTATTTATTTAATATATCGACGCTGTTGCTATAATGCAACATAGAAGCAAATTCAACCTAGTGACAGTGGAGCTGAGGATGACCTGATGGTTGAAACGCGTACTCCACAGCAATTTATGGATTGATGACGTAAGTTATTTAATTATTTGATAACTCAATCCGTTGTGCTACAATCTCAACATTATGAGTAAAGACAAGTCTCAACTTACTTTTTTAGACGGTAATCTAGCTATCTACACTACAAATTGTATACTGAAATTTGTTGACTTAATCTCTAACTGTTTTTAAACTTAACTATACCAAAATTTATGCTTGACCAAGAATAGTTTTTTTTTTTTTTTTTTTTTATATTAACAGCTTAATAAAACATGGATCGTCAGGTCCAGTTAGATGTGTTTAATCTGGTAAAATAAATTTCATATAGTGACACCAGACCTACAGGCCAATTAAGTTGGTTTGACAATCTATGTGTTATTATAAAATAGTAATTTAAAGATTTCCTATCATATTTGATTTACTTTGTTTTTTCAGCTGCTGTGTCAACTGTTGAATTTTGCTTATTTGTACCAATGCAATGTCAACATCGCAGAACAGTTACTGGCCGCCGAAATAGTCTGGCTTAAGAAGATAAAGGTAATTGGTTTTAGTACTTTATACTGTTCTTAGTTGTTGGTGATGTTGTCTTTGCAACAATTTACAATGGATTTTGTTTATTGTTAAAACAATTTTTCCAGTACTTACAGTAGTCTCAATCACCCAACCTTCCATGTTATCCGACCCTCCCTTTTAAATATTGATTACCGTTAAATTGTGTGCTATTTCCATGTAGCAGATGCGTCAAGATGACCCCTTATGCCACAACTAGGAAATATGAGAAAGGCTTTAAGAACATGCACTAATTGACTGTACTTTCTTTTGTTTTTGCATGCTGCATACCTCACACACATGTATATCCCTCTGCTACCTTTCACATGCATAGCTATTATGTGAACCAACAACCAAAACCTTTAGCTAAATGGACCATTATATCTGAATCTTATATTTTACAGTTACAGTAGAGGTGTTTTTACTTGGTCAGTTCCGTTGTTAATTTTTAGTAAATATTCTTTAAGTAGAAAAAGTTAGTACAGACTTGAAAGCTACAAGTAGGTTTGAAAATAAGTAAATTGATCCATTTCATGAGTTTTGACATAGTTTCAGTTGTTGTTTATTATTTTCTGTGTTATCCGGCTTTTTTATACTTATTTGAACTTGCCACAGCCGGTTTAGGTCATAATAATTGGGGCTACACAGTGACTCAGTAGTTTAGGTGTGCAGTTTGCAGTAATTGTATGTTGTGACACAGGAGACAGTGAGGGAGACTGGGGAGACAGGTGTAGAGGAGGCAGTGTTGGAAGGACATCTGGGCATTGCCAAGGAACTGCTCAACTTTCTGCCTCCAGACAAGAAGTACCAGCTGGGCTCTGACGAGAAGACAGGCGTCAATCTCATCAAGGTTTGTTGACTAACCAGATAAACACTGGAATCTACTTTCTTTCTATAAAATGAAGAAAAAATAAAAATGTTAAGAGTTGTGGTGGAGTTATAAGCTTCAGTGTCCTTAAAGTTTTGGTTTAAAAGTGGTGTTTGTGTACGCATGGACAATTAAACATCCCAGTAGTGGGTTCACTGTTTGGGAATTTTGGTATGAAAATAATAGACCAGTGGTATTTTGTGGTGTAACTTTCTGTTATTGGAATACACCCACAATGGAGTTGATAGAAATTTTTTTATTGAATTAACTTTAGGAAACTTCACTTAACTTTAGGAGAGTTACACCCCATTCAATTACTAATATTTATTCAAATACAACCAAAAGAAAAGAATGAACATTTTTAAAGTCTTAAACTAAGTTCTGGTTGAATCTTTTTGATCAGTTTTGTAATTGCTCCAAAACTATTAGTGATTGATCTGGTAACACATTGCTCACAGGAGCTGGTGGAAGACTTCATTTTCCCAGCCAGCAAGTTGATGCTTCACCTACAGAGGACAGGGGAGCTGATACCTGACCAGGCTGTGGCTGTGTGTTCCACTCCGCAGACTCTCAACTCTGCGTTTGAACTGCTTGTGTCACTCTGCGTAGGCTGCGTACCCAACATGAAGCTACTCACCACCATGCTCACGGACATGTTCTACTCAGGTCTGTATCACTTGTTTCAAACTCTTCTAATTTGAGTAAAAGGAGTGTTTAAAGAAGAGTTTTTGAATATGTTATTTCTGAAAATATAAAAAGATTTCTGAAATAATATAGGGTCAGCTCATTTTGATTGTTAGGTTTAGGGTTGACGTTTTCAGTTTTAAAACCTATCATAGAACAGTAACTTTCCTGTTCCACGTTTATTCCATCATATTAAGTTTTCTACATAATTATGATATTGATTTGAAAAACTGGATAATAATATAACAATACCCCTGTCACAGCAAACCTGCAGACTACGCGAATTTCAATTTGCCTGATTGGATTTACAGTAAAATGTCTCCTTCAAAATATCACATTTATTCCCAATTTAAATATAATGGGTCTAACGAGTACTTAGGCTTGCTGTAGCAATTTTGGCTCTGTTTGATTTGCCATTTGCATGTTTCAGAGAGAGACGAGCCGTTGATGGACTGGGACTACCTGCCTCCTGTGGGACCTCGGCCACACAAGGGGTTTGTAGGGTTGAAGAATGCTGGGGCGACTTGTTACATGAACTCTGTACTACAGCAGCTCTACATGGTGGAGAGTATCAGGGTGGGTCTGCTGGCGGCTGAGGGGGCAGCTACGGACCTCAGTGAGGACTTCAGTGGCGACGAGCGGCCTGACACTGAGGTACACAAGTCACATCATGCCACAAAAATAAAATCCAGTTGAACATAGATAACCTACAGTTGAACTAGTCCATATACTTTGACATAAAAGTAGCAGCGACCAAGTGTCCTTGCTGGTCTGTGACTGAAGCCCGCATATTGTTTACGCCAATGTGTGCCACCGACTTTCCTATAAATAACACATTTTCCCCAACCCAACTTTTTCATATACACCCCCTTCCTTGCCCTTCACACTAAATAGGTCAAGTCAGATTGTTCAAGATGTTGCAGTCGAGTTAAAAACGTTATTTATTCTTTTGTGATACTCTATAGATTTTTGTTCATAAAACGACAAAACGTACATGAATGGTTTTACTGAATTGTGTTTATGTCACATATTGTGTTTCAAATTGTCAGATTAAAAAATATACAAGGTTGATTCATTAAGCTGTAAACTAAAATGTAAGCTAAAAAATAAATCTTGACACAGAGAATTAAAAATAAATATTTAAATATTTCTGAACAGCTATAGTACATCATAAATAATTTCTCACCCTACCCATTACCTTTTTTGAAAAAAATCATAACAGTTGTAGAAAATAGAAAAAAGGAGAGTAGTTTTAGTTAAAATAATGTAAGTTTTATTTGGTCAGTTTGTGCAGTCACATTGTGAGATGGAAGAGAAGAGCAGTCTCGAGGAGTCCAGGAAGGAGTACAACATCGGCATACTGAAGCAGGTGCAGGCAATATTTGGTCATCTGGCATATAGCAAACTACAGTACTATGTGCCCCGGGGACTCTGGAAACATTTCAAGTGAGTATAGAAATCAACTTAATCTAAAAAAAAATTAATTGAAAAATGTTTTCTGATTTTCCTACAGTTTTTGATTTAAAGCAATAACTTCCTTGCTAAGATACACTTTCAAGCTCAGGCTTTGAATTTGACAAGGGATGGAACAAAACAGTACAGTAAGTTTAAACTTTTATTCGTAAACAAATTTTAATATTTTTTTCCCGGTGGTTTCAATAAAATCTATAATTATTATTGTTTGGAAATGTTTGTATGGCAAATTCACTTAATAAATAGTTAAGATAAGTAACTTGAACTAGAAGTTTTTTTTTTTTTTTTTTGCAAAGTGTTGATTAACGGCAGTTTACAAAAGTTGTTACAAATTTCATCAATGAAATAAAAAAAATAATACCCTTTCACATTGTTAAAAGTAATTTTTTATACTTAACATTTAGCCATACATAGGTATTTTAGGATGCAGTTTTAACTATTAAGGAAGATAATAATATTGAATTGATCGAGATCTTCTTCACTGATTACAGAAACATCATGATATAAGAGCACAATTACAGTGAATTTGTTAATATGGGTGACTGTAGAAAAATATACTCATCCCCAATTTCTTAAGTATTATATCTTTGTCCCGGAAGTTGGCTGGGAATGACTTTTATCCTGTCCTGTCTCAATTTTCAATGTTCCCCAGATACCCCTAATAATTAACTAATATGAACTGAGGTGTATTTCAGCTAAGCAATGCATCATTGTATTTTGATATCATACAATATGCCAATTATCTGATAGCAGTTATTACAAGATACAAGATACAAGAGATACAAGATTCTTTATTTGGTCAATTGAACAATAATACAGTTAGTTATTTTTAGAGATATAATTGTTATGGAACAATTGTGCAATGTTCCAGGCTTCAAGGAGAGCCTGTGAACCTGAGAGAGCAGCAAGATGCTGTAGAGTTCTTTATGGCTCTAGTAGAGAGTCTAGACGAAGCACTCAAGGCTCTGACACAGGAGCAGATCATGGGCAAGGTGCTAGGGGGCTCGTACTCTGACCAGAAGATATGTAAAGGTTGTCCCCACAGGTAAACAGATGATTCATTTAACTGTGTGATTTTGAATTAGTATGGAATGTCAAACTGGTATTGGGTTTTTTTTTTCACCATTTTAATGTTGGGAAATTTTTATCAGGTAAAATTCATTTTTATGCATAAAGTTAAATAGTAATGCAATAACAGTAGAAACATGTATATCCAGGGGCTACAAACTGGGAATTCCAGCATAGACCTGTAAATCATGCGTGAATTTTAAAATTCACCAGGAAACCCTGATTTTGTTGTAATATGAATCAAGAAAAATTTAGAATGACAACACCCTTCACCCACCGTTCAAGGTATTTGCTTGCGTAAACGCTCACTAAACTCCGTCATTGCGTGGAAAACCCGACTTAAAACATTGTGAATATCGTCTGCGGTTCTAGAAAAATCGAGAACATTGCAGTAATGGCGAAATTGTAAATACCTTCCTTATTTATAGCTGAATTGATAACATCTTATGGTATGAAGCCATGTGAAATTCAAGAACATCTTCCACAGTAATGTCAAAACCATTAACATCTCCAGCAGTCGCAGCAAAGTCGTGAATATCTTCCACGATCTGGTGAAATTTTGAACCCCTGTCTTCACAGCAAAATCGAGAACTTATCCGAGGTCATGGTAAATCAAGAACATATTTTACAACAACAAGAATATGTTCTGGAGTCACGTGAAAATTGTAAACATAGAAAAATTGCGACGAAATCGTAAATTTTTTGAAACCAACCCCTGAGGCAATGTATAAGAATATACAAAATACTTATATTTTACTTCTTACGGTAAAAAAAAACTAAACTTAGGGTTCTGTGTACATAATAAAGAGTAATGTATCAAAAATAAGTTTTCAACAGAAACATTAGTGGAACATTGGTTCAACAATCACTATCATGCCAAATTATTGTTATTTAACCACAAAAAACACTTATTGACACTATGATTTGTTGCAGGTATTCTAAAGAAGAGCCGTTTAGTGTAATAAGTGTAGATATTCGTAACCATTCAAATCTTGTTGATTCGTTAGAACAGTATGTTAAGGGCGAACTCCTAGAGGGCGCAGACGCTTACCATTGTGATAAATGTAATAAAAAAGTAAGTATTGTAAACTACTTTCTATTCTGTACCATCTATTCTATATATAATTTAGTTTTAAAAATCTTTGTACAACTAAATCTAGAGTTCTACTGGACCGATTTTATTAATTAATGGGTCGTTGGAAAGCTTAGGTCGTGTAGATTTGCAAATAATTATGAAAGTTTGTTTTTATTATGATTTATGGTGAAAAATTTCAAAAAAACATGTTTTCCATAAGAAATACATTGAAAACGGTGTTTTTTACACTTTTTATTTGGGTGCGACTTTTAGCTGCCTTTTTTTAGTGTTTCCAAGAAGTGTATGGTATCAATTTGTAGGAAATTTTATTCTCTTTCAGAATATCACCTTCCACTTTGGTCGATTTCCTCACCATTTAAAAGTTATTTGCAAAAAAGCTAAGCAACCTCCGAATTTATAATAATGAGAAAATATTGAGTTTGGGATATTTTTGTTAAACTTTGTACAACTAAATCTAGACTTCTACCGGACCGATTTTGTTAATTAATGAGTCATTGGAAAGCATTACTCATGTAAATTTGCAAATAATTATGAAAGTTTGATTTTATTTAATATTTGTGGTAGAAAAATAAAAATAACAAAAATACATTAAAAACTGTTTTTTCAGGTTTTTATTTTCAAGTTTATATTTGTAGTCAGCTTTTGGCTGCCTTTATTAAATAATTTCAATAAATACACACAAGGTATTTGTAGGAAATTTTATCTTCTTTCAGAATATCACGTGCATTTTCTACGATTTACTCACCATTTAAAAGTTATTGTCAAATTATATAAGTGACCTCCAAATTTTTAGTTGTTAAAAATACTGAATTAAGGATATTTTTGTTAAACTTTGTACAACTAAATCTAGACTTCTACTGGACCGATTTTGTTAACTAATGTATCGTTTGAAAGCCTAATTTGTGTAGATTTGCAAATAATTATGAAAGTTTGATTTTATTAAATATTTGTGGTGAATAAAGAATAAAAAGCAAAAATACACAAAAAACTGATTTTTTTATAGTTAATATTTTAAAATTTCAATTTATAGTTAACTTTAGGTTGCCTTTTTTGAATATTTTCAAAAAACGCCTAAGAGTACTTTGTAGCAAATTTTATTCTCTTTCAGAATATCACCTTCCACTTTGGTCGATTTCCTCACCGTTTAAGAGTTATTTGCAAAAAAGCTTAGCAACCTCCTAATTTATTGTGGTGAGAGAATATTGAATTGGAGAGATTTTTGTTAACTTTCTACAACTAAATCTACAGTTCTACTGGACCGATTTTATTAATTAATAGGTCAATAAAATCTGTGTAGATTTCCAAATAATTAGTAAAGTTTGAGTTTTATTTATCTATGGTAGTAATACGTTTACCGGTATGAATAATCTAAAAAAATTATGGTAGTAATAATGGGTTAGCCAGTATGCATCATCTGATCATATGGAACACATGTATTAACCTATAGTTTAACAGCTGATTGTTTTATTGTTATTTCCTTGATTTTTCTTTGTTTTAATTTAGTTGTTTACTATTTGAATTGGTGGTTGAGGTCCGTAAAGTGTGTTTCTAAAGTGATGTTTTTAATCTGTACCATTAATAAGTATTGGTAAGTTAAGTGATGCATGGATTTCATAACCAAAAATTATTATTTTAAACTATCAATTATAAATTATTCAAATTTAATTTATAATTTACAGTTTAAAATAGTATTTAATATTCGTTATTTTGAAATGTTAATTATAAACTCAATATTTTACATTAGTTTAAAAATGAATAACTTTACTCTTCACTACATGGTTGGTGATGGAAACTGTTTCTTTAGCAGTGTCTCATTTTTATGCCATAAATCTCAATCCAGATACAGTGATATACGAACCACAGTAGTTGATGAAGTCGTCAATAACTGGGACTACTATTGTCCTTTGGTCGTATGGGATAAGACATATAGACTAGAAGTAAAAAACGCGATGGAATACAGAAATTTGATGACCAAAGATGGGTAATTCACCGGTAATGTCGAAATCGAAGCTGCAGCAAGAGTTTTTGACTGCCAATTCAAAATATATGCTGAGAAATTGGATTATTTTGTAACGGTTGGTGAAGGCACAACGATCTATAAACTACGATTCTCAGGAAATGTGGATGCTGGGCATCAAGAGGATATAATCTTACCAAAATCAAAACGTGGCCGTGCATCAAAAATATAGAAAAAGTAAAAACATGTTCTGGCAGACGTGAATCAACAGCTCATAAAAATAAATTGAAGAAACCAAATTATAGTATAGATAAAGATTTACTCCAAGGGGTAAAAAAGTGTTATCAAGCAATCAAAAGGATGGAGAACCAGAAAATGAAAAAGAAACAGAACAAGATAGTCTGACCAACACTTCACTCAGAGATGATGCAACTTCCTGAACCTCCTTAATTTGTGTATTGGGAATGCCAATATACAAATTAAATTTAAAAATTGGAGCTGTAATAATGTTGCTACGAAATCTTAACACAAAACGAGGGTTATGTAATGGCACACGATTAATTGTTAAAGAACTCAAGCCCAATTAAATAATTGCAGAGGTTTTAACTGGATCAGCAGCACGTGAAATTGTATTCATTCCAAGGGTTGACTTAGCACAGACGGACACAGATTTACCATTTGTTTTAAAAAGACGGCAATTTCCTTTAAAATTAGCGTTTGCTATTACAATAAACATAGCGCAAGGCCAGACATTGGATAAAGTTGGGATATACCTTCCAGCAACAGTATTCAGCCATGGACAATTAATTGTATGTTGCAATATCAAGGGTTAAAAGGTTTGAAGACATAAAAATTAAAATTATCCCTGGCAAAGAACAAGGAAGATTATTAAAACAATCAGATGAAGTCTTTACAAAGAATGTTGTTTACAAAGAAATACTGTAAATAAAATATTTTTGTAAAATTGTATTTGTTTTTCATTATTTTACTCTTTTAGAAAATCAGTTTATTTTCTAAACAATTTCATTCTTTAAAAAATGTTCAGGTACTTACAAGGGCATATATTATGTACTACTGTACTTTCTAGGGACCGTTGTATTTATTAACTACAACGGGCTCTGTTGCTAGTATTATATAATATAGAAGACTCTTTCTTGTTAGGTTGAGGCTTTAGTTTGTTGGGGTTTTCATTTGTGTATCATAAACTCGCACATCAAATACCACACTGTCGTCAGCCACAAAAAGAAAACTTAAAAAGTAATCAAGGTTAAATAGTCCCTGCCGTCAATCCAAGCAATTTCTGTTTTTAGTCAAATGATTGTGTATTTATATTTTGGGACTATAATCCCATCATCAAGTCTTCAAAAAACACAAAACATCTTTCCAGACTTGTCACTTGGAAGTACACATCACATTCTTTAAAACATTTAAATATTAATCTCAACTACCAGTTACTAAATAAGACTTTTAGCTAGACTTTATTGCAAGCCGGCTTCATAACCTTAAATTTTAAAGGCAACATTAGAGCATAGGACTTTGTTCTGAAGGCACTAAGAATACATGTTTCTCATAAATTCTCTTTAATAGGTGTGTCGGTAAAACAGCTATTCAAGTAACATGACCATCTGTGCGTTATTGTCTAATAAGAACAACAAGGGGGGGGGGGGGCGTTTAATTTGTTTATTTTTTATGTTTTCTGTGTTTGTAACGGGTGACTCCTTCAAAATCAACTCAATTCGCCTTTTTAATAAACTACCTTACAGTGCAAAATTTGTTGATTATAATATTTTTTTAAATATAATTTATAATTGGCTTATTCAAAATCCTTAAGTGACTTTATCAAGTGCATTTTGATGTTAAATTTTAATTAAAATAAGTTATTTTGCCTTATTGTATTTTATGTAATATTTTGATGCATCAGAAATTTGATTGTGTTAAGATGGTTATTTTGTAATGTATATGACGTGTCCTATTTCTTTGTAAAAAGATTAATGGAATAAATTGTTCTTATTCTTATTCTTATCTTTCTTTGTTTCAGGTAGTTACTGTAAAAAGGTTATGTGTTAAGAAGCTTCCTCCAATACTTGCAATCCAGCTGAAGCGTTTTGAGTATGACTTTGAACGTGTCTGTGCCATTAAGTTTAATGATTACTTTGAGTTTCCAAGACTGTTAGATATGGAGCCTTATACAGGTAATTAAAATATTATTTTCTTTAGATTCCAGTTTATATGTTGAGTTTTTTTATTATTATTAGGGTAAGGATTTTTGTGGGGATAGCAGAATAACATGAATTGGTTAGGGCTCACCCTGACACAAGAAACAAAACTTTGCACGATGAACCAAAAATTGAGTATTTTACTGCTACTGACAGCATTTACATCCAAGGGAAGATTTGAGTTGGAGAGATTTGTCAACAGTGGCCAGGATGTTGTCAGTGGCAATGAAATATTCTGTTTTTGTGAATTGTGTAAGCCTACAGTTTGGTGGCTATTGTACCAGAGTGGAGTCTGCCCCATTCAGGTAAGCCTGCTATCCTCTTAAACATGTTTGTAAACCTTTTTATGACACTGAAATTGGGGTGAAAATGGGTTTTTCTCATTTTTCATCCTAAAAACAAAAACTTTGCAACTTCTTTCTAAACCATTTTGTAGAGCTTAAAAAAAAAAAAATTAGTATATTGAAGCGTTGTTGTATGCTTAACGGTCACGGAAAAAAAAAATTAATATAAAATTCCCATGTTATTCTTATGGAGGAAATGAAAACTGTTGTAGTTTACTTGTTTATGGATAGGCCATGTTTATAAAATTTGGAAAATTTATTTATTTCATCCTATACTATTGACGTATGGTCAAAAAGCACTTTTTACCTTCCCTGTAGCAGCAAACCTAAGCACTCTTTAAATCTAATGTTATTAAAATTGGGAATAAATATGTCTTATTTCAGGAATTATTTGAGTAAAAATGTAATCAGACAAGTTGAAATTCGCTTAGTCTGCAGGTTTGCTGCAGCAGGGGTATATGGTTATGCATCAGCTATCAGTTTCATTATCTGCATTTTTGTCAATGATTGGCAACCATCATAACCTCAACATGCAATACGTTGTAGCTGCCTATTAGAAATGTTTTGTATGCGGGCTGTGTTTTGTACATTAAAAATTGTTTTCGTTTCTCAATCTTGAGTTTTTTTTAAATAATTTTAAAGCCAAGGCATTTTTTAACACATTTTTTGTTGTTTTCAGTGTCAGGACTGGCTAAGCTAGAAGGGGAGATGATAGACTGTGACTACAACACCAAGGAGGTTTGCACCAAGTACCAGCTCAGTGGTATTGTAGTACACAGTGGTCAGGCCAGCGGTGGTCACTACTACTCGTACATCCTCCACAGGTAGCAAACATGAAACATTCACATTAGAGTAATAATGTTTATTCAGTGGGTGTAAAAGTACTTTAGCTATCTTATCTGAGGAAATAAGAGTCCATTTACCTATTAGTCTCTGGATTTTCTCATTTAACGTCGCTGGATATTTTCCCTTTTCTACAATATTTCTAAGTTTTATCTCAGTCACCAAGTTTATCAGTTCCAAAGTAGTAGTTTGGGTATCAAGATAGGCCTAACCCAAAATATCCTGAGACACTGTGTATCAGATGTTCAGATGTGTTTTACTCAATGACTTGTATGAAAAATAACAGTCCAACCAATCCAGGATCTACTTCACCCTGCATTTCAATGAAGGGGGTTTGTTGAAGGTGCATTACTGACAGTGAATTGGTTGTTCCAGACAAGGCGATGGGTCTGCCAGGTGGTACAAGTTTGATGATGGTGAGGTGACAGAATGCAAGATGGACGATGAAGAAGAAATGAAAACACAATGTTTTGGAGGGGATTACATGGGAGAGGCAAGTGGAATTCCATCAAAAAACCATTTACTCATTATTTATGTGTGTGTATAAAATGTCAATGACATTTTTGTAAGGAAGAAGCATAAACAAACTATTTAAAGGAATAAAAGTCCAAAACTCCCTTTTTTTTATATGCCAGTAATCTGTCCCTAATCCACCGAGACGCTAATCACTAGGCTAGCACACCCTAACGCCTGTTAGTAATTTTATGCTAGATTAGAGATTATCTAGTATAATATTTACTCTTGTCTTCTGACACTAAGAACAGTTTTGAGGAAAACATTAGTTGAATTGTTATTGATCTGCTATCTTATCAAAATTGATAAATTTTCCCTTGCATTGTTTCAGGTTTTTGACCACATGCTCAAGAGGATGAGTTACCGTAGACAGAAGAGGTGGTGGAACGCCTACATGCTGTTTTACACTCGGCTTGATGTCGAAGAGAGTGTTCTAGTCAAAGGAATTAATCAGCTCTCTCTTTGTAAGCTGCTCATTTCTATGTTTGTGTTATTTTACTAAAATAGTTCATCGTTTTAGGAAACTATATTGTTAAAAGTTATATCCTAATAAACTACGTTTACTGGTTAAAAATTGTATTTGTGCTCGTTAAAAGTGATATTTTAAAAAAAGTCTGGTAGTTTATAATACAGAGGGTTGATGATTTGCTATTTTCTTGGCCAAACATGGTTAGGTGAAAACAAAATTAAACTCACACATTCAACCAGGTTTCGTTAGTTTGATATCTTGTGAATTTAAAAAAACAATTTTTTTAGAGCTCTTTAATAATTGCAATTGAGTAGGACCCTCTTCTTCTATCATAACAATTTTTTGCATATTTGAACAGCTGACACCAAGTTGGGTGTGATGAAGATGCCGGCTGCCATAGAACGGAGTGTGAGGCGGCAAAACATCAAGTTCATGCACAATCGCAACCAGTTCTCTGTGGAGTACTTCCAGTTCATCCGCAAACTGGCGTCGTGCAACATCCCTCCTCCCAACAGGCAACACAATGCGGATAAGTTTGTGAGTAACTACATTAGTTACACAGGAGTTACTACAACTGTATTTATCAATTTAGCACTTTGAACTTTTCTGAATGATTGATTCTAACTCTTTTCACTTGTTACAAGTTAATAATACAGTTTGTTTTTTGGTGGTTCAGAGTCAAGAGGCTGAAGAGTTGTCTATGCTGAGTGTTCAGCTGGCCAGCAAGTTCCTGTTCCACACGGGGTTCCATACCAAGAAGACGCTGAGGGGGAATGCAACGGACTGGTACGATGTGCTCAACTACCATTTGCGCTCGTTCAAGTCTGTCCGCTCCTGGTTTGCCCACAACGCCCTCTTCAAACACTCCCACAGGTCAGTTTAGATAAGTTGTAAACGTATGGAACAACTAGTTAGCTGTATTGCTGTGGATTAGTGAGTCCACTTTGGGTAGCAACAGCGACAAAAGTATTTTAAATAATCAATTTAATAACCTTCCACTTACAGTTTTAAAGACCCTTTGCACCAAATGTTTTGAGTTTACAACATGTAGTCATTTTCTAGGACTTTAAATAGGCCCATACTGTTAAACATGGTACTTCAGTGTAAACAAAAATTGCTACTGCCCCACATTAATTAACCTTTTTTCAATAACATTTTGTAAACTAGAATAATATTCAATACCCTTTGCTAAAAATAAACTCTTATTTCCAATCTCTAATCCACTTACCGGGCCACTAATCTAGTTTCTTAGTTATGATTTAATTTAAAGTTAAAGGAACACAAATAGCTTACCTGAATATAATAACCTTCTGTGAGAAACATTTTCATCAATTGATCTGATTGTGCAGGTTTTGTGAGTACTTACTGAGCTGTCCAAGCGCAGAAGTAAGGTCAGCGTTCATGAAAATCATCGTTCACCTGGCACACTTCTCCCTACAAGATGGCCCATGCCCTCCGCCTATGCTCAATGCTCCTAGTAAGTGTTTTGTACAACATTTAGAATAGAATATTCACCCCTCTTGCCCAAAAATCAAGAACCCCTTGTTTTAGGTTACTACATAAATTATATATATATAGGCCCCATGACAAACGAAACTCACAGTTTATTCACCCCAATAGGCAATGATTGAGCATTCACAAACTGTGTTCTGTTGGTTCTCATATATGGTAATTATGTTGTAAGAAGAACATGATCACGTGATAATGTTGTTGTTACCATAGGATCAATATGTCTATTTACAGTTATAAAAATACTTTGTTTTTAGTTTTTGATACAATTTTACTGCATTTCTAGCTAATCCAAACAATGTTATAATCCGAACAGGATCTGGTCCTTATTAGTTGAAAATAGTATTACTGGTGTGTATTAGGTATCAGGTAGTCAATGTAGTTGTCTGTTTGGCAGCAATACTGCTGGACCGCAAGGCCACGATGAGTGATCATCTGTTGATGGCAGTCATGTCCCTGCTACACAAGGAGGTGTCTGAGCATGGAAGGCACTTACCTCACTACTTCTCTCTGTTCCACACCTACGCTTGTCTTGGCATCGCAGAGAGGACACAGCTGCTCAAGGTTGGTCAAGGAAAAATTATCATTTAATTTTTAACATTTTGGCAAACAATTTTCTTTTTAAAAATTGGAAGACATTGGGAAAATAAATATACACAGAGCAATCCTTAACATTATGATGTCCCCAAATGAATATTGGTGATCTGGAAGGTGTATTCATTTCAGCATCACCATTCACAAAAAAAAAAGAACTATAACATAAAAAAATATCAACTTAAAAAAACTACCTCAACATTTTGCAAAAGTGATTTTTTGTTCAGATGTTTTCTTAATCTTTTAAAGCAAGATGAACATGGTATGTGAAAGTGACATATAGATACCATGAAGGTTTTGCATAATTACAATTTGAGGACAGAAAATACAATACTTAACTAACATGCACAACATATTACAGCTAAACGTGCCGTCGACGTTCATGTTGGTAGCACTAGACGAAGGCCCAGGACCCATCATCAAGTACCAGTACCCTGAGTTGACCAAGCTGCACATGGTGGTGTCTCTGTTGATAAGATGCTGTGACGTCTCCTCCCGCATGCAGTCCTCACAAGCGGTAATACACAACACGCAAACATTAGAGATTAGTCAGTCGGAAGTGTGACAAACCATGATTCCATGGCACTAATGTCATGGGTTTGCATCCTGTACTGTACTAGCTCAACGATTGCTTTGCTGCATATGTTCCACTCACAGGTCTGAGGCCTTTGTGGACAGGAAAATGTAAAATCCATCCTCTACAAAAAATTTCTTAACAAAACTTTCAATAGCAATACATATTTTTGAAGCCTCTTGAATTTTGTCTTTGCATGCAGAATGGAATTGTGGTGAAAAGCCACTCATTTTACTCTCATTTTGATTGCTAGCTTTTACACACAATTCGCTTGCAGAAATGTTTGCTTGCCAATCGCAATCTCTTTTCATCTGAAAGGAGTAGCCTACCGCTTTAAACGAATTAATTGGTAAAAGTATGCGTTCTTTCTTCTGTGTTAGTTAACGTAAGAGTCAATTTTGTTTAAACAAAAGAGACACAAAGGATGTGTTATCTAGAAGAATTTGCTAAATGATCAGACTCGATGGCTGTTAATGCCATTGAATATTAAATAGATATATATATTCTTGAGTGTGGCAGATTGCGTGAAAATATAATAAAATCTAAGTTCTTACCGTCAACGCAATCAGGAGTAATATTCCACTACGGCCGTTTCGGAGATGACTCCATCGTCAGGTGCGTAGTGGTACACTAAACTATAGTCTTGTCACATTTAACACGAGTTTTCTTCATTTGCATTGCGTCAGGGGGTGAATAAATAATACACATATATTTACAGGACGGACACACGAAAACACGAATACATGAAAACATTTAGAGCACGTGCACGGCTTGAAAACTGACGACCGACTGTTCAATCCTGGTCACTGCAGGAGTTACGTGGATGACTGGAACAGCTGATAACACGGTGTGCCAACCTTATCTACTCAAATTAATACTTTCCTGTTTGATTTCCATTATTCTCTCAAAAATTGGATTGGCAGCTGAATTTGTTTGGGAGTTAATTACTAAGTTGGGTTCTATGGCTGTACTGCTGTAGATATGGAAATTTTCGATGCAATTAAGTTTGTGACTTTTATTGCCAATATGTAGTATTTCTAAACTGTTTATGTCGGAATAATCATGGCAATACTGTTGAATATGTTCGGCATAATTTGAAGTAGGGTTGGGTTTCTTAATGGCGCTTATGTGCTCTTTATATCTGGTTTTAAAGCACCTACCAGTCTGTCCAATATAATACGAGTCACATTCTCCACACTTAAGTTTGTAAACACCTGGCTTTTCCAACAATGGTGTATTCCTGTGTCGAGGAGCAGACAGCTTACGTTGGAGGCTATTACTGGTTCTGTAAGCAACTGAATAATTGTGTCTACTAAAAGGACGGGTTGCTAAACGTTGGTTTAGTTTACAGAACTCTAACGTGACGTATTTTTTATCATCCTTATCGGCTTTATTGTTGACTTTTTTCTTGACTCTCCTGTGCAGTTTATCAATTAATTCTGTGCTGTATCCGTTATTCAAAGCAATGTACTTTATGGTGTTTAATTCACGGCTATAGTTCTCTTCATTTAGAGGGATATTAACCAATCTGTGTAGCATGGAGTTATAGGCTGCGATCTTGTGGGATTGGGGGTGATTAGAACTGTTGTGGATGGTTGTATCTGTGCTAGTGGGTTTCCTGTAGATGTTAAAAAGGTGTTTATTGTCCGATTTGGTTATTGTCAAGTCAAGAAAGTTAATTGAAGCATTTTTCTCGTGTTCTGTAGTGAATTTAAGCCTGGGATGGATGTTATTAAGGTATTTTCCAAACAAATCAATTTGTCTATTGTTGCCTTTGAATAAACAAAGCACATCATCAACATATCGGTGCCAGTAAACGATCTTTCCTTTGAAAAGGAAAGATCGTTTACTGGCACCGATATGTTGATGATGTGCTTTGTTTATTCAAAGGCAACAATAGACAAATTGGTTTGTTTGGAAAATACCTTAATAACATCCATCCCAGGCTTAAATTCACTACAGAACACGAGAAAAATGCTTCAATTAACTTTCTTGACTTGACAATAACCAAATCGGACAATAAACACCTTTTTAACATCTACAGGAAACCCACTAGCACAGATACAACCATCCACAACAGTTCTAATCACCCCCAATCCCACAAGATCGCAGCCTATAACTCCATGCTACACAGATTGGTTAATATCCCTCTAAATGAAGAGAACTATAGCCGTGAATTAAACACCATAAAGTACATTGCTTTGAATAACGGATACAGCACAGAATTAATTGATAAACTGCACAGGAGAGTCAAGAAAAAAGTCAACAATAAAGCCGATAAGGATGATAAAAAATACGTCACGTTAGAGTTCTGTAAACTAAACCAACGTTTAGCAACCCGTCCTTTTAGTAGACACAATTATTCAGTTGCTTACAGAACCAGTAATAGCCTCCAACGTAAGCTGTCTGCTCCTCGACACAGGAATACACCATTGTTGGAAAAGCCAGGTGTTTACAAACTTAAGTGTGGAGAATGTGACTCGTATTATATTGGACAGACTGGTAGGTGCTTTAAAACCAGATATAAAGAGCACATAAGCGCCATTAAGAAACCCAACCCTACTTCAAATTATGCCGAACATATTCAACAGTATTGCCATGATTATTCCGACATAAACAGTTTAGAAATACTACATATTGGCAATAAAAGTCACAAACTTAATTGCATCGAAAATTTCCATATCTACAGCAGTACAGCCATAGAACCCAACTTAGTAATTAACTCCCAAACAAATTCAGCTGCCAATCCAATTTTTGAGAGAATAATGGAAATCAAACAGGAAAGTATTAATTTGAGTAGATAAGGTTGGCACACCGTGTTATCAGCTGTTCCAGTCATCCACGTAACTCCTGCAGTGACCAGGATTGAACAGTCGGTCGTCAGTTTTCAAGCCGTGCACGTGCTCTAAATGTTTTCATGTATTCGTGTTTTCGTGTGTCCGTCCTGTAAATATATGTGTATTATTTATTCACCCCCTGACGCAATGCAAATGAAGAAAACTCGTGTTAAATGTGACAAGACTATAGTTTAGTGTACCACTACGCACCTGACGATGGAGTCATCTCCGAAACGGCCGTAGTGGAATATTACTCCTGATTGCGTTGACGGTAAGAACTTAGATTTTATTATATTAAATAGATGGTCATAGGCTACCATAAAGATAAGATAATAATATTCTATTTAAGTTCAATAATATTTAATAAATTGTTTTCAGAACACTATGCCACTAACAAACCCCTACAAGGACCCTTCATGCCCCGACTACATAATGCCTATCCAGCAACCTGCTGCTGACATACTGTTCAACAGATCCAGGTAAAGTAGGTCTCGTAATAGTTTGATTTTGCCCCTAGATGTTCAGGGAAGGAAAAATACATTAAAAAAATATTTCTATATCAAATTTGTTACTACTCGTCTAACACAACTTTGTGGTGCATTATCTAAATCTTCTGTAAAATAAACCACCTAGTTAGTATTCATGAACATCTCTTGCAGTTATGTGGACATTATCGTCTTCCGCGATTGCGGCAAAATTCTGTTATCTCCTGCAGCTGTGTAGGCATCATCATAGACTCTCGCGGTCAAGGAAACGTCATCGTTGTCTTTCGTGATCGCGACAAAATCACAAACTTCTCCCGTGGTAGTGTAGACATCATCACCGTTTTCCGTGGCAAGATTCTAATTTTCTCCCGCAGCCAAGAAGACATCATTATCGTCTTCAGGGTCATTGCAAAATTCTGGTCTCTTAAGCGGTCGTGTGGACATAGTTATCTTCTCCCACGGTCGTGCAGACATCATCATTCTCGATCTTCTTCTCCCTCGATCGCTGCAAATTCTAATCATCTACCTAAGCCGTGTAGACATCGTCCACTCTTGCCGTCCCGCAAACAGCCTCGTCGTCTTGCGTAATCGTGTTAAAATTCTGACAATATTCCGCGGCTCTGTAGGCATTGTCATTGTCATCCGCTCCCTTATTTGCGGAAACATCATTGTCGTCTTGCACGATCACGGCAAAATTATGAATATCTGAGATTGTGTTGACATTATTGTCTCCTACGATCGCGGCAAAATTCTGATTACCTCCTGCGGCCAAGTAGACATCATCGTCTCCCGTCTGCATAGTTGTCTTGCGCTCGAACGGAAAATTACTGCTATTGCTTCCACGATCATCGCAGATGTGTTGGGTATCTGAATCAACTTATTTTCGAACGATTCTCTCTCAATACTAATACCAATGTCCAAGTATGATTGGTATCGAGAATCGACATTTCCCTAAAAGTTATACAAACCAATACTAGAAATTTTCCAATTTTCGTACCATAATATTTAATTACAGTTTATCACTACTTCCTCAGATTGACGGTACATTTTTTACTAAGCTATTGTGTATTTGAAACATGAAGGTGTAAAGGTTGTTGTTTTTTATAGTTACATCAAGAAGGTGATAGAGGACGCGGCGCTGATGGATGAAGGGTTGAAGCTGCTTCAGTTTTGTTGCTGGGAGAATCCTCACCTTTCACGCATCTGTCTCAGTGAGCTACTGTGGCAGATAGCATATGCGTACTGTCACGAGCTGCGCCACTACATGGACCTGCTGCTGGGCATGTTGCTCATGGAAGACTCTTGGCAGTCACATCGGATACACAACGCCCTCAAAGGTAAGTTGACTATTAGAGTGGACAAGAAAATAGGGAAAACTGGGAAATGTACATGAAATGATGACTGGGGTGAAATTGTTGAATTAGACTTAAATTTCGTATAGGGCTGGGAAATTTTTAACTTTACAGGCCTAAACTTTAATATTAGGGCGTAATGATTGGAAAAATTCATTTTAAATCACAGTTTTTCTCATTTTTTTCATTATACAGTCCAACCTCAGTATAACGAATCTGAAGGGACCGAACTGAATATTCGTTATATCAAGGATTTTGTTAAAACGAGGTTCGTTATATAGAGGTTAGGTTTGCAGGAATTTCGCTAAGTCGAGGTTCAGAACCAGCGTCGGTCAAAATAGGTCGGGATTTGACCTCATTAAAATACAGTACTGTAACATTAAAGTAGCATAGGCTACAATACTTTACAGTACAGTGTTTACATTGTACAGTAGAACCTAAATTATCCGGCATAAAAAAGGGGAGGGATCTTGAATATTGCGCAATCATGACAATGGCATTGACCTTGGTACAGGTTAAAAACTGTAAGTTTAAAATCACAGCTTGTTCTAACCCTCCTAAAACCTAGCCAAACACTGTATTGCGTAGTCATAAACCATGTAAAGAACAAAACAAAACAGTAGAAAGTTTTGTAAGCTACTGCTCGCGATAGGCCGGTAGGCTACTTTTAGTACTTAGTACGTACAGTATAGTACTGATTTATCACAACAGAGGAATGTCAATAATAATCATTAACTATAGCATTTGTGTTGCTAGTTGAAACAGATCGTATTGAAAACAATAAATTATTAGATAAGTCATTATAAAAGTGTATAATCATAACACTCGTAAAAGGAATGTTAAAATAACGATGTTGCATATTCTTTCTTAGGTTTCTCTTTATCCAAAAATTGTACAATTCACCATAGTTACTTATCGCCCAATCACAGCTTACTAAACATTACGTCGTCATCAGTCCTCAGTGAATGAAATCAGTTCTCAGTTGCAACATAGCGCGCAGCGACAGCAGACAAAGATGTAAAACGGAGCAGACGAATGTTAGCGCAAGCGATGACGTCACCTTTCAATTTCATTTGATAAAGAAATAGATTTTCCCAAAACAATAATTGGGTGGGGGATTTGTTATATCGAGGGAAAGACGTAGACAATTCGTTATGCAGAGGTTAAATTCGTAATGTAGAGGTTCTGACAATGATAAATTCGTTATATTGAGGTGTCTTATTTTAGCCGAAATCACGAAAAATTCGTTAAATCAAGGTCGTTGATATGGTTTGTTCGTTATGTAGAGGTAAAATATACATTATGTCTTATGGAGAGTTCTAGGGGATTAAAAAAAATTCGTTATATCAAGGAATTCGTTATATCGAGGTTTGTTATATCAAGGTTAGACTGTAAATTAAAACCGTGTTGAACTATCACATATCATGGATGTTGTCGCAATCGCTAGAAACACTTCACTTCTGTCGCCTTATGTTTTAATCGTATTAAACCTATCCTGGATTTTGCCGCAATCATGTGAGATGCTCACAACGTAGCTGCTATTCTGTGGTTGCCACAAGCGCAAATAATGATCACGGCACTGCTGCAGACACGGGAAATCATCAAACAATTTTGAGATAGTTGAAAAATAGGATCAGAGATGTGCATCATGGACATCTCTTGTATGGCATGACATGATCGTCTTCCGCGATCGCGGCAAAATGTTGTTATCTCCCGCAGCCGTGTAGTCATCATCATCGACTCTTGCAGTCACAGAAAGGTCATCGTTGTCTTGCGTGATCGTGGCAAAATCACAAACATCTCCCGCGGTAGTGTAGACATCATCACTGTTTTCCGTGAAATCATAACGGATATTACCGTGTTCAAGGAAAATCATCGCATGTTTTGCGGCAATCACAAGATGTGATCACCAAATGCGAGCTATTATCAGGGAATTCGCCACAATCGTGTGAGTTGCTCACAACTTCGCTGTGTTTCTATTTATCACATTTGAGATACTCAGTTTTAGGATTTGGTTTCCAGATTTTAAATTCCTGAATTTAATAATACCTGGGGTTACCGTACTTAAAACCGAAACCAAAAACCAATATAAAATCTGAAATATTCTATGCATAAGAATGTAAACATCAATGAATTTTTGTTTGTTTGTACCTGTATCCAATCTAAGAACTTAAAGATGCATGTTAGATAGTTTTTATTTGTTTATAATTTGATTGGTACATTTAAGCCATTTAATATGTTTCAGACATTTCTTCTAAATGTAACTAATCCTAATTGAATGTAATCTTCCCTGAAGATCAGAATATATGATCCCTAATATTTCATCCCCAAGTAAAACATTCATGTTTACAAGTCCGAAATGTAACAAAACTAACAGTTCTCAAAACTCAATTCATTCAAAACAGATCATGTAGTGGCCTTTTATAATTCTATATAGTCCGCAGACTCGTAACAGTTTGATATTTGTCTCGTAGGTATGGTAGACGAGAGGGACGGACTGTTTGACATCATCCAGCGTGCCAAGAACCACTACCAGAAGCGAGCCTACCAGTGTATCAAGTGTCTAGTGACGTTGTTCACCAAGTGTCCGGCCGCTCACAATATGGTTACCTCAGTGCCAGAGTTACGCCGCAAGTGGCATGTCTCTGTAGAGTGGCTTCAGGACGAATTAGAAAGGGTATGTGTCCATCACCTTAAGCCATCCATCCTCTCAATATAACAAATTACTCTATATAATAATATTTTGCAGTACCCGTGCAAACACCATATCACTCAAATAGAAAGTGTACCCTTCAGCATACAACATATGTATAAAACCCTCTATTTAATGAATATTTAGTCTTTTTGTTGGTAATTTATTACGCTTTAACAACGAATATCCAAAGTACAAAACCCCTTACATATACGAACAGAAAATAACCTCTATATATCGGATATCCACGCTTCCAACCCCTTAAAGTACATTTTTTTCCTTATTTAGCCGTCCGGATACAGACAGTAAAGTTTACAGTTCCTCTTTCCCTTGATCAATTTCTGCAGTGGACCATATCTATCACAGTGTTCCTATTAACACTTCATATCAAGTATGAAATGGGAACTAAATTGTTGTAGCAGAGGCCGTATGTAAGCAACAGCTACAACACTGCGTGGTCGCCTCCTGCACAGAGCAATGAGACGGCCAACGGTTACTTCCTAGAGCGCTCCAACAGTGCTCGCAAGACTCTGGAGCTGGCTTGTGAGTTGGTGCCTGAGGAAGTCACCAATCCACAGCAACTGGTTAGTGATCAAACTCGTCAATATAGGTACTACTTTAGCAAAACTACTAGGGTGTACTCTATGATGAAGACGAAACATTATAGCCTAGTTCAATTGATGGGACTGTTCTATTCTTCTGAGTTACAATTGCCAGTTTTAGCATTGGCTTTGGACCACAGTGTTCATATTCTTAAAAAGATTTTCCAGTTCACTTTTCAGAGTTATGTTATATGACAGTGGTATAGTGAGATTAAAATGTTTGTTTCTTTTAATAGGAATTGACAGGATAATATTTACAATTCGTGACAAGACAGGATTTTGATTTCCTTCTGGTTATTCTGGACGGGAGTGTAACAGGATTCCTCTTTACCTGCAACTAGGAACTCTTTAGGTTTCTTTAACATGCTGTGTATGTGTGTGCAGGAGCCAGAGGTGGAAGTGGAGGACAACACAGAGGACCCTGAGAGTTGTCCTGAGGAGCCAGTCTCGCCCTCCGGGACAGACGGCCGCAGAGAGCACAGGAGAAGGAGGACATTCAACAAGGAGGGAAGGTTAGCAATAGCAGACTAACCTGACCGGCACAATAACACACATACAATTTAGGAGGCGTTTAATAATATAAAAGTATTCAAAGTCTCATAATTTCCAAGAAATCTGATAGTAATAAAAAAGTTTTATATTGTCCAAAACAACAAATACAAGAAAATTTCATACAAAAATATGTATTTAAATACTGCGGTGCACCAGTGTGGTAGTTGTTGATAGAAAACCATGAATGCTGGTTACTTATTAGACCATCTTCATAGTCATGTCAATGTATCAAAATTAAAAATAATTTTTTAATTCAAGCCTGAGGAGAAAATGATCTTAACTTTTCTGTATTGCAGACCCCTAATTTCAACCGAAGGAAATGTAATCTGTATTATTCAATAACCAATACAGAAATGTTTTAAGGATTTTGTAATAGCTGAAAGACGCTGTGACCTCACATACTTGTTTTGTTTTGTACAACAGGAAGTATTACAACAAGTACATGACAGACGAGACAGGCGCTGTTAGCATACGAGAGGAGACTGAGCCACTGACCACGGTAGTGTCAGACGTGGCTAACTGTGAACAAAAGTTTAACTGAGTGGTGAGTAGTCAAACTACACATTCAAATCATAAGATACCCTCTCAACTGTTAGTGGGAGAATGTTGGTGTATACTCTATTCCACCGTACACTACGGTGTGCCCATAAGCCATGTACTGCAAGTAGAAGTTTCAGCAAAACTAGCCATCCTAAAATTATTAGAACCCGCAAAACGTTCCTTATGAACCACACTTTTCATGTAAATATTGATTTACAGACATGAATAAAGATTTGGAAAAAAACCTGACAATGATCTCCAGTAGTGTACTGGCAAAGTGTATAATGTAGGTGTTCTTAAAGATGACTAGGACTTTAAAACATTGCCTTAGGGTTTTAGGCAAAGTATGAAATTTAGTAATAGCATTGACTATACACAGAATATTTACGGTATACTAGGTAATGAATGGTAATAGCAATAGGATTTAATACACTTTATCTAACATTGTAAAATGCCCAAGGCTTTCTATGGAATGCCCACAGTCTCAGGCAAACTATAAAATAAAGATATTTGTTCAAACAACTATTTTACAATATTGAAATATTTTGTGTGTAGGTTCTAGGGTAATTACAGTTATTTAATCTTCTGTTAGATTTGATTATACCTAAAAAGGAATCCAAAGTAAAAAAATCCTTAGAATTTTGACATGGCATAAGATTGTATTGGTATATTTACATTCACATGCATTGACAAGTCAAAAATTTGATTGTGTTAATCACAAAATTCTTATCAAAAAACTTACAGCAATTGGTTTTCATGGACAAATAATTGAACTTTTGAAGTCTTACTTAAGCGATAGAAAACAAAGAACAGTAATTAAAACCGCCTCTGGGAACAAATACTCTTCTTGGGCAAATAATAACTATGGAGTTCCGCAAGGTTCAATCCTAGGTCCTCTCTTATTCCTCACATATATTAATGATTTACCTTTTCATTTTTCAAGTCAAATCTGTAACTTTACCCTTTATGCAGATGATACAACAGCTCTCATCAAACGAAGTACTGTTAAAATGTTACATGATGATGTCAAAGAAACAATTGGAGAAATAGCAAATTGGTTTTTAAAAAATGGCTTACTTTTGAATGAAGATAAAACTAGTGTTTTAATTTTCAAATTGAGAAATTCAACCACTGGAACAGAAACTACTGCCTCGCCCACAAATGTAGTAAAGTTTTTAGGGATATATTTGGATAGTAAACTACAATGGACAGAACATATTAATTTTCTAAACAAAAAACTCAGTCCAACAAGATATGCTTTAAGTGTTTTAATTCAGGTTACCTCCTTGGAAGTATGTAAAAATGTTTATTATGCTTATGTGTACTCTATTTTAAGCTATGGTATTACATTATGGGGGACAGCCACAGATGTCCACAAAGTTTTTAAAAAACGAAAGTCAATAATCAGAACTCTTGCAAATTGCCCCAAAAAAACATCATGTAGACAATTGTTTCGAAATTTTAAAATTTTAACTCTAACTTCAATATACGTTTTTGAAATTTTAAAAATGGTTCATGGAAATCCTGGTATGTTTCAAAATTATCTTAGTAATCACTCATATAATACCCGAAGACAAGACATTTTTCAATACCCTACTCATAATTTAAAAAAATATGAAACAAGTCCTCTCTATATGGGGTTAAAAATTTACAATAAAATTCCAAACTCCTTAAAGCAATTAAACTTAGCAAAATTTACAGACAAAATCAAAACAGTTTTAGTAGAAAAAGCATATTACACTCTTGAGGAATTTTTCAACGACTCCTGGTAACAGACACCCAATCTCTCATCAACCTCTCCTAACATAAACAGTTCCACCATGCTGTAGCTTTGTAGGGGTAACTTACTGGCTAAATCCTAGGTTTTGTATATACCTATTTAGATTTCCTTATTTATTAGAAACCTTGACAATGTACCTGTCTGTGTATTACATTTGTAATAACTTTAACAGATGTTATGTGCAATAAAGAATTGTCATTTGTCATTTGTCAAAAATTCATCATACATTGAGTACGGTATTTTGTTCTCATTGATGATTTTAGTCTTTCTTAAGCATTGTAATAGACTATTAAGCATAAGTTGAATTGATAAAATAAATACATTGGAGGAAATATAAACAAAATTCTCACAAACATGTCCGTCAATGATCCTATTGTTGTCTTAAGCGACTGGTTTCGGGATTAAAATCAGGTTTTAATTTAACATAGTATGTTATGGTCTTTAAAGTTTTTATAGTTTTTTTTTCATTTAAGAAAATTTTGATTTTTAATGGGGATTTTCCCATAAAACCCCATAAAAAACGGAAAAATGGGATTTTCCCAAAAACGGCCCGAACGATTTTGATAAAAATTTGGTATGTTATAGTCCTTTAAATTCTGAACAAAATTGTACTAATCCTATTTCCGTATATTTACTCTCACCGCTTACACATGATAAAGGTTGTTGACAAACTTATGGGAGAAAGTATGTGTCAGAATGCTGATACCGTTTATTTAGGGTAACTATGTAAAATGTGTAGGTTATTATAAAGGCTAGATTATGGTTACTGTCTGTAAGGTGGTTGGCGAAAGCAGATTTTTGCTGGGCTATAGTTTTGGATGGAAGGTGCTCTTTAAATTGTTGCTTAAATGAGCGAGTATTCTGGCCTATATAGTATTTTGGACAATCATTACAACTGATCTTATATACTCCCATCTTATTGGCTTTATCAAGAGCAAGAGAGTTCCTCTTGCACTCTTTAAATGTGGAGTTAAGTTTATTGTTGGTCCTGAATGATACACAAATGTCATTTTTGGCTAGTTCTTTTTTTATTGTGTTGTTAAGATTATTGCCATAATTAGCAGTGTTTTGTGTTTACCGACAACCTCAATTTGAAAGACATGACATTCTAACCGCCTGATGATGGGATTTTAATTACGAAACCGGTCGCCTAAGACGACAATAGGATCATTGACGGACAGGTAATATAAACCATTTTATTCAATAAGTGATCAAGCATAATGGCAATGATGATGGTCGCTGCCGATACTATTATGTGTGACTGAAAATGACATTTTGAGGCCATCTCCCAGACCAATTCTTGTAAATATTTTTTACTTTGTCAACTAAATTCTGTTCTACAGAATAAGTTATTTTTCATATTTAGGCTTCGTTTTATTCTTCAGTGACTTGTTTTCATATTGATGTTCTTTGGTCCAGGATCACTTCTTGAATATTAAAATGGTAAAAGATTACCTGTTTCCGTCTGTGATCCTAAATTTATTGTATTGACCAACCGGTTTCAAGGTTAAAACCTCATCATCAGGGTCTTGTTGTCACTCTTGCGAGATCGTCGAGTACCACACAAAGACTCTAACATTTAAATAAATAAAACAAGAGACATATTGACAGACGATTAACATAAATTCAGGAACTAGTTCTACACACGACGCGGCATGGGCGGACGTTTTGTCATGACTGACAAACAATCAGGCAAAGACACAATAGATCAAAAAGTTGTTTACGTTTTCATGTTACCGGTTTTGTGTTTCAAATTGTGACATTCTCTAAAAAATAATGACTTAAGAAATAAAAAAAATGACTTTAGAATGCCATGTCATTTACAGAATTCATTGATAATTCATGAGCATAATTAATAGTTACATTAGTTACTTACTACTTTTAATGCATTTTCAAAAAAATATGTCACACGATGTTAAAAAAAGTCCATCATTGCGGACCATAATACACATCAGCTGTAGGATTTAAGTAAGTTTGACCACGTGACTCGTGAGTTGAGATGTGATAAGTTTGTTTCTTGTTGCAGGACGAGCAAGACACAGAAGCCAGTGATTGTGTACAGACTCACTTGTAAACTACTGTACTATCATTGTTATCATATTCTTTATTGCCTTTGTTCGATGGTGCCCACTGACAACGGTTTCTTTTGTAAACATATATATAATATATATATATTGAGAATCGCCTCGTTTATAAATATTTATATAGTTTTTATTATTTAAAGCTATCACTCCTAGCATATTTATTATGCCCACTATTATTATTATAGACTACCTTGTGTGTTTGTTTTCCTTTTTTTGGAATTGTCTTTCAACACGTATTAATGAGAGATTTTTTTAACAAAGCTAGATGAATATTTATATGATGAAAGCCTTTTTGTATGCCTAGCGAATGAGAATGTAAATTGTCGGATAGTAGGCTAAGAATATATTAATGACTACGGCATCACTGTACAATAAATTGTATTCGTTTTTATTTCTATTTTGTACTTTTATTGTCGATCGATAAATATTGTAAATTTTTAGGTGCCTGTGATAGTACGAGGTGACGATTTTGTTGATTTTAATTCTGTACATTCTAGCTTTGATACACTTAGCTTTGATATCCGATGCCACCAAATGTTAGGACTATTATTGTTTTGTTATGACGAACGTAAGACAGTTAATGTCTGGGTATTAAAATACTGTGTAAAGTTATTGAAACATTCATAATAAATTAAGGTACATATTTTGTTTTATCATTTCTCACTCGAGTTTTACTATTCCCTTTCCTCCTCAATATAAATATTTACGAGCTATTGTCCCGTCCTACAAACGGGAATCAAGTAGTCAATTAACGCGCAATATAATTCAGAATAGCTATTTTACACGTATAAAGACAAATTCTGGTAGTTTGAAAGACAAAATATCTTGTAAACAAAAATTTCATAAGACCAACTATTTTTCTTTCATCCGATTATAGCCTATACAATATGCATATTAAATCCGATGATTTTATAACAAAACAGCAATTGTGTTGATCTGAAAAGACTTGAAGTGAGATTGGCGGCTGATTCACACACTGGTTTTGACTACAGTAGCTACATACCAACTTCCATTGCACACTATCACCTTATCTTACCTCCCTAGCCACTGACACCTTAAGAGGATTCTGGCCTTCTATTCTCTTCTATCCCCTGCCTCTTCTAATGTAGATCCTAGTCTGGAGATGTATTTCATGACTTAGCGTTTCCACTTCATTCTCAGTCTTCCAAGTGGTCATCTACCTTGTGGCACTCCTTGGAATACACTTTTAAAAGTTGATGTATCTTCTCTCCTCTACACATTGCCTGCCCATCCGAGCCTTTTACTTTTGGAAAGTACCCCTATATCATTGGGTGATTATACTATACATTTATCTGAGGTCTCTGTTTTTTTGTATCTCAATCTCCGTTATCTTAAAATGGCCTGTTTATTTTCTCTGCACTCTATTCTCAAACCCAGAAATAAGGTTATTCGGTTCTAACGCAGATCCTTTATGGTCTGAAAAAACTACATTGTAAAGTGAAGTAGTATTTGGAGAGCGAGCTGGTGTAGTGGTTAGAGCGCAGGACTTCAGTCGGGTTCGATCCCCGCCAAGTCGCAATTTTTTTTTTTTGTCCTAGGACGCTAGGCACGAGCCCGGAATTGTTGTTCACATTACTTCAGGCTAGACCTAGGGGTTACGGCAATATCACTTAGATCAAATCCATTGGTGATTTGGCGGGGTTTGAACCCGGGACCCCAGGAACCGGAGTCCCGCTCTAACCACTAGACCAGCTCTCTCCCCTACCAATGGATTTTATCTAAGTGATAATGCCGCAACCCCTAGGTCTAGCCTGAAGTAATGTGAAAAACAATCCCAGGCTCGTGCCTAGCGTCCTAGGACAAAAAAAGTATTTAGACAAACACCAGGGATAGATATTTTTGTAAACATATACTATAACACTTTAAAAACTCAAGGCAACTACAAAAAAAAGTCAACTTAGTAAACAAATAACTTGTAACAAACATTTCAATGACAGTTTGAAACTAGCACTGAAACGGCTGTAAATTGTTAGCGTCGCGAGTACAGCTCGGGGCATTATTTCGTTGAATCTCATCTGCGAGCGCTAGTGTGCTTATAGCGGCACTTGTCGCTTTCGACCGTCGATGGCATGGTAGCTCGGTTGGCTAAGGCATTGTACTGACGAGTGTTTGAGTGTTGTAACATTGAGGTCTTTCGTCATGCGCAAGTTTGAATACTGTGTATGTACAATCCATATTAAGCTAATGTGTGGCTTAGCTGGTGGGAGAGGCTTGGGTGGAAGTTGACGGCGTTATTGAGTTTATTAAGGGTTGCACACAACACCTGTTTTGTTTCTTTTTACATTAGTTTAAAGGAGGAAGACACAGATTTTTGGTTAAATATTGACATATTATGGCGTTGAAATAAATATATTATTGAAGAAATAATTGATAATAACCTGAAAAAATGATTAATAGAGAAATAAATAGGAAAAAAGGGCTTAAGCATTTGGATAGATTTAACGGTAGGCTTTACACTAGACCGAGATCAAGGCTAATGAAAAAGAGGTTGCCGAAGACGTGTGTATGACGTCACCCACAGACCCGGACAGTGCTGCTTTTAATTTATACAGCTGACACCTTTACTAAAGTACTTTAATAAAGTGATTGAATGCCTCGTGAGCGTTGTTCTGACATAATCTGTATCAATAGCCAGATAAAAACTCATGAATTTTAAATTTTATTTTGGATTTAATTATTTTTTAACTTTAGACTGTCTCCATGAATACATGGAGACAGTCTAAAACATTCTATCATAGATTGCCTAAGGTAAGCACGAAGAACTATGCAAACGAGTGAGTAAATAATTTGGTCCTCGTTTTTCCGTGATTAGTTCGACAAATTTTACTGTCGATGATTACAAGCTAGATTTTAAAAGTGAACTGAACTGATTTAGTCCTAGAGATAAGGGTTCTTTTATTAAGCTTGGTGTATTTTTATCTGTCAAAACTTGTCTATAAATATTAAGATTGAGGAATTTAAAAAATACTAGGAAAGGCAAAACAAGAAAAGGTTCTGACTTTAGGATACCTAAACACCCACAGGGCGGAAATGTGACGGTATTCTCGCTGATCTGATCGCTGCTCTGCATTTTATTTCTGCCATTGGATGAGAAATAGGTCTGTGCTTGGCTTGAATATAAAATCGGTTAACCGAAAGGCCGATCGGCGACCGCCGATGTTGCCGTAGTCGCGGCAGACGATCACCACTGTCGCCGATAACAGGTCTTGCCGCTTTCAAAAAAAAGACGATTACCGAACTCGCGGAGACTGCAACTCAAGAGATTGCGCACGCAATGGAATTAGGACACGCAAGTATTTATTTAATTATTATTATAAATTAATTCAAATATATCACAGATTTTGAAGTCACAAAGTGACACTGGCTGCTAGTTTTACATTATTTAATTTTAACTTTGGTTGCTTTATTGAGCGGAGCGAGCGAAGCGAGCGTAGCTCTTTGGGATCAACTTCAATGCAACAAATAGAGAAACATCACTCAATAACGGCTGAACGCATTTCAGCCAAACTTAACAAAATTACTTAGACTAATAGTGAGATGGTTTTTAAACAAACAAATCTCAATTAGATAATGCTAATGCAATTTAAAACGAACTTAAAATTTCCAAATTTTAACATTAGGCTTATGGGACAAAAGTAGCCATATGACAGTTTTTTGTTTACAAAAAAAATGTAAACAAGAGAACCATTACGGTATTTCTGAACTTTCTAGACTTTTCTTTTAAACGTTTTTAAACCATTCCTATGATTTTAATAAACAAGAAAATGCCGTTAAAACATTTTTTTAAGGCGCGAAATTCACTGAAAATCGAGAACATATACGGAACTACTTTCTCAATGCGCGGATCATAAACAAGGAGCGGAGGGATACGGAACAGTGACTACTTTCTTTGGAACCTATTTGTGTTGCCAGCTGATTAAAAACAGCCAATGTTAGAAATCAGGATTTAATAAGCGATATATCGAACCACATCGAAATCGATATTTGATCCGATAATACATCACAGGTTATATTATGTTGAATTACATCGACGGTGCAGTAAGTTATTAGACCTATTAATGAAACGCAGATTGAACACTGATCTAATCTAGGCATGTGGGGAAGGTAGCAAAGAAAGCTGAGTTTAACCGATTGCAGGGGTTGAAATGAAGACCAATGTTTATGTTGCACAGTTGAATTTAAATGTCAAATTTCCCCTCCTGTTGTAATACTTTAATACTAGTTTTTTTTAATAGTTACTGTTGTTTTTATACTTTAATATAGCCTACTTTAACCGATTGTAAGGGTGAAAAATGCAGTCCAATGTTTTTGTTGTAGGTTACAGAGTTGAATTTGAATGTTAAATTTCCTTTCTCTTTTTTATACTTTAATGCCCTTTTTGGATGTTAATACCAGATTCCAACTACTGTAGTATTTTCCTGGTCAAAACTACCATAACGCACTTTTGGAAGAGGTATCTGAATAACAAGATGTAGTAAAACCAAATCTGAATTATTATAATTTTAATCAATAAAACCAGCATTAGTACATCGATTGACTTTTTTACATTTAGTTACTTATACAAATATCAAATCAAGTTTGTTCCGCTCAACTGGCTTTCACCTCTGAAAGCAACCCTAGTATGAAACATTGAGTTCATGAGTTGTACATGAAACTTAATACAAACGGATATTTTGTCCTAAAGTAAGACTTTGTTGTAGTGAAATTAGTTTCTCTTCTGTATTCCCTTTGTAGGTCAATATCAGTGTTTGGTTTAGTGCAATATATCAATTATCAATTATTTAAGACTAGCAATAGTGAATGTGGTTAAATACAACGTCTCTAGTAAAGTAATGGTTATGAAATTCGCATACACCTGTTTACTCATTAATAATATTGTTGGTACAGATTAAAGCACTTAGCTTTAGAAACACAAATAACATAAGGAACAACCACAAATGCAAATTGTGATCAACAACATGTAAACAAAGAAAAACCAATGAATCCTGAAAATCAATGAAACCTCATAACAATACTGTACAACAATCAGCTGTTAAATTAATAACACATGTTTCATATAATCAGAAGATACATTCCAGTCTTTGACTATTTGATACCTGCAAACCCACTATAGCCATAAATCTTTTAAAAAACTTTGATAATTATTTTCAAATCTACATGGATAAAGATTTCCATTGACCTATTAATTAATAAAATCAGCCCAGTCCAACCTCTAGATTTTGTTTTACAAAGCTGAACAAAAATGTCTCTAATTCAGAATTATCTAACTATTAATTTGGAGTTTGCTTAGCTTATTTACAAATAACTAATGGTGTAAATCGACCAAAGTGTAAGGTGGCATTCTGAAAGAGAATACAGTTTCCTGAAAATGAGTACTACCATATTTATTTTTTGAATATATGCCTACTCAATAAAGGAAGCGTAAAGTTGGCTACAATTAGAAACTTGAATAAAACAATTTTTAATGTATTATTGTCTTTTTTTACTACAAATGTTTATTAAAATCAAACTTATATAATTAGATTATAAAAGGTATAATGTTACCTGGATCTGCCAGAGTAATCCAAAGGCTGTCTGTCGAGACCACGCGTTTCGAAGCATTAACAGCTTCATCATCAGGTCTTCAAGAACACTTATCACTCATCATAGGTCGTCAAATAAATATAATTTTTACAAACATACATACGAAAAATAGTAGGCCTACGAACCGCGTGCGCGCACTTAGACAGGTTTGTCATGACTGCAGCGGTGAAGGTTGGTGTCGTGAACTTTGTCCCTTGCCGGTCAGCTGTTCCTGGTTAGCTATTACAGTATCATACAATGCATTTGACTGGAAATTTAGTTTGTCGTTTAATAGATCATAACTATGGCTTTTTGTTGCTTTGTATATCTCGTATTCTTCTATGGCGTTCATGAAGCTTTCTTTTGTGCAAAAATGTAGGAGTGTCATGTTAGTTTCGAAATTTGTATAGTTATGATTTTCATTAATCAGATGGGCTGCATAATTGGATTTTAAATGATTTTTTGCTTTTGGAAGGTGTTCTTTGAATCTGGTTTTGAAAGCACGGCCGGTTTGTCCTATATAAAAACTATTGCAATCATCACAAGATAATCTGTAAACTCCAGTTTTTTCCTCTGTTTCTAGATTATTACTGGACGGTGGATTTAGTAATCGTTGTAGTTTGTTGGAAGTCCTAAACGCTATCCCAATGTTTTTCTTTTTTAAATCGTTTTTCAGTTTATTCGGTAGCCTTGCAACAAACAATTTTTCGTATGTATGTTTGTAAAAATTATATTTATTTGACGACCTCTGATGGGTGATAAGTGTTCTTGAAGACCTGATGATGAAGCTGTTAATGCTTTGAAACGCGTAGTCTCGACATACAACCTTTGGATTACTCTGACAGATCCAGGTAACATTATACCTTTTATAATCTAAAAACAGTAATCCTGAGACAAGAAACAACATGAAGTTATATAATTATTTGCAAATCCACACAATTAGGCTTTTAAACAACCCTATAATTGACAAAATTGATCCAGTAGAACTGTAGATTTATTTTTACAAAGTTTAACAAAATTATCTCTAATTCAGTAATTGAACAAAGTGGAAGGTGCTCTGAGCAAGGGTCATTGGATGCTGCAGCACTAAAAGCAGACTGCTTGTAGGGGTGTATGGGAGGTTCAGACGGAAGCATTATTCGATGTACGTGTCGTTGATCGTACTTGAACCTCCCATACGAAAAAGTTTTGGAGAATGCAGAAAGAGAGAAGAAGAGAAATTACTTAACAATAACAGAAACAAGAAATGCTTCTTTCACCCCACTGTCACGTCTGTGGACGGAATGCTAGGCAAAGAGTTTCAGACCTTGCTCAGAGCAATGGCAGAACGCCTAACAGAAAAATGGAAGAAACCTTACATTTTAGTGATGAACTGGATAAGGGTAACAACCATCTGTGCGACATTAAGGGCCAGCAGCACGTGTCTAAGGAGGACAAAGAAGAAGTGGAGGACCCTTAGAGAGTTTGAAGATGAGGCTGGAGTACCAGCTTTTTATTAATTTAAATAGCAAACGTTTTATTATTTTTCCATGTCCAAATTGTACTATTACTTATTATATTAAAGTGTTTTGTGTGGATATTTAATATTTTTTACAAAAAAATTTTCAGCCCTTAAAAGTAGAACTTATAAAACTAGATCATGAACTTTGGCTGTTGTTTAGTATTTATTAATACTTAATGATCTATGGACATTAATCTTTTATAAACTGAGCAAACCCAATTATTGTAACTTAAAACTAACTTGAGGGAAAAACTATATAAGAACAACATAAACAGATTAAAATCTTGATTCTTTTAACAACCTTCACTGGACTAGCCTACTACCTATAGTGTGTTAAGTTGTCCAGCTTACAAGTGAGAACATTTCAACAGCATATGGCTTCAGGCTAGCTTTCTGTTTACGCTGATATTAAGCCATTATTGACATCTTGCCGTGGGCTACTATGAGTCTTCCTCTTATGTCATAACAATCTGTTTACTACATATTTTCTAATTCCTATTCTGGGAAACCGTCTTGAAACCAGAAAACAACTTTCACCCTTGAATTCCATTGTGTCTATTTGTAAATTCCTTCCTTCACCTTTCCTTCCAAGCATTGTCTCAGTTTCATTTATTTTAATCATCTTTTTATTTTTAGATAAAAAAAACAGTAATAATGGATTCATAAAAAGCTAATTACACTGGAGAAATTTCAAAATATTACAAGATGTACATTGTACCTTACATTTACATTTGACTTAACTTTAAATGTTTAGAGATTAATTCCAGAATAGATAGTATTGAAAAACTAAATTTGCCAAAGCGCTATTGCCCTATTTATTGTGCTCGCGCATCTTGTTAGTTCTAATGCAATTCACATTTTTTGCTGTCACCATCAATGACTCAATCTTTGGCCAAATTGGTTTTAAGTGTTTTCAGTTCCCCGTCTTCAGGTGTTTCTATAACCACTCTTCATGACCCTAGTGAATTGATTATGAAGTTTAGATCGGCAATCTACTAGAAAATGAATCTGGTATTTGAACCTTTTACGCAATATATTCTCTAGGTTTCAATATTTCTTGTCATGGTATTTCAGAGAGGTAGTAACAAGTCATTTGATTTTTATATTTTTTATTAAAAGCTTAAACAAAGAAACAGTTGGCAGGTGTCAAGCTTATCTAATAAATTTAACTTAATTGAGAGATAATCTTGAGATCTTCCAACTTGGTTGCCTTATAGATACAGTTTTGATTTCTCTACCTAATCAGTAAAATAAATACAATACATATGATACATGTTGAACGATTAATTGAGCACATTTATGGTAACTCAAGACAGTATTTCTGACCTGAAATTGATTTTGAACAATAATTCAAATCTTTAAGGCAGAACACATAAAGGTTTTATCATTTCTGTGTTTAATCAGAAAAAAATCTCAAATTTTATACAAATTTGTCAGTTTATGATGCCCAAGTTCTTGCTTGAAATTAATTATTGTTACCAAACCGTTTATTAAGCCACAAAATGTTGTAGAAGAGGGAAATTTAAATACACTTTTCAAGGCTTTTTGAGGAAAAATGTTTACAGAATTGAAACCATCAGCATTACTCTTGTGGAAACAATATGGCAAAGGAAAAAGTAACAAATTATTCAGTTGGAAATTGTTGTTAGGTTTAGAAGCGCAGGTTGAGGTTGGGGTTGTTGTGTTCAATCCAGCGTAGCAACATCTCGTTATCTTCACACACGAAGGGTTTGCGGTGATGACACGCGACGTCGTGCCAGTGTATTCCGTCTCCGTAGAAGTTGTTGAGCAGAGCCAGACAATTCTCTGCGGCTCCGTTCTGAAGTTCCTCTCGGTTGTCAGGCTGTGGTCGGCCGATTCTGTCAACAAAAACGGTTTCTGAATCCAACATATTGAAATTTGTTGGGTTAAATTTCTTATTAACCCCCAAAAAATTCAAATAGAGTTTCCTAAAGAATATAGTAAATTTTTTGAATGGCACTATTATAGTATTCACGACAAGGACTTGTTGAGGCTGATGACTGATTCATTCCAGCACCCTAGATCAGATTATATTTACACTATGACACCAAGGAGAAGAAGAGTGAGAGATGAGTATTAAATGCATATGGCTAAAACAACATGGTTTTGTTTTTTAGCAAGGACAATTAAAAGCCTTTTTCAAAAGACCAAAGATGAAGGACAGTAAGATTCAGTGTTTCAAGCTGTCAGAAACTTTATCAGGATCAAACATGTGACCTTTTGATTACCAGGCGAGCACTGCATCTACTCAGCTATTTTGGTAGCTAGTTTGAATGCTACCCTACTATTTGGTTTATAGTACATGACCACATTAAACCCTCGGCCCACTCACCCGCCAGATTCGCTCCAGTCGTTCTGCAGACGGTTGGTGGTGGGGGGAAGCTTCTGCAGTTCGGACGTCCAGAACCATCCGTTGACACTCTTGGGCTGCAAGTCAGCTCGGTCACATCCCTTGAAGTCACAGAGACGACCCGAAGTCCAAATGTACCTCACCTTATCTGCAAGTCAACAGGTGATATCGTAAACTTTATTGATCTAACAAAATCTGGTGCAGATTCAAATATCAAAAACATAGGAATAGAAGGGGTTTGAAATGTTGAACGATTGTACATGGTTTAAGTTGTTGTTGATGTTGTAATGTTATCTGAACAGTAAAGTATCATTACTGTATCATAATTTTTTTTTAATTTTTTTACATGTAGTACAGAAACTAAAACCAGGACCAAAGTTGCGATGGAGAGAACAAGTACAGAGGGATCTACACCGAATGGGTGCCTCACTGGACTCCACGGCGATCGGCAGCAATGGAGACAACTTGTTGACGAGGCCAAAAACCTTCTTTGGTTTGAGTGGCCAAGGAGGTAAGGTAAGTACAGAAACTATGTACCAATACTGTACTATTTCATTAGGATAAGGATAGTGTAATTTTCCACCTTTATTTGTTTGCGAAAAGTCCTAATAAAATTTGCAATGAATTTTCATCAGTAAAATGATTTGATCTAGCATTGTTCACTGAATAACTCTTCCAAGTACATTCAGTAAAGTTTTTGGGTAATCAGATTAATAAAATATCACAATATCAAGCTCATAAAGTAAAGCCTCACTCACACTTATATAGTAATAGATCTTTTCACTTTGTTGGTATTTCTGCTAATCACACAATATCCATACTCTAAGACAGTAGAGATGATGTTAGGTGTATATAATAAATTTATGGGTGAAAGTTATTTAATTATTACGGTTTAGAAAATTTAAGAACCACGATTATTTAAAGAATATGTCTAGTTCTATACCTTGTACAAGATGTCTCTTTATCCATTCATTCTCCTCAGATGTCTGCAGACTAACAGCGTCCATGCACCTGGCTCGACACCAGTTACGCACACCAAGCCAGTCCTCTTCTTGGCGAGCCGTGGACGGGTCCTTCCATGAGAAGAAGTACCCTTTTCCGTTTAACTTCTCGTGGATTTTTCCTAGTTAAAATAGTTCATGTAAATAAAATTACTGCACTTAAAAAGCTAAATGTATAGCATTGACAATATAAAAACATTATGACAGTATAAAGAGGTACTGGAGGTGCAACAAACTTGACATAAATAGAATAAAGAGTTTTACAATAAATTGAAATCCTTAATTTCTTACCTTTTCAAAGATATCGTCATGAAAAACTATGCTGATCACAGCAATGATTATAAAAAGACAACACAAGGTTTTTTTTCTTTTTATTTGTCAAACACTGTAGAACCTGCCAGAAATATGGGAAACGTTGTGGTTGACATCCAAATATAATTGTCAACACTGTCAATATCAACTTGCTGGCCACCTTTGATCATGAAGATTCTTTCTCCCCAACTATACTCAATGCAAAAAGAACTGGCGGGTGAAGGTAATGTGTTTAAATAGGCCAGCTGGTATTAATCGACTGCCTGATCTATTTGAGTTGACTATAGGACCTTCTTGGGTTGAAAATTCTGTCAGTGACAGTGAAATATTCTAACTTTTTTGTATGGTGTAAAGTATTTTCTATTTTCTGTTTCCCCTGCTGGAATGGACGTCCCCATTCAGGTAACCTTCTATTATCACAAAAATTATTGTAATAAGATGTTACTGTACTCACTCTGTGCACAGAGTTGTGCCTGTGGACCTTCGAGCCAACGACCTCCAGGGAACTGAGCCATGGCGGCAGCTGCCAATAGCAGCGTCAATGTCACACTCCACATCTGCCAACCATGTAAACCACACGTTTATATACATTACACATTATGTCATTGTCTTATAGATATTACAGTAGACATTCCATCTGTATAAGCCAGTTCTACCTACTCAGAGAGGCTACAGCGTAGAATTTTATTTACTCCTCAGTTTTTGATGCTGTAATAGTTGACGTGGCACTAAAGATGCTATATGACTTAACAAGTTGTGTTTTTACTTTGGTTAAGTTTAATCATAGCATCCTCAATCCTAGGCCGTGGCGTTGGTTTGTGGCAACGCCGCAACGGAATGCCTATCGCCATGGTATTAACATGAATAACATAAATGTTAACATAAACATACGCTCCATTATAAACCAGTGCGACAGCTGGTTTGGTTTGCCGGTACAGCAGGGTTTTAACTTTTCCCTCACCACGGGCCTCGTACTAGAGGAGGCTATGGTTTAATGCAAACATTATTTTTGTGAAACAAAAAAACATAAATTACTATTTTACTCGAGACATTAGTCGTCATACTGGAGGTTCTAAAGACTTAAATGCTCCTTCAGCTAGATTAAGCATTTTTAAATAGCCACAAGTATCAGCAGATAAAGTTATTTAAAATTGTCTGTTAATTTCCATAACTTAGATCTGAAAAGCTTGAAAACTCACTTGCCGATTTTTTTAATTGAACTGCCTTGACACCCTTCATTTTCAACTATAGGCGAGGATCTACAGTACTTACGTAGTTGCCATATAAGGTGTTACAAGTATTTATTTTATGCTGAACATGTTTCAAGATAAGCAACGTGCAATGTAATTTTTAATTTAATTAGCGAATGCTGCTGAAGATGAACTGTCATCGGGGTCTGACTTAGGGGAGGTACGAATGAGGCATTAGTTCAAAATTCCTCCGTGGACAGCGCTGTAGTAGAGAGTACTTTGGCAAAGAAGGTTTACTAATCGCAAAAATAGTTCTGTTCATAAAATAAAATTATAAATGCCTCAAATTCAATTTTATTTTTTTTTTTATTATAAAATTAAACTATCATAACCTAACCGAACTAACCAAACTTGCTAATAATGAAATAACATAACAAAAGTTTATTAATAGAAAAAATAATTCTGTTTATTAAATAAAACTAGAAATTGCTCTACTAAAATTTTATAATGACTTAATAATAAAATTTAACTGTCATAACCGAACCAAACCAACCAAACTTGCTGATAATAAAAAAATCTTGGACAAAAAGTTTATGCCACGAGCGGGAATTGAACCTGGGACCTTCAGCATATCAGCCCGGCACGCTAACTATTAGACCACCGAGGCCGATGACTACTGATCGTTTTGTTACGGTAATGGCGTTCCCTCAGCTAATAAGAAGCCCACAGCTGTCATCGTAGCCTCTTCTATACCTCCCCTGAGTAAATACCACTGTCATCAGCATAGTTTGAAACATTTGCAGTATGAAATAAATACTTCTGATGGCAACTACATAAGTAGATCTTCACTTATAATCACTGGTCAAGGTGGCTAATCATAAAAAACCTTTTACTCCACAGTGGAATATTTAAACAACAATTTCTTTAGTGAATAAGAATAGTAGGTTAAAAACAATAAGCGTTCTACCTATTAAGTTCCTGGTTTTTATTTTAATGTATTTTTACTTGCAAGCTGTACGTTGTATTTGTTTTTTATAGTAATTCTTTTTAGATTAATACTATTCATTTGAATGACGTTGATGTCTATTACTAAGGGTTCAATGACAATAAATATGATTTTGTTCAGTTGGTTATTAATTCAACTCATTTACATCAGCACACTCTGTTGAGGGTCCAATTCAACACGAACTATGTTCGTTGTTTTTCTGGCTACAACATTATCGTGGGAATGGAATGCTTAGTTTGATCAATATTCTATGTTTATACTAGTAATGTACTTAGAGTGCTTTATTTCTGGAATATTAGGTACCAGGATTGAGATATAACCTTATAACCTTATCGAATTCTTGTCCTTCAAAAGAAAGCCATAAGAGCCCTCGCCAACCTTGTCCCACCACAGACTTGCAGACTAGCATTTGCAAACTTAGGAATCCTCACAGTGGTGTCTCTCTACATACTTGAAATCATAAAGTATGTGAATGAAATAAACCCCCCAAGAAACCAAGACCTGCACCACTACAACACCCGTCATGGCTCCAAATTTGCACTACCATTTCACCGAACAACTCTTTGGGAGAAAAACCCTTCCTACACTGGCTGCAAGCTGAGGAACCATCTACCTGAGAGACCTGACTGGCAACAAGCTACACCAGGAGTTGAAGAAGTGGCTAGTCGCAAGACCCTTCTACTCAATAAAGGAATTTTATGAAAATTAACATGTACAATTCACTATTGTAATTCTTAACGAATTAACAATAAAGAATATTGTATTGTATTGTATTGTATTTTCTCTATCATCCACCTTCCTGCAATTTCCTCCCCTCACTGAGACAAACTATTCTTAATACAATAAAAATAATCGAAAAACAATGAATAAATAAACAACATACAGGATCTTCTTTAGACATTTCTCTTAAAAATCAATAGACAACATTTTCTATTACATGAGGTCCTCGCAAACACTGTTAAAACAACCCCCTTAAATTAAGCCCTATATTTATTTATGTAATTTATCCTACCTTGCAGATTATATGTTGCTGACTACCAAAATATATGCACAGTCAAATAAAATCCAATATAATTCAACTCAAAGAGTCTTTATTTGTTTGTAGCATAGAATACATCATACATACATAGTGTCAAATACAGACGTTGAAAAATTATAAACAATGGTTTCTTAGAATTAACATTACTTCCTATAACTGGAAAGAATAAATAGGTTTGTCAATGAAGCTAGCTTTGTTAATGAAGTACTGCTTTAATTTAATTTTGAATTTTTTACTTGATACCTCATCTGGGAGCAAATGTTTTACACAGGTTATTTTACCAAATTAAATCAAAACTTTTAGAACTAAAATTAAATGGTTATCTGATAGATAAAGCCAAATATGTCATTCCAAGTCCCTTAACGAATTTGAACCAACTCTACAATTACTATATAGTATCTTGCACACTCTATTTTGTTTGATTATTTCTATGTCAATCCATTTTAAAAGGAAAGATTAACATTGACTTACGTCTACTTTTCTATTTTTTTATGTGACTTTTCAAATACATGGTAAATAAATTTAACAAATTATATTTTAATTTGTTTTAATAGGTACCCCCCACTGTTACTTTTCAAAGCTGTGCATTTTTAAATAGATTTATATTTGGAAAACAAATTCTCCAAATAAACTATGTTTTAGTGTCTGTTCACAAGATTTAGGGGGTTTAAGGGGAAGGATTCCTGGTTCCCCTCCACTTTTTTTTAGCTCAATCAAAAATATATATCAGCTGTTGGCTGTTTCAAAGAGAAAGTGAGGTGAAGGGGATAGAATCGTTTCCACTCAAACCACCTAAATTTTGTGAACTGTTAATATTAAATGTGCATGATTTTAAATTATTTTTATTTGTCTAGTTTTTAACTAAAACTGCTTAGAGAAGTATATCAAGATTTAAAAAGATAAGTAATTAGATTTTAACAAGATAAATGTACTCACCCTGAACAAGTATCACAACAACTGACCGCCTCTTCAGGAACTTCCTCTTATTTATGGTGGCTAGAGGTATTTACTAATAATCTATTTTTGTAGACACATTTCCACTAGCTGGCCTTGGGGAAAGTGTAGATAAGAGAGTGCTCTACCTAGTACAGGGTTGTGTCCTACCCCTAGATTAGATAACTGGCACTCTCATATGTCTGGAGTGAATCTTGACAGCTGTCATGATCAGCTGATGAGTAAAAAACAATGTCTTTGAAAGTGGTGGAATAAGGTATACCGGTAAACATAAAGGTAAAACAGAATGTCCTATCCTATACTGAGCAATGTTTACTTGTATGTATCTGTTGCCTTGAGTATGCTTGCTTGCTTGCTCAAAGATCTCAAAAATGGCTTCACGATTTCCTTCGATGTTGTAAATCATTTATTTCTGGCCTGAAAATGTGTTTAATACAGTTAAAACTGCCAACAAAAAATAGCATGGGAATTTTAGATTTACAACTTTTTGAATTTTCTCCGTAATCAATGTTGTACAAAAACACTTTGATATACGAAATCACTTGTTTTTCTAAGCTCTTTAAAATGGTCTAGAGAGAAATTAGAACATTTTGCGTTTTGAGGCTCGAAATGAGAAAAATCAATTTTTACCCCATAAAACCCCGATTCCATGGTCCAATAATTATGCTGGTTCGTGAACTCGTCCATGTTTATACCCCCTTACACCTTCCAACAAAATTTCATAAAAATCGGACAAAAATTGCACAAGTTATCACGTTTACGGACACATATATAAATCTATATATATGTACATGTACATTTTAAAAGGATGGCTTTTTGGCTTCTGCGACATCAAAATGAAAAAGTAAATTGGTCTCGGGCCTAGGTCTTAACGTGCCACATACGGTAATAGCTACTTCCCTATAGAGTATTCGATAAAAACATCAGTTTTGTTACTATGCAAAGATTACACTGAAGATAACTCGATATAGGGGAAAATATAGTTTTGATTAAATAATGATTATTTTACTTGGCTCTCTCCAACCATAACTTAATCCCCGAAGTACTAGAGCAAACTTAAGTTTATAAGTGAATTAAATATTTATATTTATTTTATGTAAATTAGAATTTAAAAAAAATTCAATCAACTGGTTTAATTTAAACAAACTGTCAAAACAATATTTATGCAAGTATAGGCTATTAAAAACGAGTATTTTTTCGGAGCCGCTGAAGGGAACCTCTCGGGAATCGGGATGAAGCAAGATGAAACAATGACGTCATCACACCGGCAGTTACTGTCATGACCTATCTTAACTAACCAAACTTGCTGATAATGAAAAAATCGAATGAAGGTTAAATTCTGTTGATAAAATAAAGCTATAAATGCCTCAAATTCTTACAAAAGATGTACAGATAAGAAGAAATGGCATTCTAAGCAAATTCTTTAATAAAAAGTTAAGTGTCACCTGTGGGATTCGATCTAAATACCTCTTGTACATCAGCTGAGTACTCTATCCACTACACCATGAACACCGATGGCTGTCCATCACACGCCAGCAAAGAAAGAAGCAGATGAATCACACGAGAAACAATGACATCATCATCTTCATCCTGAGAAGCTCCCTTCAGCCACTTTCGTGTTCTTTTTAGCATCGACAGTAAAACAAATTAATGTGTTGTGGATTGCCAGGTTAAAATTTCCATCATGAAAAATTTAAATTCCACTGAAACTTATAATAAAAAACAAAATTAGTTATAAATAAAACGTGAGTTTCCTTTATATTGCTCTTACAGTACATGGAAATAGACTAACCGAGCCATGGCTCGGTCCCCCGGTACTTTTAAGATAAATTACACTTTTATGTTTTTACAGTATAAATGTTAATGAACAGAAAATGTTTAAAATTAACATGAAATTGTATAAGATAAAATTAAATTGTTAAAACTACATAACTATTCATATTTTAACTCGTAATGTGTAAGTAAGAATCGACAAAAAGCTACCCACAGATCATTCACTCCATTCTACGCTCCTGCAATCTCCTTCAACTAAAATTATATATAGCTTACTCAAAGAAAGTCACTTGAAATGAAATTTGTGTGGGTTTGGAAAAGGTAGAGACAATTAAAATGGATTATACAGAGACATATGAAATGGGTTGCTAATGCTAGAGGAATAATTCATAAAGATAGGTAAAATCTTTTAAAATTCTTCAGAGAACTCTTTGTAAAATCACCTTCGAAATTAATTCCTGTCTTTAAGTAATTACTAATGTACATGTTTGCTCGAAATCGAGCAATCGCAAAGAAGTTATTTAAAAACAAATAACTTTTTTAAGAACAATAAGTCATAAATTCCGATGAGTTTAAAAGAGTCAACTCAAAGATTACGTAACTAATGATGATACTCACAATGTTCTTAACAGTTCAATATAATCAACATTTCTTGTAAATATTTTATCATTTTTCAAAAGCTGATCTGGCTTTTAGTGTATTGTAGAAAATGTTTCCCACTTATTGTCGCAATAGGTTGTCCATGTTGGTCTTTGTCAATGATAATGCAGTCCGCATGGTATCACTCATTGTTGCCAGTACGTTTCCAAATTTCAGTCTTTACTTTAATAGCACCAAATAACCATTAACTACCTGATTTTCTGCATAACCTCTCTGTCACAATTTTACAATCAACATATGTTCTTCTTCTCACTTTTAATTGCTAAAAAGATAGTTTCCTGCACAACTTCACGTTAAGCTCTTTCCAATGACACCAAAAACATGTCAATCGGTTCAGTAGTTTCGGAGGAGTAATTGTCGCAAAAAACCTGCTTACGTATTAAATAAGTACTAGTGTCCCTGTTGCTCGAATTCAAGCAATTTCTAAGTATTAGAGGCGTTATTTTAAAAGGAATAATGGTCATAATTTCTGATGACTGTAAAAGATTCGACCCAAAGATTATGTAAATATTCAAGATGTACATATAACAGAATATATCAATTTATCCAGGCTCTCTCGCTTTTTTCCATTGTAATATTTACGCCAACCCGAATTCAAACAGTAAATATTTCATTTCAACCAAGTCAGTAAATGTTTGTAGCAAACTGTAAAGTTAGCAAAATTATTGACTGTTTAAAATTAACATATGTTCTTCTTCTCACTTTTAATTTCTGACAACAGCTGGAGTCGCATAACAAGTTTTGTTTCCCATGTTAATCTTATGGAGAAATACGAAACTTTAAAGGGCCCCAGGGTCTCACTCTCTAATTATTTCTCTAAAAAGAAAGTTTCCTGCACAACTCCACGTTACGCTCTTTCCAATGACACCAAAAACATGTCAATTTGGTTCAGTAGTTTCGGAAGAGTAATTGTCACAAAAAACATGCTTGCATATTAAATAAGTACTAGTGTCCCTGTTGCTCGAATTCGAGCAATTGCTGGCAATATTACAGGCGTTATTTTAAAACAAATTTCAACCAAGTCAGCAAATGTATGTAGGTACTGTTAAATTAGCAAACTTATTAACTGTTTATAATTAACATGCTCTTCTTCTCACTTTTGATTTCTGACAACAGCTGGAGTTTCATAACAATTTTTGTTTCCAATGTTAATCTTATGGAGAAATTAAAAACTTTAAAGAGCTTCAGGGCCTCACTCTCTCAGTATTTCCCTAAAAAGAAAGTTTCCTGCACAACTTCACGTAACTCTCTTTCCAATGACACCAAAAACATGACAATCGGTTCAGTAGTTTCGGAGGAGTAATTGTCACAAAAAATCTGCTTGCGTATTAAATAAGTATAGATATATAGATTTATCTTTAATATGTTCCCAAAACCTATCCTGGGTATTCAAAGAAATGTATTGTAAATGTTTATGATTAGATTATAAGGCAGTTATTTTTTCAATGATATATCTTTTGCCGTTATACAATTCACTCTGGATGAGTGTCATTCTGGTTTTTCATATGCTTATTTACCAATTCAAATGTGATGATTGAAGGGGATTTCCTTATGAAGCTTTAGTGTTATATAATGGTGTTGAAGTTGAGGTTTCAATAAAAATCACACAAATGATTTTGTAAATTTAAAAACATGAATTCATTAATTAATTGAATGACAAATGCAAGTTATAGATTTTTTTTCAAACAATGTTTCAACTATGTAAAAATTATTATCCTATTTATATAGTATTAAGATTAATGGAATATTCCAAAGGTCTTGAAGGTATTACAGTTATTGATAAAAAATATATTTTTGAAAAACACAAAATGGCGGCTCTGTGAGTAACCATTGACTTACAGACGATTTAAATGTGATATTTACATTAGTTATGAACTTAGAAATAATAGCTTTAAAGGTTGGCTAAAGAGTTACGGAACACCCTGTATGCGTTACTCTCAAACACCGAATTCAGACTATGACTTAGTCCAAAATCGTCACCCACTTCGCGATGTGGAAAGTGTGAAATTCCCACGTCGCAGAGTGAGCATTTTATTCGGACATCGGCCGAAGTGAAATGCCCAGACTACCTTGTGGGTAAACGGTTTTACTCAAATGCCGAAAAAATTGAGGTTTTTGAATGCCGAATAGCCTGTAAAAACTGTCGCATACACAAAAATCTACATCCACCTGAAATCTACAATCACTAAGTAAAGTAAAAGTAAAGTAAAATTAATGTTTGTAATCTATATATTTAATTCCGTAAGCTTATAGGAGGTTATAAAAGGGCTGTAGAGGATTCACTTTAAAGATTAAGGCCCAAGGACGGTGGGAAAAACATCAGAAGTGTCTAAGTTACCCCTGCTCTGCCCCACAGGCCGGCAAAGATCCCGTCATTTTACCCGGTCAAGTGTATACTGCTACAGTGTTTCTATAAGCTGCTTTAAACATACCAGCTGATTTAAACATTGTGTATTTGTATGTTTATATCAAAAAATTTTTTGTATACCGATTTTTATTTGGGATCCACATCCACTAGACCCCCGTGCGCTCCAGCGTAAAAAAAACATGTGTGCGCTTAAGGTTTAAAAAACATTAACTCTATTTTTCTTTTAAGTTACTTGGTGGGCCAGGTGGGGGTCCATGACTTATCTATGTTTCCATAAGTTAGTTTGCAAATCGGTTCTTTCAACGATTGTTTTTCATAGGCTAATTAATTTCAATTTCTTATATCAGTGTGGTGTGGCATATAGCTCATAAATCATTACTTTCGTGAACAGTTATTCAATTATTACCTACACCTACACCTCATGGTCCTCATGTCCATTCGGGACGCTAAATTGCATAGCATTAAAATAAATAAATAATTTATAATTTATTAAAATTTAGTAAATTCATTTAGGGAGGAAAAGTTTAAGATAGGCTACATATATTATTTCAACAATGGTTGGTTGTATTCATTGTTGTTGTCTGAAAGGCCGTTACATTCCATAAACAACTTAATTATATGTAAAAAAGCTATTATACAACTTAAAACTAAAAAAAGTTGAGTTGGAAACATGGTTTGGATCTTTGTTTGAAATTATATTTATTTGAACCAGATTTGAAAACTATAAAATTACATTTCAGCTGTCGGCGTCATATTTTTATTTTTATGCGTAAACTGCACAGTGCACAGGTTAGTTTGACCGACCGTCTCTAGGCGTAAGAAAATAGTTCCTTAATTAATTCAACCGAATTATTTTATATTAGCGTTTAACAATTGCATAGATAAACTAAACAGAACCTTAATTATTGTTAACGAAAATTAGCCTTTTTACAACAAAGAAGAACAATAAAAAGTATCAAACAAATACGACGTATTCATCCGCAACGAAACACTTCTGAAGGGAAGTGTACGTTTGAAGTGACAGTGTCAGTGTGAGAAATTTTGATGGTTACTGTATTCCATTTCTGTGAAATTGAAGGTTAAAGCAACCAGTGTAAACAAACAATGTTGAGGCTGTGAATTTGTAAATAAATATTATTATTAAAATGGACGCAAAACTTTGTCGGCTATGTGCTAACAAAAAAGAGTTGTTTGTTGGAATTTATGATGACGAAGGGCACAAACTTCGTATTGAATCTAAGATTGGCAAATGTCTTCAAATTGAGGTGAGATTTAAAAAATTTAAGGTTAGGTTAAACAGCAAACGTTCTAACTTATATTTTTTACCAGCTACAAACTTAGTACAGGCTAGCCTAGGCCTAAGTTTATACTAATAATGTAAATCAGTAACTTACTTACTGAACTCAAATTTGTACCACAATTCTTAGTTAAATAAATTGAATGTCTGACTAAAATCCAGGAGTTCATTCAGGAAATAGGTTAAAGCCAGAAGACATGGGCCTAATTTAACTTAAGTGCCTGTTGGGTAAAGTTTAGTCCAGCCAAATGCACTTGCGATCTAGCCTAGCCTAACTTAAACTCTAAACCAGCCAACCTACCTCATCTACCCAACTTTTGCCAAACGTTACGGTATGTTAAACTTAGGCTAAGCTAGTATGATTTATTTTTACGCAGAGGATACGCGTCCGGTAACCGAAATTGGATTAGGCATCCGGTTCAGTGATGTTACCGTCGGGTTGTGGGGGCCCGGAACACCATTAAGTTACCACAACGATTGGCTGGACTCAGACTTGGATTTGCCTTCATGGAAGTTCCCTTGGATGTTTTGGCT